GTTTGCGGGGGCGGCAAGAAGTTTATAATGACGACTTGGAACCCTTCTTGATATGTGAGGGGGATAGATCGAAGTTGAACAAAAACGCGGCTGGGATCGATTTATTGTCGCAGATGAGAGGCAATATGATATGCATTGACGTTGTCTGATCGGGACACTTGCATACATACGGAATACATATATCGACTTGCTTCACTTGTCAACTACACAACTACTACCAACCATATCTCTCATTCTCAGCATCGCATCTATAAAGCACCAGATCCACATCTACAAAACCACACGTAATGGCGAGAAGACGAGACACAGCCTCGGAACCTCCCCGAAACCATCACCACCACTCTTCAAGACAACAACCACCTCCCCACCGCCAACGTCCCATCCAGCAAAAAGAATGCGGCTTCGACTGGACGCCGGGCATCGTACTCACTCTGCTGGGCGCTCTGACGCTTTTCAACTACGATTTCGACAGATATAAAAAGAAGCATGACGGGCGTGAGAGGGGTGATAATGACCGGGGGAGGAGGAGATACAGATCAAGGAGTAGACGTGGGAGTGAGGATGATTATTATGACTATGGAAGAGGGAGGAGATTCTCTCGATGAATTTCATGATTATATGGGCATGATGAATTACGCAGCAACAGACAGTATTAGCAAGGAATGTATTGTCAAATTACTATTGAGACAACAATAAAGAATATCAAGGACAGAACAGTTTTGTGTACACCATCTTGTCCACCTCATCCCAGGATATATATACCAAACTCCAATACCCATCTACGCCTTGGTCGCCTGAGCCTTGGCCCTATTGACAAGGGGAGTCTCGGTCTTGTTGGCAATCTGAACATCCGCCGTCCCGTTGGTCACGGCCTTCTTGAGCACCCGACTCTCTGCCTGCTCGACCAGAACCTCAAACACTCGCTGGACGTGCTCCTCCTCGACCTTTGCCACACCTGTGCACACGCGGATGGCAAACTTGCGGTTGATGACTGTCGCTGTGAGGAAGAATTCGCCGTCTGCATTGATTTTCTCGTATACGGCTTCGGTGCGCTCGTTGATCTCCTCTTCGGTTGAGCCGTTGATGCGTAGAGTGACTAATCCGAAGCGTGCCTTTGTGAATACAGTAAAGAGATCTGGTCGAGATTCGATCTTGGCTTGAAGAGACTCTCCCAGTTCAACACCATGACGAACATGAGCCTGAAGACCCTTGACGCCAAAGCTTCGGAGCACAAACCAAAGCTTGAGAGAGCGGAATCGACGACCCAGGGGAATCTGCCAGTCACGATAGTCGGTGACGAGCTCATCGTCGCTGAACTGGTTGCGGAGGTAAGGGGGCTTGATGCTCAGGGCCTGGATGAGCCAGGCGCGGCGACGGACCCAAACGGCGGAGCAGTCGAAGGTGGTGAGCATCCACTTGTGTGGGTTGAAGCTGAAGGAGTGGAAGGAAGAGAAGGCCTTGGCGAGATGCTTGTTCTCGTCGAGGAGGAGGGCGGTTCCTGCGTAGGCGGCATCGACGTGGACCCAGATCTCGTTGGGGGTGTCAAAGATGGGCTTGAGAGCTTCAACTACAGCCTCAAAGTCGTCAACGGCACACACGTCGGTAGATCCAAGGGTTGTGGTGATGTAGAACGGATGCAGGCCCAGAGCGCGAAGGTCAGAAATAGTAGTCTCGAGAGCGACACGGGTCATGGAGAAGCCATCCTCCTCAAAGACGGGAACAGTAGCGAAGCGAACTCCGAGGATCTGAGCAGCCTTCTTGGTGCTAGAGTGAGTACCCGAGCTGCCAACAGCAACAAGCTTGCTCCTAAACTCCCACGTGGCCTCCTCCTTCTCATCCGTGTCGTCGGGGAGGTGAGCAGTAACGGCAGCGAGGTACTTTTCACGAGCAGCCACCATGTTTGTGAGAATAGCCTCACTGGCACTGCCGTGAATGACACCACCGCCATGAGTAGATCCTCCACTCAAAAAACACTCTGGAAGACCAAGGGCCTGAGCAAGCCAATCCATGACAATAGTCTCGAGCTCAGTAACAGCCGGACTACAAATCCAGTTGAAGTGAGCGCCATTGAAAGCATTGGAGTAGAGCTCAGCTAGAGCTGCGGGATAACTGCTCGAGCAGGGAAAAAAGGCCATGAAGCGAGGACTGGCCCAGTGGGTGATGCCGGGGAATATCTTGGTCTCGATGTCGTGATGGATATCGGCCCACGGCTCACCATCTTGAGGCGGCGCAGAGGGGAGAAGAGGCCGGAGGTATCCAGGCTTCACATCGGAGACGACGCGATGAGAGGCGACGTTTTCATCCCAGTCGATGACTTTTGAAGTCAGTGAATATGATCTTTGTGAAGTTGAAGTTGAGAATTGGTGGTGTGGAAAAGATTCCGAATTCCGAGTGCGGGGGAGGGGCAACTTTTCAAAAGCATCATGACATTGACTTACTCTCATCGATGGCCGCCTTGGCCACTTGTCGAAACTCTTGAGCGTCCATGATTTATGAAGTTGATCTCGTTATTGCTGTCCCTGTAAAAGAGTGTTGTCGTTGTTGTTATGGAATATCTGAGAGGAACACAGCTGCCCTTTTATTCTTAGTCCAGCTGAAGAAAAAAAAAAGACTCCACCACCCTCTGCGCAAATCGACCGAGGTCGCAGAATGACGGAACTGCACCATTTTCTCCGCGTGTGGCGTGTGGGAGACAATATCGCGAGTAAAGAACAATATGATGAGACTCAGAGGGGTTAGAGAACAATACTGAAGCCCGGATAACACCACCGCACTGTTGTCATGATGGTCAACGCACCCGCCATCATCACTCGGAACCAGGTCATGATGAGAGGACCGATGGCTAGCCGCCGCGCGTTAAAATGCACGCATGTCAAAAAACATGGAGACTTTCGACGCCCTTAAGTAGACATTCATCCAATGATGCCCTGTCCCGGATATACGGACAATCGGGCTTGTCAACGTCCGCCGCCACCCAAGATTTGGAACTAGCGAAAGTCCGAAGTGCCGTAGCTTGCACTCCAAGAACAATAGAAACTTGATCGAGGCCCCTTGCAGGTTTGCTTCGAGCTTATTTTGTTCCATGGCTCATATAGAAGTTAAACAGTGTTTACGTTTAGTTCTGGTTATTCACAACGTAGATGAGTATACTGGTATATTAAGAATGTCCTTAACTGTCGCATTTAAAAGTTGAGCCTCGAAGGATAGTAGATGGTTACATCTGCAGCGTATCCAATCTTCACACAATACGAAAATTGAAGCGCCTGCAAAGACAGTCCAAGGGGCCGGGTCACGTAATTAGAACTATCACGGCGAGACAGCCTTAGTAGGGTTACCTCCAAGGCATCAGTCCTGTCTACATCCTCGTACAGTGTCTAGCCTCAAGCACAGTAGAACCTAGACAACTCGGAAGTCAAAGAGGCTGAACTCCCAATACGAGGCTATACGTAAATCCCACCGCCTTTTCCCCAAAAAGACATGTTGGTGGCAAGCCAAGATACAGCCCCTGCATCGAGGCGTTGTTTGCCTTTGGGAGCTACACGGCAAAGCCCGTCAGCTCTGTGAAACATAGACTCTGATTGAACGGACTCAATGACTTGAAACTTGTACAACCTGTCAGCCCCATGGTCTTGATGAGCGGCTGAAGAACAATGAGTATGCCGGGGCCAAGAGGAGATCTAACCGACAATCATCATCAGCCTCTCTCCTTGGGTCAGTATCCTTGTGGGCCAATGACGATGGCTCATTCTCGGAATATATTTCCGACTCGCTCCTAAGCTAGAGGCAACTTTAGTGAATAGTGAGGCGACTAGTTGTTGCATTTCACGAGTAGTTATGTGTGTCGTTGGAAGGGCGCACACGCAATGAACCTCGTGTATGTCTCCAAAAGATTAACTAAATGTATCACATCTCCTAACAAGATGCTCTAGTAACGAGATCTATCGGCACGGTATATGCTCGGCAAATACGCCATCAGCTACCCTGCCAATGATTATCACGACATCAACTTATCAGTATCAACACAGATTCGGCATGACCATTTCTGCAAGGTTCGGTCCAGATTCTAGATTTTGACAAGCCAGCGTATGTATTATTAGAACGAGCCTTGCCAGTTTCAACTACCGGCAGCCGCATCTACCGTACTCATGCCAAGCCAGAAAGCTGGTCAAGGTTCTCTACTCTATTTCCCCACATGTTGGTCAAGACGTAATGACCTTGCTGCTCTCAATTGAGATTCAATGTCAAAAAGATGGACATCTCGACTGTTTATGAAATACAAAAGTAAGTCTGCTTTTCTCACACGATAGCACACGACTGATGAGTCGACGTTCTTGTTGGATGATTCGTCGATCGACAAGGCTGGATCGCTGGCGTAATTCGCGGGCCGCAGCCCATACAATTCAGCAGCCAGCCTTATTTAGATCCTCTCATTATACAGCAAGTAATTTTCCGTGGAAATCCCCTTTCCCTAGACTGTCATCAGCTTCAAAATCACTGATGGTGTTAACTTCAGTAAGAGATTCGTCGCCCTCGGCGATGTCGCAGTCGCATTCGCATCCCCAAACTCTGTGCGTATGATGAACTCGTTAGGTTTCGGAATGTCCGTCAGAATGACCTAATTCTCTATGCTTCTTTTCATGCTCGAGATATACACATCTCGATATTTCCTCGGCCTGTGACATTATCCACACATTGCGGAATGGAGCAAACGCTTACAGATGTCGACACAATCTACAGAGTAGCGCCCTGATAGAATCGAATGAGATCATATCCATCCATATTGCCTTTATGTGGTCCTACTCTGTACATCTGAATTGAATCCCTCTCCGATCTCGGCAGGTGGGGGCGGGGGTGAGGGGAAGATTCCCCGACTTCGCTCTGCTATATATCTTATCAAACATATTCTTCAATCCCCTCTCTTCCTTTTCCAATCTCCCTTCCTACGACATCCCTCATTGCTTATTGGTTAGAACGAACTCCGACGGACAAGTATTGCAACCATGGCGGAACATAACATTGTCGTTTTTGCAGGCGACCACTGCGGCCCAGAGGTAATTGACTACCCCCGAGCTTTCCCACCCTTAACTCTAGACGGAGAGAGGCTGACTTTGGTCAATCGACAGGTTGTTGCTGAGGCAATCAAGGTACGAGTCGAGTATTCGCGAACTGCAATTGAGCACGTCTGACGCAGCATTCAGGTTATCAAGACGGTCGAGGAGCTGCGCCCGAGTGCTGGCAAATTCAAGCTGCAGGATCTCCTGCTCGGAGGGGTAAGTCGTCCCCCGATGACGGATCACACGGGCCCAAAGACATCCACGAGAGAAGTCTCTTGCTAACCTCGGCGTTTCTCCTCAGTGCTCCATCGACCAGACCGGCTCCCCCCTCACAGACGAAGCCCTCGCCGCCGCCAAAGCCGCCGACGCAGTGCTCCTTGGTGCCATTGGCGGCCCCAAATGGGGCACCGGCGCCGTCCGCCCGGAGCAGGGCCTCCTAAAGCTACGCAGTGAGATGGCCGCCTATGGAAATCTCCGTCCCTGCTTCTTCGCGTCCGACGCCCTCGTCGAGGCCTCCCCCCTGAAGGAGTCCATCTGCCGCGGCACCGACATGATGCTAGTCCGAGAGTTGACCTCGGGCCTTTATTTCGGAGAGCGAAAAGAATACGATGGTGTTAATGCGTTTGACACTGCTGTTTACACGAAACCAGAAATCGAGCGTATCGCGCGGATGGGCGGTTACCTGGCTAAGAAGAGGGGAGACTCGCGGGTTATCTCGCTGGACAAGGCAAACGTGTTGGCGACAAGCAGACTCTGGCGTTCTGTCGTTGACGAGGTCTTTAAAAACGAGTTCCCTGAGCTCAAGGTTGAGCATCAACTTATTGACAGCGCGGCCATGATTATGGTCAAGAACCCGACGCAGCTGAATGGCGTCATGATTGCGCCCAACTTGGCAGGTGATATTCTCAGCGACGAGGCGAGCGCCATAGCTGGAAGCATCGGGCTCCTCCCGAGCGCGAGTCTCTGCGGGATTCCCAGCTCTCCAGTGTCTGGTATCTATGAACCAATTCATGGTAAGACTTCTATCCTGTTCGAGCCCTCATGTAGACATCAGTTGCTAACGCAGATGACAGGTAGCGCGCCGGACATTTCAGGGAAGGGGATTGTCGTGAGTCAAGACCCCGTTGTGTATCCATTCGCTGAAGTACAGAGCTGACATGATTTCCAGAATCCCATTGGCACCATCCTTTCTGTGGCCATGATGTTCCGATACTCTCTGAATCTCACCCACGAGGCTAAACTCGTCGAGGACGCGGTCCGCGCCGCCATCGACGCCGGGTTGCGAACCAAGGACATGGGCGGCAGCACGGGCACCGCAGAAGCAGGAGATGCCATCGTTGCTGAGCTGGTCAAGATTCTCAAGGCGTGAGATGTCTCACGCGAAAAGCAGAATATACAGAGAAATTGAAACGGGAAAATAGGGGTGAAGGGATGTAAGATTTGAAGAAAATAGTGGCTGGAAAGCAAAATGAGCCGAGAACAGAAGCGGTTGACAGAAACGTGGTTGAGAAGAGTTAAGTTTATTAGCACTGGCGAGGAAATAGAAGTGACCAGTCAGGAACCGAGGCCGTCAACTTCAACACATGGATTACAGACGGAGATGCGATGTCGTTGACAGCAATCAAGGACAATATGATACTGATGGGAGCAGGGCCTAGTAAGTCTGCCCATCCGGCCAAGTGAGGTTCTTTACATTGACAAGGCGGACGACACATAGTGAACTCACCATGATCTGCTGACATGGAACAATCCCCAACTGCATCTCTTGATTATCAGATCAAGCTCACCTTGCGAGTTTATGTCATGGCAAGGCAAAGAGCGTGGTCATTGCACCGTCTCCCAGGGGCCGATATCGGCGCGGCCAATCAACGCCGATACCCATGACGGATGTGGCCCGTGCGACAGGGCTTCCATCAGGGGACTTTGTTCCATTCCTTCTAAACGACCATGTCACCAGATCAGCTCCCTCAATTAACAACAGAAATGACGGCAACGTTGATGAATTGTACCAGCGGTAGACGGCAATAACGTTCGCATGACCGTGTGGGTTGCCTTTGACTAAGCGGAATGCACGATACCACGTGGCTCCCTTCCCATCAGCCGACGGCATTCCCGACAGGTTTTTTGGTGAAGTGGTGAGCCGAGAGTGGTGTTGTCCGCCTTTTTCGCTCCTCGCTCTTACACCCCTCGACGTGCACGATTCAGGAATGCAACGTTTTGACGTTCCTACCCTGATCATGCATATTCGCGTAGCGTCGGTCAGATCTAGACTAGGATCCATGCTGCAGATGCACAATCTTCACAAGAGTACGTAGTCACTATTGTATGATCAAGTTGTTTGTAAGTTTCAATTTCTCTAGATAAATAAAGGCAACTGTTTCGTTGTCTGATGCTGTAAATGTATAATGCTTCCCTTTGACCCCCTTTGCTTTTTTTCTACTCCTAATGATGCATCCTGTATCCATGCTGTGCAAAAAACCGCCTCAAAACTCCAAATGTGAAACGGCTTGCTTTTTGAAAATAATCCTTAAAAACTCCTCGCTGAATGATGCATCCAATCTTGAATCCACAGAAACAGGGTCATAAAAGTTTCTGTTCCTCCTCTTTTTGAAAAACAACCATTATGTCATGAAATTGTAGATCTTCCTCCTCCATTATGGTCCATTATAGTTTGTATGAGTTGTCGACAACTCTTAGGCAACTGCAACTTGGCGTCGTCGTGCATCTTCGTAGCCAGGGAGGGTGCTGGTGCCCTGGAAGCGCTCCGAGGGGACCTGCGTGAGTCGGGGCTGGAAGTAAGAGTCGGCCTCGGCCTCTGCGACGGCGTCGTCAAAGGTAGGGAGCTCGTCATCGACGGGCTCAAAGGTGTTCTCGACGGCAACCTGGACAGGCACAAAGAGGTTGATGTTGGTGTTCATGGGGCCGACGGAGAGAGTCAGGTAGACGATGTAGGTGCGGGCGCTGATGCACGAGTAAAAGGTTGGGAGGAAGATCTTGTTGCCGCCGGTGGGCAAGGTGAAGGGGATGTTGAGGGTGGCGTAGCGGTGGACGTTTTCCTTGCTGGCCTTCTTGTTGCGGCCTTCGGCGCCTTCGTTCTCGGAAGTAACCTCGTGCCAAGCGCCGCTGGAGTATCCAGAGTCTCGTCGAGAGGCGGGAGCCTCGTTCTCCCAGGTAATGTTTGTATCGGGGTGCATGGGGATGGGGGTGGTGGTCGAGTATGTGAGCGAGGGGCTGCTCTGGTGCTTGATGCGAGCGCCAAGGTTGGGGAGATGGTTCATAGGGGCGCTGCTGAAAAAGGTGGTGGAGTGCAGCTTGGCGCTGACAGAGTTGATCTTGGGGGGAGTGATATCAGCAGATGCCGTGCTGAACTTGAGGTCGACCTTCAAGTTGGTCTCGGTAGCATTGAGAAAGTTGGCAGAGAGCATGATGGCACCGGGCTGGGAAGCCGTGGTGGTGAGCTTGCCCTGCTTGGCCGAGAAGAGGTTCTTGCGGATGGTCTTTGTCTTGGAGAGGGTGTAGCGCTCATCGTTGGGACCAATGTCAAGGGGCGCATCCTCAGGAAGCGAGGGGAGCACCTTGATCATGTGGAAGCCCTCGAGGATCTGGGTTCGGCCCTCCTCGGCAGTGTCCTTGTATGCGCCGGCGCGGACGGCATACTCGATGTGAGCCATGTCGGGAGACTGGTCATTGTGCTCCCAGAAACCCATGGTCGGGGGGAGCTGGAGGTGGTGATCGCGAACGCCAGCATGCTCAACCGGGTGGTTGCAAGCGCTGAGGGTGAGCTGGTGGGGGACGACAAAGTTGAAAGGGATGGTATATGTGCGGCCAGCCTCAAAGACACGAGGGCTGGGGAAATCTGAATCTCGGATGGGCATCCGAAGCTTCATGAAAGGCCGGGCGGCATAGGTAGCACTGGAGTACTGGTTGACAAAGTCAACACGGGTGTAGGCAGTACCCGTAAAGAGGATCTCAAAGTCTTCAAAAGCGGCATCGCGCTGGGTGTTGACGACGACGTGGCCGGCAATGGTAGAACCAGAGGTGTAAGCCTTGGAGCTCCAGTGCTGGTCGATCTTGATGTCGACGCCGGCAGATTTGGCGGGGCGGGCCCGGTTGACACGGGGTCCGTTGTCCGATGTGAGGGAGGACATTTCGTGAGAGAGATGGATAATGTGCGAGTTGACGATGGGTAGAAGGCGTCTCCATGGTGAAGGACATATTATATTTATATATATAGAGATGCGGCGACGGGATGGCCGTTCGCGGGAGGTACAGGTACCGCTACTTTGGTTCGTCGTTTGGCACTGAACCCTGTCCAAGCTGCTGAGGTGCTTGCAGGGGAGGGGGGTTTGATGGTTCCAGGGGTGTGCGGAGAAGATCAGGCCCATTGGGAAGTGTGTGCAACCGCCAAGCCAAGAAGGGAGCGCGTGCTCGCTGGGTCCTTTACCCTTCGGGTCTGCAAGAGTTGCTAGATCGCGGTCTCGACTCGGGGCCTTGAGTCTTTTGATGATGGTTTGATGGGGGCCGCAAGATTGCCCAGACGAAAGAAGACGAGAAAAAGGTGTCCAGGAGAGTAAATTATACCCACCAGCCTCTTGATAATCCGTGACGATGAGATTCCAAGGTGGATTACTCATAGGAAGGGGGAAATTTACATTTTTCTAGCTGGTATTCTAGGTAGACAGCCGCCATCACGGTGGCTTGAGCAAGCGGCAGATAACCTTGAGCACATCATCAGACTAACTCTCAAGGTGCGGCTCACGGGAATGACTTGGGGAGAGGGAAGAATTTTTTTAGATCCCACGAGGGAGTTGTCTCTTTTGAAAGGGGGGGGAACAGTTGGAGAAGCTACAATACAGTAACAGGGACTATGGAATTGGAGAAGCTCTAGACGAAAAGCATGGACGATGATCACCAGGCACAACCAGAACCTCTCACCTCCAGGTACAACACAACAAACCTCACAGCGGTCAGAGTGTCAAGCTAGGCAACATCAGAACAGACACGGGCACGTCGTGCATTGGGAGCAAAACACGCGTGTCTACAGAGCTTAGCCTCGATGCTCTAACTTCACCCAGGAGCGTTGCCAGATGAGAAAACAGACCCTCTCTTTTTTTCTCTTGCATCAAGATTACTCACGATGCTGCCAGAAGATGTCCCCATTATTGTGTGAGTACTGTACCGGTACCTGACTCTCACTTACAAGCACCAGAAAAAGAAGCAAAAGAGAGCTTCTGGTGGAGAAGAAGAAAAAAACTGACTGGGCTTCCAAGTTGAATCCACCATCAGAGACCGGGATTAGACACATCGTGCATGACTAGCGTCGATGGTGGAACCATCTGTGTCCGGTGCCGAAAGGAAAGAACCAAAAGAAAGGGTCCCGAGACGCTAACATCGTTGACTGTCCGTTGACTCGGAAGGTGTCTGTTCTGTAGGGCTCTTTCCATCCCATCTGTTCCTCCAACCTTGTTCCTTTCCTCCAACCGAGAAGGGAAAAGACACAAAATCAATAGCAAAGAGGAGCCTCTCTTCTATTAGCTCACTCAAAACTCATTATGTGATTCTCTTATTTCGCAATCCATCGGGTTCCCTTCCGAGCTCAGCCCAGTGCGACTGCCCATCTTAACAAAGCCGGGGTGTGATGAGTCGAAACGGAGATGCACAGTTTCGGGAGCCGCCGCTTCGGCCTCTCATCGCTACCACGAGGTCACGATGGTGGCCAGAGGGAGGTTGGATGGGGAATGGGTTCGGGAAGAGGATCCCTGACTCTCACACTGTCTCCCTCACGGGACTGGACCGGCATCGCATTGCAATCGACGACACCATCAAGCACGTCAGGCACGACAACTGCAAGGCACCTTGCTACCATCCACCATTCACCATCCATCATCACCGATCCAATGCCTTCCATGCATGGTTCTCGAGGTTTCTGTCTGGGCTGACCCAGGCAAGCCAAGCGAGAGCCGGCCCGTTTCGGAGACTTGTGCGCCAGTGAGAGAGCCTCACTCGGAGCTGGTCTTCCTCCCTTACCCACCACACACACACACACACAGTGATGAATGCTAAACTTGGATATGGTTATCGAGATCCTTCACGTCACTTACGACGCCCGACACTTGATGCCTTGGATACTTGATGATGATGAAGCATCAGACTGGAGAAGAAGCGGTCCTTATGACTTCACAAATCTCCACCTCAGTCCATCTGTGTTGCAACATCCCATCACCATTGCGCAAACACTTTCGGACCTAACCTCCGTGGGTTGGGGGTTGACGCAGAAACACCAGAACCCGTGCAGCTTGCCATGACTGAGAGAAATCCGACATAGGCCAACCGCATGCCCACACATCGGAAATACGGTACGACCGCCACGAGCACAGTGAGTGCGTATGTGCGGCTCGCACGGCAGAGGGTGGGCATCAGTCGGGAATGCCTCATTCCGGCGGTCAGTCAGACCAAGAAAGACGGAGAGACGGGAATTCTCTGCTTCAGCTCGCCCTGTCTCGTCTCAGCGCCTTTCTCTATCCCCTACCTACCTTAGGCGAACTATCGTGAAGACGGCCCAGGGAGGTTAGGTCCAGCGTGCGACCACCCACAGCTGCTAAGCAATTCTTATTACATGATGGGCAAACATTGCATATCCGCCCCCTCGTTCCGTTGTTGGTCTTTTCCCCATTTTGAACTGGCTCACCCAGAAACATGCAACTCGATCATGTGTACGCACCCCCCAAAGCCGGGGTCCCGTCGGCCGTTTGGAAGTCTGTGCTTCGTTCTCGAACCAAGCAGCCCATCAAAAGACTCCATCTGCCCTCGCAAACTCGGCTCCGCCCTTCTCTCCATCAGGCTCCAAACACCTTCACGGAGACTACGCTACCCCTGCAAGACGAGGCGGACAAGCTTTGCTCCTTATGGGCCGGCCGGCATTACCTGGGGATGGGAACATGGAGATGGGGCTCGGACGGACGACCTGCCAGAGGTGCACGATGCATGGCACGACAACGCTTCGTCGTCTCTGCATCGTGAGTTTCTTCAAGCCCTCATTCAGTTGTCATCGTCTTCTGTTACCGCCCCCGGTCCCGGCCTTTCCCCTCCCCCCTTCGCTTCTTTCTCCAATTGCCCCTCCCACCATCAGCTCTCATCACGATGCTGCCTGCCAATGGCCGATGGTGAACGGGCTTGCCGCTGACATGACTGGTCTAGCCGCGACAACGTGTTCTTATTTGGGAACTGTGGCGGCGAGGGAAAAGTCTGGTTTACCCAGCTCCGGGCCGGGGACCGTCGCAGGCAGCATCGCACACAATGCAACATCCAAAGGGGAAAGCTCGCGAGCGTAGGATTCAGAGCTACATCACGGGACACATTCCACACCGATCCACCGCGTCTTGTTTGAGACGAGGATGAGACGCTGCAACTCACACAATGGTCCTTTGGCAACCGTTGAAACCTCTCACTGCTGTTGAGAGGTGAAGCCATCTAGATCTCAGCCTATGGTCTGATTGCGGGGAGTCAAAGAGGACAGAGAGACACGGGGAAGCTCAGGCCGACGTAGTGGACCGGCGCCATGTGATGCATCTGGGTATACCCGCTCTCATGCATGCTGAGGGTGACAGTCTGGTGTTTAGCAGAAGACTAAGAGATCGGGCTAGCCTCCGAGATGATCTCCTCACCTTGTCCGCTGCTGGGCTCACTTACATGGCCATGGCGCGAAATGGGATGGTGTCAGTTGGTTGGCTGACTGCCCATGCACGCCTTCTTGTTTCGGCTGGGCGCGTCAGCCCAACACGAAAACACCACGATTTCACATCACGATACTTTTCGAGGCGACACCGATCAAGCATAAGCATACCTGCACGCCAGTTGTCGACCCCAAGGTTGGAAACAGGATACTTGACCATGTCCCTTTCAAACACGGCACTTGACCTCATCTCAGATCTCGAAAGTCGGTGAGTCAAATCTCTCGACTTACCCCCCTTTTCCCATTCCCCTCCAACCTCTTCATCTTGGTGGCCATTTCCCATCTCCACCATTTCTGGTCCCCAAATCCGATATCGTCGACTCTTCCATCCCGCCTAGCTCACCAGACCAGAAGGGTTTTCCTCTCACTAACCACGTTTGCTGTAGACCAAGGTACGGGGGCAACTAGCCCCCACCCCTAGCAACCGCGCTCCGGTATTGAGCTTGGATTAATTCGGAAGCCAAGCACCATCGGGAGAATGCACGGGCCAGCTTCGGTAGGTGAGAGTGGCTTCACCTGGAGAGCCGCTCCCACGTTGTCAGTGGTGGCCCATCACGACATGACCCTGGCTGACTGACAGCTGCGCAAGCTCATGGAGCACATGGACTGCTGGCCACTCGTCCACGCACACGCAGGCGCGTACCCTTCTCTTCTTCTGGAGCTGTCCCGAAACGAAAGGTCTGCCCGAGAAAGGACCTCCAACTCCACCACCGCTGCTCCGTGAGGCAAGGCGTTTAACTCTGACCTCGTCCGGTTCAGATTTGTGTTCTGTGACGATGCCCTGCCCGTCCTGTTCATGCCGAGTTGTCTCCCCCGTTGTTGTCTCCCGTCTCTTCCGTCCAGGTCCGAAAAGGCCCTTGATACTCACCTGTTCTCGCCGTCGGAGCCGACCGTGCAATTGCAGTTGGTCAAGGATGCCGCTAAGAGCCTCCGAAATGCTTAGCAAGTGATCACTGCTATTCCCGTGTCGCTCACCCGCGATCCACCGCGCAGCCGCTGTGCATGAAGCCGCCCTGGACATGTACCGTTTTCAGGGTCCAAACCCATCTCCGAGCGCACCGGGGCCGCCGTCCTAGCTCATGATTGGCTCCCAGGCTAAGGGTCTGGTGGATGTCTGTTGTCAACGAAAAGGCTTGTTTGTGTGAGGACTGTGAACTGCTGATTAATGGTTCTTTAGTTATCAATCTCGCCGATGATCCTGGTGTGCTTCGAGCCTGAGGCTGGTTAGACAGCAAACTCTATCCCCATGACGAATTCTGTGTCATCAGCGGCGTCGGCTCTGAACGCCGAGTTACCATCTCCAACAGTTGGAGAAGCAAGAGATGGTGTACACCAACTTCTTCCCCTCACTCTTGGTCACGCTCTTTCCATTTTGGCCCTTGCTGGAACGCTTGTGTTGGCCTCGTGATGCTCTTTCTTGATCATTAATAGCGGCACTGATATTACCCTACAGCAGTGGCATTGACATCAAGCACGTCAACCAACATGCTCACATTGGCACATCTAGGCATTGTTCAGAAACAGGTTTGACTGCTGAGAACTCTGCAGAGCCAATCTCGATGTCTCGATATGCCTCAGGTTCAAGCTAGCGAGACATGGCAGACATCATCTGGCATCTTGGACGTCGTCATTCACAGACTTGGCGATCATGAGAACAGCGCCCAAACAGTCTAGGCCGATGCAAGCCCTCATGTCTCGATACATCTGGACTCGAACCCCTCACTGAGGTCGAGGATAGGAGACACCGGTGTGTACGACGAATCGAGCTTTGGCAATGTCAGGGTGGTTTCGAGTCCGTCTTTGGACTACATTATTCGGCTTCTTACAACCCATCTACAACTGCTCAACTATGCATACGCCAACATCTGTCCCTTCGACAGTATCCATCATCGGGACTCTACAGTCGAGGCCATCATATCTTCATCTCACATCTACACAGACAACAACGCTTCACACCAACACCTTCGCCGAATGCCATCTACACCAAACCACACCGTTTTACAGACACCTCTATCCTATCTAATCGTGCCAAGAAATGTACAGCATGATGCCGGCACCCACGGCAACAGCCGTGAACTGAATTAGTGTCTTCTTGAGCTCTTGAGCCTTGTTGGGACCGGTCTCAAGGAGCTCAGGGATGACGGCCACAGTTCCGACGTAGAGGAAGGTGCCGGCCGTGAAAGGGAGAAGCATATCACCCCAAGACTACAACAACATTGTTAGCAAACTGACATGCAGTGCGGCCGGGCCCAAAGAGGTAGAGCAAACTTACCAAGCTGGTTCCCCAGAGACCCTCGTTGCGGCCCATGGGCACGTCGTCGCTGGGGCCACCAAACTCCTGAATAGCAATGCCGATCAGAGTACCGAGAAGAGCACCCAGGGCAGTGATGAACTGCGAACCCATGGCAGCACGCTTGGAGAAACCGGACTGGATGAGCAGGGCAAAGTCGCCGACCTCGTGGGGGATCTCGTGGAAGAAGACGGCAACGGTAGTGGTAGCGCCAATGGTGGGCGAGGCGTAGAAGCTGGCAGACATGGCGAGACCGTCGGTGATGTTGTGGGTGAAGTCGGCACTGCAAGTTATGTTAGTGATGTTCTCATGGAATTCCCATGCCGGTATCGGGGGACTTACATGAGGTTGAGGTAACCGCCAAGCTTGACGCTGGGGTTGATCTCCTTCTCAGTGTTCTCAACGGCATTGGCGACAACAGCGCCCTTGTCCTCGCTGCCCTTCTTGCGCGACTTGACGACAGAATCCGTAGCATCCACACCAGTTGAGATGGCCTTGTCTTCGGAGTGCGAGTGCGCATCACCATGTCCGTGCGAGTGGTCATGTCCCGCTCCACCGGTAGCGATTCGGAGACCCTTATCCATAGCAACAAAGGTCATGAAGCCCACCAAGATGCCAAGTCCAAGGATGAGGTTGCGGTTGGGCTCGACAAGGACAAACTTGACAGACTCATCGTGATCCTCACCAACAAAGATCTCGGGAAGCAGGTGGAAGAGGGTATCTCCGAGGAGACCGCCGACGGCGAAGGCGACCATGACGGACAAGGAGGCGGGGTCGATGTTGGTCGGGCATAGGGCGAGGAGGAAGTTGGGAGGACCTGAGATGTAGAGAGTAGCGAGTAGGGCGTTGACGGCTGGGGAACCGGGGAAGAGGACGGCGAAGAGGCGCGCGGTGAGGGAGGAGGGAGCTGCGGCGTGGTGGGCGTGCTTGGCAGCGTTGAGGTCTTTGACGATGGGGCAGGTCTGGGACTGTCGTTAGAGGGCTTCTCGATGTATGGGTGTATCGATATACATACCTGGAGCTGGGCGTCAAGCTCGTCAAGGCTCAGCTTGCCCACGTCGACGCCTGTGAGGCTCTCGACGTGCTCATGCTCATGGCCGGCGAGGACAAAGCCGACCAAGAGCGCGAGGCACAGAGCGGAAAAGAGGACGCTCTTGCGAGGGAGCGCCATGGTTCTGGATGTGAATTATACGGAGAGAAGGACAAGAAGAATATTACAATACAAATGCAAGGGAAGGGAAAGAAGGAGCGTGTAGATGCCTGTGTAGAGAGTTGCAAGTGGAGGACACCTTGCCAGGGGGCCAGAGACAGGTCGCCACTTTTTCCCATTGAGATCAAGCGCTCAGTGGTTGTGCGCGTGGCGCGCCGTGGTTAAGGCGCGCCCCATGCAGGGGAAGCTGAGCTATTGATCTGGGGCTGAGGATGGGCCGGCGCCGGACATGGCAGCGGATCGTCGGGCCTGGACTTTTCACGGTATCAATTGATGCCGCATTTAGCCTTTGAACAGAATTCCGTCTCTATTTTGCCGGTTTGATTGTTTGGAAATGTGTTGTCTTGGGTCTAATGGATACTTGTCAGCTTGTTCAGGGATCATCAGGGAGGGATAGCTATTGTATACCCTGGTCACGCGACATTCTACTTTACAGTCTAGACTTGTCTATTCAAAGACTTTTATTAGTGTATCAACTATTCTCAATAGTAAATTCTAGAGCAGCTCTTCAGCTCCCATCGACTCGGTGTCACTAAGAAAGGCAACAATAAATACATATCTACCCCGAGTACATGGTCACCTGGGTTCACAGGAGTTGACGTGTTTTGTTGTCTTTGACATTTCCACTTGCTAGGATAAGGATGATTCCAAGGATAACTATTAGGAAAAGTAGATAAACATGAGCTATAAACTCTTATATATGGTAGTTTTTATACAGCTTTATAATGATTCAATGTTCGGCATAGTATTATCCCCATCTCCTCTTTAGGTAGGTGCAGCGATACCATTAGGCTACAGTCCCTCACCTTGAAACGTCGTGCCGAAAACAATGTTACGCCGACCGCCCGGGGCCGGCACGGGGGCCTCGGCGGGTTCTCGGAGCCGATTCCGGGCCCATCCCGATCAGCTCATCCGGAAGTCACAGTTATCCCTAGGCCCCGCGCTTCTTCCCGCAGCTGAGGTCGTACAACGGCTTTTTGGTCAACTTGGATCCGACAACACCAAAACTAGGATTCGACGACTGAGTGCCGGCGTCGAGGAGAGTGTACCACCAAACGTTGGTGCTACCAAACATGGGACATCCAACATCCTTCCAGTATGTGCGGGCGTTGCTGACCGACGCGACACCCTCGCCAGATGTCTTGCCGCTGATGGGCCAGCCCGTCTCTGTGATCCAAATCTCCTTGCCGCCGGCTACAGCCTTGACTTTGTCCTTGGCGGCATTGAAGAGACTCGGGCCCTCGGATACGGGGTTGTGTTTGGTATCTTCGTAATAAGGATAAGCGTCCATACCGAGCCAGTCACAGGCGTCAATGACGGCTTTATTAGAGCCATTAACGTAGGCCGTCCATGTATCGACGTGACCAATTGGGATGGTCTCAAGACAAGTGCCTTTAACGGCATTGCGTGTTTGCGAGATGTAGTTTACCAGAGTATCTGGATTAACACCGGGATTCTCCTTATTCTTGATGCCTATGGGCGAGTTGCGGTAGAGATCCTCACTGCCTACTGAAATACCGGCGACGAGGTGGTTCAACTGGCTACAGTATTGCTCAGCAGTTTTCTTCAAAGCTGCGATCTCGTTGCCAAAGGCTGCGTCGCCACCAGAGGCCCAGAGACCGAACAGAAGACTGGTTTTGGTTTTGATAGCGGCAGGGATGGCAGAGACGGGATCGTTCGGTGTGCCTCCCTGAATCATGGTGTAAAGACGGGCACTCTTGAATGCGCCGCCAGTGCCTTCGAGGGAGGCAGCTGTCTTGAACTCGTTCTCAAAGTCGACCTGGGTCTTGGCGCTGCCGTCGGCTAGTGTGGTACCGTAGTTGAAGCCCTGGAAGGCTGCGTTGACTGCCCCGAGGGTGATGGCTAGGGCGAGGAGATGACTGGTAGAGAGCATTGTGATGTCAGATGAGGCTGAGATGGACAGGAACGTCTTTCGGTAATATTTGCGTAGCTATGAGCGAGTGTATCGATGAAGAGAAGGGATAGTGACCAAAAGCGAACGAGAATGTTGAGAGAGTGAAAAGTTGAAGAAAAAATGTCAAGTCAAAGGGGAGTCGACGACGAATACACTTCCAAGTTCGTTCTAGCATGTTGTGCGGGACGGCATGTCTACTCGATAGATACATGTCCCAACCTCGGATCCAACGGCAATCAAAGTCACCTCCAAGTCGCCCGTCAAAGAGAGTTTCCAGATAGTCAACTCTTGCTCCACCATGAATACGAGGAACTCTACACTGTGCTACAAGGCTCGACAGCCAGTGCGAGTGTAGAGGTGTGGCCAACTCTTGCCGTTAAGCTCCGGTCCAATCATGCTCAAGTCCAACACTGCCGTGCTAGCCAGTGAAGAGGGCATCAACAGACAAAACTCTCATTGCAAGCTTGTGTTTAGAGCTCACTGGACGCACTGATTTATATATAGTTTCTCAACTCCCTGGTGGCGATTATGTTTAGCAGTGGGCATCGCCTATAGATTGGTTAGCTCGTCATATGGACTTGGATTTGGACGTCTATGTTGATTTGCTATACTCACCGCTAGAGGGAATTTCCATAAAACTCGTACTTGTTTAGAGTATCGGGTCGTTGTAATACCCGATTATTAATGATGGCAACCCGGATAGCAGTTGCGATTCTTGAAGACTGTAGCTGGCGCTGGTCGTCCCATAACTTAGAGTGTCATTGGTTGCTAGATCACCTCTAAACCAGTGTTGGTGTATATTAACAAGACCTAAACCCGTATGCCTGAGTGATTGTGATATTGGTCTTCAATGGACTGTACATATAGACCTCATAGCGTTCACCTACTCATATTGAAAGCAGAGTTCCCGAGTTCAACACTGCCATCGGTCATTGCCATACAATTCGCAATCACCGAATTGACAACCCAGAGAGGAGAAACCATATCTCCTTGAACCAGCCACAACCTCAGTCTCTAAGCGCCATCTTCTTAATGTCCGAACTTGAAGAGGATCATGTTCAAACATTATAATGCCCATGTATAGATATTATGATGCTAATGTTTTAAGCCTTAGACAACCCCAGCACCAAGCCCCCAAACCCACCAACTATCTCTATCAACACAGAGCTAGATGAGATCGAGCACTGATCATCACAGATAACCCAGCCGCCCTTCTTAGAGAAATCTCGGGGTCTAGTCTGATAGTCAACGGCCGTGGCCCGTGATAGGCGGCTCAAGGTGCCCAATTCAGACGTCGGCATTCAACCAGATCTGGTTGGCTTCCGTAGCTCAGTTGGTTAGAGCGTCGTACTAATACTTCAGTCTACACTGTAATATCGGTGATGCGAAGGTCTCAGGTTCAAGCCCTGGCGGGAGCAATCCCATACGCCTCCCAGGTCATTCTTTTTGCTCTTTTTGACTCTTGGTTGTGGTGTTGTCATGTTGTGGTGATGATGCAGTGGTGTTGAGCGAGATTTGGTCGATATGTGGTTGGTGAAGGAACTGGGATAGACGTGTACCAAATTTTTGAGAAAAACCACAGTACAGGCCTGCAAGGCAAGACAACCTACATGTGCCCCAGATCTATTCAAATATGTCGCAAGGGGCTCTCATCATCGTGAACGCCTTGATCTTTGGGATCAAGTTGCTTGTGCTTGGTTGTCCGAATGTGGCAATTCAGGCTTAGGGCATAGACATCATAACCCTGACGAACATCATCATAAACCACACTGCTATCCAGTCATCTGCAAGTCTAATACCACGAGGACTAATGGGCCCAATATCACAGGATATGCAGGCATAATCATGAATGTGTCGGCAACTTCATGCCCTCAGACCAGGTTCCGTCATGGTCCTCCATCAGAAGCAGCCTTCAATTGCAGGCCATACATGGCAGTATCCATGTTCGATCCGAGGAGCGAGAACAGTGCAACCTGAGATGTCATATCCACAGCCCAAAGAATCCCCAAAACAGCACCTCAGCTATATACGGGTCTCGGAACTAGGGCCGTGGTATTTGTGGGAGGACTATCGAGGTTATATCTGTCCGCGAGCTGATAACCTCTCTCCGGATCTGTCCGAGTCTCTATAACCATCGACACTGGACATGAAGAGAGCGAGCTTTCTTCTAAAGCTATGGAAGCGCGTGGCAGACCCCAAGTGCTTGATGGGGTTCAGCAATCGAGGTGACTTGTGAACTTGGCATTACCATGATATCTACCAGCTGACTGACAGTGAGGCACGAAAGGGCTGTGTTGACGGCAAGGCCCATTGTCCAACGACAGCGGCTATCTTATGGCGGCGCAGACTTATCAAGAACAATGCAGCACCAAGGTGTCACGTCACACAGCACGCTTTGGCGTTCAATTTGTGATTGTGCCATTTCCTAAACTATCTATGCATCACTCTATCTCTCTGCCAGTCCATCCTGGTCTTGGGCTTCTCGTCCATCGGCGGCACTTCCTCCGCCTTGGTTAGACACCACAAGACACTCACGCAGACTCAAGTCTGGGACATTCAATAGCTAAAAGAAAAGACGTAAGATGCCATAAGGAATGCAACGAAAGCAAATGTCAAATTTGCCAGACATATTGTCCCTGCCGGGACCGCCGGCCGTGACTCGCATCAGGGGGCTGCCCGATCACCTCACAGAGGTTCTCGGGCTAGGCTTGTCCCCGGTGAAATTTCTCATCCTCATTGGTATAAAGATTCCTCATCAGTCCCCCAAAATAACCCGTTTGTCCATCTAGGCTGAGACAAGATAATCCCCGGGCCTTCCCCCTAATGTCGTGGCGAAGTGTAAAGCGTTTGAAAGAGAGACTGTGAAGCGAATTATAAACTTCTGTAGGTAATAAAAAAGGTTTGGGTAAAAGACAGAAAAAGACGTGTTTTAATCCATCCCATGCAGAACGGTAACAAGACTCCCCAGCATAAGGTAAGAAGAGGACCAAACGATAACATCAAAATGCAATCCGCCAGTCCGAGCAGTCGTGTGAAAAGAAAAATTCCGGGCGCATAAGTCGTGACAGTGAGAGAAGGGTAGCCGTAGCGTCACCTCTAAGCAGCGGGAGTGCTCTTGGTGAGCACCAGTCTAGGTGCCTTGCGCTGGCCATCAGCTGACTCCTGGCCCTTGGCCGCTCGCAGAGCGCCGTTCTTGAATACATTGGCAAAGGAGCTTGTTTCACTCTCGCTTGACGCAACACTTCCCACACTGTCGACGCTCTTGCGGGCCTTCTGGCGCGAGCTGGGACGATCCGAACCGATGGCTCCCCAACCGCCGCTAGCAGAGGTTCTTGAGCTGGGGCACTCCAGGTCACCAGCCAGGCTGCCAGAGCCGCTTCTTCCAGAGTCAGACTCGTTGTCGGTGATGGGTGTCGAAGACTCCTCGGCAGTCTCGGAAACGGGGCTCATGCTGCCACAGGAGCTACCAGTACCCTTGCGGCGCTCGAGGCCGGCGCGGACCAGGTTGTGGACTGCAGATCGGCGAGTGCGAGCGGCAAAGTTCTTGCTTCCCTCGATCTTGGCAGTGGGCTTCGACTTGAGCTCGTCCAGAGAGGGGGGGCCTCGGGGCTGGCGAACGGGGTGCTCTCCAGCACGAGCCTGGCCAGGGCCATATCCTCCGGTCAGGGGGCTCATGGGGAATGTCGAGGTCTTGGGGCCGGCAGACTTGGGAGCGTCCGAAAGAGAGGCAGCAGCGAGAGCACTGTTGAGAGGAGCGAGGGATGACGCCTTCTTGTGTCCGCGGCGGAAAGCATTGACGGATGGCGGAGGAAGAGGAGTCACCTCGGTGGGAGAGTCGTAGCGCTTAGGGGGCGAATTGCTGCGGAATGAGAAAGGCTGCGACTCAGCAGGAGGGGAAACCTGGACTGAGGGAGTGTTCTGCTGCTGTTGCTGCTGCTGGAAACCACCGAAACCAGGTGTCGAGGGCTGCTCGTTGTAGGGCGAAGTCATCTGGGCAGCAGCCTGTGGGGTCTCGACGTAGTACTGGCCGGTCATGGGGTTGTAGTACAGCTGCTGCTGCTGCTGGGGCTGCTGGGAGAGAACAGCCTGGGCACCGAGTTGCTGCTGCATGTTGTGAATTCGCTGCTGCTGCTCGTACAACGCAATCTGCTGCTGAGTGAGCTGAGGGTTGCTGAGGTTGAGCTGCTGGAACTGCTGGGCAGCAGCCTGGACACTACGCAGCTGCTGCTGGAGCCGCTGCTGCTGCTGAGCGAGGTACATGTTAGTAGCAACCAGCTGAGCATACAGGTTGGGATCCATGTGCTCCTGGGCCTGCTCATCAAGAGGGAGCTCAGGAGGAGCCAGAACCTGATCGACAGTGTACTGCTGACCCATCATGGAGTTGAAGTTGTTCTGGGCGGCGTACTGGGGAAAGGCTGTCTTGGGCGCATTGTAGATGTTGTCCTGGTTCATACCATAGGCGTTTCCAGCCATGGAGTTTCGGTTGAACTGCTGCGGGGGAACGGCACCCGTGGGAGACTGAGGTCCGAAAGAAGTAGCAGTGGCGGACTTGGGAGCCGTCCTCAGACCAGCAAGAAGATGAGAGCGGCTGGTGCGCGGGGTAGGAACACCGGCATCCTTATCATTGCCCTGGTTGATGTTTTCAAACGAGAGCGGCTTGAGGTTCTGGCCACCCCTGCGAGCGGCCAGGCCGCCAGTGGGCATGGAGAGCCCGTCGGGAGCGAAACCGTTGGAAGACATTTGAGCGAGACCGCCTGCGTCCATAGCTCAAAGCTGGATTCGCGCTTGTGTGAGATTTGAGGGAAGGAAAAAGAATGAATGTGAGGTGGCTGTCTCTCGCAAAGAAAGCAGTCACACAGATTAGAAGGTAATCTTGCTGAAATCCAGCAGAGTAATTATGCGTTGAGTACCGGTCGAATCGACAGGTGTTGTTGGACCTCGGCTAGTGGACGCGAAACGTATGTGGGAGATATCGTACGTGAGGCCAAAAAACCGCAAATCCAAGAAAGCACACGGGTACTTGAGACACGAGAAAAGGTCGAGAGAGAGTCGGATGACAAGCTGTGAGCTCGTCGAGAATTAGAACCGAGAGTAATTGCAACAGGAAAAAAGCTGGTGAATGAAAGGGCGACGCGGAAACGCGGTCGGCGGGAGGAGATCGGTTCGACAGATGATGTCGAAGGAGCAAAAGGGTCCGAAGGCGGAACCTGTGAGACTGGAGAGGCGAAAGGCCGGTCCGGAGCAGGCAGCGATCGAAATGTCGAGTGGCGACCGGGACGAGGTTTGCGAGGACGGTCAAAAGGAAGCAGGATTCCAGAGGATGCTGCTCCCTAAAGAGGCGTGAACAGGGTCGAGGTCAGGTGATGAGGGGACTGCCACGATTCCAAAAGAGTCGATGGCGAATGGATTGAGGATTTTGGCGATGGACCAAGAGATTCACGCTCAAAGCGGACGAGTCGGGTGATTGACACACGACTAGAATACGCGAGCACCAGCTGGTATTGTCTCTCCAAGACAAGACAGCGTCCTCCTAACGATGTCGTTCCAGTTGTGAAAAGTCCGGGCTTTGCCTTCTTGTATGACCCCTCCTCTTTGTTTTTTGTGATTGTTGAGTTTAATTGCCTGGTGGTCAAAGTCTGTTTCGGGGATCGTGGTTCCTTTTTCGATGCGGGTTGAGATTAAGCGTGGGCGTACGGATTTGTGGGAATAGGCGATGAAGCAAAAGAATCGACGAAAGAATAATACAGAGATTAAAAACTTTGGCAGGTATCGCCAGCTGATTGCGCCTTCCAGGACCTCGAAGTAGATCTGATCTTCTTTGTTGTTGTTTTTTTTTTATTTTCTTTTCCGTTGTCGTGGGATTTTGTTGGTTTGCAAGTCAAGTGCGAAAGCGGGCAACGGAGCGCAGCGTGGGTGGGACGAACCGACTCGCAGATGCGAACGCGACAAGGCCGAGGGACGTTGCAAACGAGGCGACGCGGGAAAGAGAGAGAGATCGAGAGAAAAGAGAGGAAGAGGAGAGGGGAGAATGAAGGAAGGGCGCAAAAAATAGTAGGCGAGGCGAAGGGGAGAGGGGAGGAAAAAGGAAGTGGAAGTGGTGGAGCAAGAAGGAAGTCGAGACGAGAGGAAGGAAGGAAGGGAAGAAAGAGGAAGTGGAAAGTGCGAAACGCAGGAGGTGCAGGCAGTGAGTGGGCGGCGAGTTGAGGAGCGAAAGCCCTTTGGGCTTGGCGGGCGGATGTGCTGGGGAAAGGAAGGAACGAACGGGTGGATGGGGTGGGAGGTGGGAGAGGGGACAAGGGAAGTGAAGGGAAGGCGCGATGTTGGACCTCCTTCATGCCTGCAACCACGCTGCCAGTGCCAGCACACACTGGAGGAATCCTAGCGACTGGACCAACCAGAAGCAGCTTGGAGGGCTGTGAATGGACAGAAGCAGCACGGTGCATCACACACTGTTCCTGGAGCCACCGAGCGCGTGTGCCAGCCCCTTGGGCTCGTCGTCCCAATCCCAGGCATTGGCCCCCTCCTCCTCCCAAAATAAAATAAAAATCGCCCAGGACGGATGGAATGAAAGCGACGGGCTACGGCACGCTCACATTGTGGCCAACGCGCTACGAGATGCTAAAAACGGGCCAGGGGGTATGCAGTGGGCTATTTACAGTGTCTGAACACAGTACGAGATCGATCACCCACAGCTTCTTGCCCTGCCTGCCCACCTCAATTTATTCTGTGCTGACGAGAGTGACAGGGCCGGGGAATATCTTTCAACTGCTCGGTTGCGTGAACCCTTGTGCCGAAAGCCTGACTCACCTCTTTCATGATTAATTAATGACGTCTTGAACCCCCATCAGAAATTGCTTGTGCTCGCTCGAGCGATGAGGAAACAAATTAACGAGGCGAATCCAAACAAGCACGTCCTTTATTCCTTCCCGTTGCTCGCTTTCGTCAAGTGAGCTGCAGAAAACAAACGTTGGAGGCGAAAAGAAAAAATCTCACCCTCGTCCAACCAATCGTGTCTTGGTCAAGCACCCGTCGAGAAACCGCTACCTGGCCGCGCAGTAGCTTCGGGCTCCAAATAGCGCGTGACAGCCCAGTTAGAGAGCAGAGACGACCTCTCTGGGTGGAGATGGCCACCTGGCACAGAGAAGCTCTTCTCTGTCGATGCACTGCAACTCCCCACAGCCGCCCGCTAAACAAGACACCTCCTGGCGCTCAATCGCAGTTGGACGACTCGCAGCACGACAGGGGTCGTCGAGATGCCCACGTCCCCAATCAGGGACGCTTGCGGCCGCTGCGGCGGACGTGAGGCAGCCCCCCAGGGCGCGCAGGGGCGGCCAGGAGGGGCTGGGGCCGACGGTTAGGGGCTAGGGGTGATGCGTTTTGGCGTTAGATGCCGCCAATCAGACGAGGCCATCCAGGGGATGTGATGGATGGATGGATCCTTGCAGCACTCTGCAACGGCGTGATCGGCGTCCGTTTTTGTCTCGTCTTGGACAGTCGTTCAATGCAAGTTCCCTTTGCTTGGAGCTCTTAGTTGCTGCTGCTGCGAGGGACAGGAGATTCCGTGGTGCTGATAAGGTGTACGTTGACATGTGGATGCGTCAAAGGCCGCGGCCGCTTCTGTGCGTCGAGAGGCCTTGATGAGGAAACGAAACAAAGCAAGACATCGGCGAGAGAAGCCGATACCAGGGATTGGCAGATATTACCAGCTCACTAAGGAATGAACCGAGTCCGGGACAGCAGCACAGACTCGTCAGCACAGCAAAAGGCCAAGGATGACGCTCGCTTTCATTATCAACGATCCATCCTACCGTCCCAGGCGAGGAACAAAGAAACGCTGGGCCCCGGTATCTTGCCTATCGAAATCGGTCCTGGTCACTGTGGCGGCTCCGCCATGCAAAGCATGTCATGGTTGCTTTTTCTTCCCTTGCAAGAGAGCCGGGGCTCATCGGACGAAACAGAGCAGGAACTGACTGACGGACAGTGACGGCGATATGGCGACTCGAATTCGATCAGGGACGGCTTTCTAATATGGGTAGCATCGTCAGCTCGTCCCTTACCGTGGCCACCACAATCACCACCACTACAAACCCCAGGTTGCCATCCATCCATCCATCCATCCATCCATCACGGCCCAAGGAACAGTCCACCTTTGTCAACCTGAATCTCGGGGAGCGGACCATCCCGTCTTGAGTAGACGGAGACTGACCTGGCCCCTTCTTTCGGCTCTCGACTTCCCAGCTCGGCATCATGTTGAGCAGCTTTCGAGATGACCCCTGTGCCCTTGTCAGCAGCCTCGTCGTTGATTGCCCAGGGCCCCCTTCCTTTCGTATTTTCCCCATGCCGGCGACATGTTTCACGACCGCGGACCTCCTGGTCCATTTCCCTTTTGGATCCCCTGGAGGCCCAGTCTGGTACCCGTCACACGTGCCGTAGAAGGGGACGCGCCCTTTAGACGAACCGTCCAGGGCTCACGGGGTTCTTGGAGCGTTTCGCAATAACTGCTTCTCCAGGTTTCGATCGATATATTGTCTGATGGGCAGTATATTAATTTAATTGCGCATGTTCAGCTGGGACCGCGATTCTCAGCATTTCAATAGCTCTGCTTCCTTGGAGCTGTATCCGCAGCCGAGCGACACTATTTGGACGTGGCGCAACTTTGGAATGAGCCCTGTGATGGACCTTGGACCCTGTCAGGCCTGTCTCTGGAGCGCGTGAAACGAAACGCTAGCCACGGAAGAAATCAGCAAGCGAGTGCTAGTCTGCATCAGACGCAGGTACGCAAGAGAAACTCTGAGTTTGTGTGCGCTGAGAGGGGGACGTTGTAACCCTGAGAGTTGCCGTCGTTCGATTTGGGTTTCCTCTAGCAGTTGATCAAAATGAGGATAACACGAGCTCGCCGAGATAGCCTCAGTCTTGACGTGTCTCCAGATGTCTAAGATTCAGAGACATGATAGAAAAGAGGCCCGACAACTAGGCTAAGCCAGATACCCGCAACCATGTCTCTGTCCGCCTAGTTCAAATCTCCAGCAAGAGACGCGTCTCAGTCCCTCCCCCTCATTTCCCCTGGCTAATACGATACGCAAGCGCCCAAGAGTGTAAATTTCGCTGACGCCGGCAAGGCATGGGCATGGGGAATGCGAGTTTAGCCTGCGTGTGGCTTGGGGCCATCGTATACGTGCTCAGTTAAGCCGTCTTTTTTCAGCAATCCTCCGTCCTCCGAGTCTCGGGCCTGCCTTGTTATGTTGTCTTGCGTTGACAAATGCAACGAGTCGCTCGGTACGTGGTACTCGGCGTCTAAGTTTGGGGGGCATCAGGTGGTTGTGCATGTGCACAACCAACTCACAACCTATCGTGATGCATCAAGAGGCAGTGAGCTCGACGTTGGGAAGTACAGCCTAGCATTGCATACTATGAAACCCCAAGCTCGTGCTCTCGGACCCCTCTTGATGTCGTCCTCTACCGCCTGCGCCGTTACACCGCAACGCGTCTATCGAGCAGTTGCAGCATCAGCCGAGCCGCCCTTCACGCGCGTGCCTCAGCGGCGTAGCTGTGGGCATCTCCAAAGACGACTGGCCACGGTTAAGCAGACTGCAACTGCAACTGCAACACACAAAGTTTATCCCCCCCCCCGGCGGGTGCAACACCATATCCCTTCCTTTGGTAACGGGAAGCCATCCCCGGGCGCGAAGGTCCGCTGCAAGTCCCGGCGCTTATCATTGTCGAGCGGGGATCCAATCGCGGTCGCGGCTCCGTCGAGACTTTACAGCTTTTGCTTTTGTGAACTGCCTAGCTAACCCAGCCCAGTTTGCCTTGCCGGTCTGGTCTAGAGCGGCGTCTTGTCCCTCGTGACCGGCATGGGATCCACGAATGTCTCATCCTCTTGCAGCGAGTGCGAGCGGTTATGCCCGAGTCTGCAGCATCATAGCGTCTGAGCTATCGATTCGCCATCTGTGTAATGACCAACATCGTAATCTAGTCGAGACTGGTGGCTGCAGTTCAGTCGAGAACCAACTTCAGCTTTGCTTGTTGAAGTTGTTGTCGGCAGTGTCCGAAGATATTCTGCTTGTGTTCTGCTGGCAATCAGCTCGACTCAGCTTACCCTACACCACTTTGACGAATTGCCTCGTGGACATGAATAAGCACTCAACTTTGACTTTAATTATAGATAAGCTAATAAGTTTGAAGGCTATATATAAGCTTCATGGCTTCCTTGGCGTTGGCCACGCTGATTCCACGTGTAAGCTTGTAAGACGTGGGAAATCAGGGACACTGCTAGAGAAACTCTGTCTTCATCTTCCACTTCTCGAAGCCAGTCACTCGCAGCCTCAACCCAGCAATCCCAACATAGATAGAACAAAGTAAGCAAAGACCATTGCCGTCTCTAGTCTCATAATAAAGGACAACTTCAAATCTGGACCAGGTTGTCGGGTCTTCTCTGGAATGAGCCGAGTCATGATCTAGACCATTTGCCTCGGTTGAGGCTCAAGCAGCCGGTGATTCCAACAGCCGGGTTAGGTATGACCCCAAACGTGAAAGTGCTGTAAACCCTAGATTTATTCAAAATCTGAAACTAAGGGCCATGGGCCTTTGGTAACGCTCGTGCCGTTGTCGTGTGATATCCATTCCTCGGCGTGTCCGAACTACTTGCGCACGCACGACCGGGGACTGGACGGCATGAGCCGAGATTATACGACGGATTATTCTTCCCCGTGAGCCTTGCTGATTCAAAATCGGAGACTCCGGCACTTTTTGTTGAATCTCGTGTTAAGGCTGAAAGATGATGTGAGTGAGTCACCATGTTAGAGAGTCGCCTATAACTTAGCTCAGCTGATCAATACGTGGAGGCGAACAAACCTATCCTCAGAGTTCTCTTTAGTTCTGTGAGATTTCAGTGGCAAGTAGTAGTACTTGCTGAACACAGAAGAGACATGTCGATATAATTACCCGGTGACGTTTCCTATACTGACGATGAAGACATGGGAGATAGCAACGCAGTGCGCCAAGTCAAGAGGACATAAGGCGTACAGGAATTTGATACTGCTCTTAACAAACGAGATAAGAGCCGATTTTAAATAGAGAGCCCGAGAATCTGTTGTTATGTGTGTCGAAGCCTGCGTACGAAGCTCTCGTGGTGTTGTCGCTGTGCTATCAACCCAGGGCCGCTCTGGGTCCCCCATTGGGCTCCTTTCAACCCCCGGGACTCACTACAGGGCAGTGAAAAAGACTGGGTCGGCTAGAACAATAGCGTCATCTCTTAAACTAGTCCTCATGAGTTCAGGTGTGTAGATGTCCCTAGCTGCCGAGAGTTTCGGACATGGCCTGGTCGTGCCTGGGCTGCACGGCCTACCTACTTAGACGTCTAGTCCAAACGCACAACTTAGCAATCGTCACCAGCGAATTGAAATCACCAGAATAAGCATGGGAGGGTTGAAAAGGAATCCTAGAGACATGGATTCTTCAGCCCCGGGAGCTCTCAGGGGCTAGCTCGGCCGCATGTGATAGCGTAGAGATGCCCAGACGGAGGTAAGCAACTGCACTGCCACCGCCTTTAGTTCAGCTCGGGGAAAGTTGTATCTCCATGAGAGAGACTTGTATCTAGACTTGACGGCTGAAGAACCAAGTTGATCCTGTTCGCCCTTCTAGGAATGCCTCTCCGGATCTGCGGCGCGTCTCACCAAGAAGGAATCGGTGCCATGACATGCTTAGTTGAGCACATCTACCATGCCAATTAAGTAGTTTGAGAGGTTTCGAATAGCAAGGATTCAAAGCGAGACCCAAGTCTCTGTGAGAGCGCATGTCGGAAAGAGTGGCATAGTCGGGCATGAGCCCGGTCACTGCACTGGACAACCTCCTCAGTACATTTCTTCCCTTCAGGATTGTACCAAAGTCAATGAAGACGCTCCAAAGTACCAATTTATGAGACATGTTGCGATATGAGTAGTTTAGTATATGCTGAGTCAAGCCTGTGATGCCGCTCCGACTTGGCGGATCTGACACCACTCCCCTAGCCAAGAAGCACAACGGATGTGTGAGCTCTAACGTGGACTCTAACATCTTAAAGAGAGAGAAAACACCCATAAAATTCACCCAGATAATAGGGAGCCATAAGAGAATCCCTCCTGTGCGTAGTTGTAGAGTCTTTCTGCTTCCCCTGAGGCGAGGTAATACCAGATGCTCGGAGCTGACGGTCACTTACCTCCGAAATTATAGAAACAACCCCAGTCCCAAAGACTATGTTCACATTAACAAAGTCATATTAGACACGTCTATGCAGACACCAACCTTCTAATGCAAGCTAGAACATGTATATGCAATGCCAGATCAGTATCTCAAACAACACCACCCTTCGCATCATATGCCCCCCTACGGACAGTTATCCTCTAACGTAAACGTCATAGAAGTAACCGTTTCGGAAACAAACAATCTCCCCCTCAGAAGCCTCAGTGACAAAAGTCCCTAAAACCTCTAGATCAGATCACATCACAAATGTCCACTCGGAGACACTCTGCACGCGTCTCACACCTTCTCGATTGAAGAAAAGACTGGAAGATCCCTGGACCTTGAACATCACGCGCATCTTGGGATCTTTTTCTCCACAGATGTTTGGAGGGGAGGGGGCTGACCGTTGAACATGCAGAAGTGTGCTCGCAAGGAAAACATACACACACACCCCCTTCAACCAACCGTGTGATGGTTACTCTTTAGGATAAATCAAACGTATGCTCCCCGCTCAGCCCTACACTAGATCATGCTCATCATCAGGTGGCCGTCGTCGTACTCGTGAATCCCACAGCCCTACATGCACACACAGCCCAACATGACACTCTCCTCTCCCCCCCCCAACCAATTCCAAACAGCAACCCGTGATCACCCGCCTCACCACACTTTCAAAATCCCTGCCCCGTCGTCTCACGTAATACCTCTAAATCCTTCCATGGCCCACGCCGAGGAAGTAGTTGCGAGACACCATGTCACTGTACCGCGTAAAAAAAGGGGGGCGGCCGACCTGCGGGGGAAACGAAATCGAGCATAGCAAGATGTCATATCGTCGTTTCGTCGATCATGCGGCATGTCAGACTTTCGCTCGGACATGTTGGGCTCAAAGTGGACAAATCTTGTCTTGCAAAAGGGAGAGAGAAAGCATGACGCGCGCCAGGGGAGGGGGGGGGCCTCGTCGATACACATCGTCTGACAGATATTGCGGGTAAATCTGACTGGTTTCTCCTTTTGCTTAGCGAGAAATCGACTCTTTTTCTTGATCTGGCGTGTTTCTCGACAACAAGTCCTACGGAATAAGCACTTGCAAGGGGGAGGCTGCTGTTTTGCTTGTCTGTAAGGCTGACGAGAGCCTCATGGGAGCCTGGGGGGGATAAAGTGGGAACTGACGAGGCTCTGTGACTTGAAAGGTATTGGTTCGGAGCATCTGGACCGGCCAAATACCAAAGATAAACAAAGAGACCGAGGATAGAATGAGATTCGAGAGTGCTGAGTTGGACTTTCATATGTGGGTATTATGGTAGAGACCTCTTGTTACATCTAGACACAAAACCACATGGGTATACCTCGTATGAACAAGAAACAAATATCATCATATCATCATGAGTCAGAGTATGAACCCTGACATATGTAACACTGTGAAATACAACTTCAACCCTCCCGGTGTGGCCTAAAAGCTCACAGAGTAACCTTTAAAAAGGGTATTATGTACTTTGACGGTGCCCCCAAGAAACCAAAACAAGGACAGAAAAGGAAAAGAAAAGAAAAAAAAAAGAGAAAAACAATGCTGCCTCAGTATGTCACACGCCGTTGTGGTAACCAAGACGAGTAAAACCCTTGCCGCAAGTTGCACCCTTTGTAATGCGTCCACTCTAACATGAAAAGTCGTAAATGGTCGTTACGCCTGGGATCCCCCAAAGCCAGCCAGCCTAACCCAGCCATGATGAAATTACCAGCTGCATCTTTTACCCATCACCGCATCTCCTCAGGTCGCACCGTTGCTCCGTAGAATCCGCCGCCGTGGTTGCCGCCGGAGGCCGCACAGGCGAGACAAACACCGCCGCCATAGACACGCGTATGTCTCGTCCAACCAGCGCCCTCGGCATCCAGAACGCCGATAATCTCGCCCTGCACGTCGATCCCCTTGGCCCCTGCGTTTGGTGGGGCTGGGGGCAGCAACGGACTCGTGGGTGGGTAGGAACTGGGTGAAAAAGTAAGATCGGCAGCATCCGAAGTGCCTTGGACAAGAGACGCGGGAACGGGAACACCGATGGGCAGCGTCTTGTTGTACGAGCGCCGGCGGGCGATGGAAGGAGATGCTGAGCGAGGAGGCAGGATGGCGCTGGTGGTCGACGACATGTAATCCGGATTCGGCTGGTGGATGAAGCTATCCTCCCCCGGTCGCGGCCGGTCGTCAAACGTGAAGACGGCGGTGCTCAACTCGGGCGGCGTCAGAGGCGGCGCAGGAGGTGGACGCGACATGACCTGCATTGGCAACGCGCTGCTCTGCCAGTTGGGGTTGATGACTAGTTTCTTGCCTCTGGTCGACTTGTCTTCCCCTAGACCCTCGCCAGGGATGAGGTCCTCCTGAGTGGTGGGCGGCGTAATGTCCTTCTCGTCCATTGTCCAGATGGGCCGCGACGGCAGCAGTTGATGATGCGGTGCTGATAGAATATGCGATCTGGTAGTTGGGAGAATACTGGTATGCCGCTCAGCACCGCGCACTTGTCGCAACCATAGGTACAGCCTGACGACGCAGAACCGAGCAATAACAACAACTGCAAAGAGGGCGAGCCCGGTCTGAAGAGTCGCCAACGAGGGAGGCAGGTTGTTCAAGTAGTTGCGAGTTGACGTCGCCAAGGTGGTGTCGGGTGTAAGTTGCACCACGCCTCGACTTGTTACAGGCATGGTTATTAGTGGTTGATGTATTCGAGGAAACTCAATTTGGCGCCAGTCAGCGGGGCCACTCCCAGGACGAAAGTCACTCTACTTTCTGCGGTCAGACGGTACTTCTGGGGGGATGCCTGCCCGTTGCGACAAGATCCTCGTATGGTAGGGCGGAGCCAAGAAGGTCAAGAAGGCTGGCGCTGGCGCTGGGCTGAACAGGGTTGTCGGCCAGCTCGGATGGCGTCGATCCAGGGCTCTTCTCCAGACTTGTGTGCTGTAAACTTGACAGATGGGGGGGCGACTGAGTAAGCTCGGCGCGTCTTGAGAGTGCTTGGTCGGCCGTGGCTTGTATCAGATAGATTGAATGGCGGATGACTTCTCTGAAGACTCGGTTTGGTAATCTCTGGAGCCGGCAACGTCCGACTTACATCAGAGCCAGATTCAGATTCGTCAGACGGGGTTACAGCGATATGGATACGCTGCCAAGCGGTGCGACAAGCCGTCTCTTGGATCGAGTTCAAGTGCGTGGTGCCTGAGTCGTGGCGAAATAAGATGAGGCTGATGAGTTTTGGTAGTCGGCATGCAGATGAGTCGACGAATGCGAGTGCGCGTTAGAGTAATCGAGCTGGAAGCAAGATTCGATCGATACTTGACCAGTAGGCATGGGTTGGGGACACGGATCTTATATGGCTATTATACAACGAACTGGTAGAAGCGGACATTGCAACCAAAGCACGACATGTGCGTATCGAGCCAAGCCAGACGCATCGCTCGCTTGCTCGCTCGATGTCATCCGGGGCGAAAGTTCGCAGGCGTACGGCACGATAGCACTACACCCCCATGGCTGTCCTGCACACCCCGACGCTTGCTGAGTCCAGGCCAGGACAGTTGAGCAAGGACTGTTCGCGAGGGCGAAAAAGGGCATGCCTCAGACAGCCTCTTTCGACGCTGCCACCAATGGAGGCGAGCTGTGGCTTCGGCTCCGGACCTGGGTACGACACTCCAGGACGTTTGGCTTTTAGGGGTGGCTTTGGCCGAGTGGAGAGTTGTGGATTTCAAGACGGGATGCCAGGGTTCAATAGTGGCACAAGGTGTACGACTCTACCAGGATGAGAGAGTCAAAGTCGCTCACCCTCAGTTGTAGCAAACAGTCGCCGCTGACCCCAGCAAACTCTGAGTGATTCCATAGACGGTCCTCGAAATAAGGCAAGGCAAAACCTGCCGAGATACAGTAATTAACTGGGATTGTCAGACGAAACGTGACGAGACAAGACACGGGGGGTCAGGTCGCAATCCAAGGGGGTGAGATTGCAAGGACATTGCAAGCTGGACTGGACTGTCTCAAGCAATCAAGTTGGACAAGCCCAACTCGGTAAACCGCCAACATGCGCGCAAACGTCCCAACCACCATCTTCATCCGTCTCCCCTCCAGTCCAGCTGGCAAGCAACGCAACCACGAAGTCAGGTCGTCGAATAGAAGCCAGTGCGCCTCGGTTGATGGTGTGGGATGGTCGTGGTGGAAGGAAAGGGCCCGAAACTGTTCGCCCCGGGCCAAGAAGCACCCGAGTCGATTGGAGGGTGCCGTCTCCAAAAAGTCGTTTGCTGCAAAAGATCGGGATCCCTGTTTTCAGCCCGAGACGTCGACAGGAAGGCGTCAGAGACACAGAAAGTTGTCTGGCCAAGTCGGCAGGTCAGGCAAAACGCTCGAGGACTAGCCGGGCGTCCCTGGCCAAGATGCCCCACGATCGCACTGCAATCTGCTTCGAGCCCCGGTGACCCATCAGTTGTGCAGAATAGTTCCCTGACCAGGCCCGATTCTGGTCAGTTTGGCGAGGGAGTGACGCCAGAGGAGCAGCTAAAGTGAGGATTTCAGCTGAGGTGAGCCCTACTCTAACGACGCCATGGTCCAGAGACAGACCCCTGTCGCGAGCTTGTTCATCGACAGGGACCGTCCCGGGGACGCCATTGGCCACAGCGCCACGGAGGGATGGGGCAGAGACGAGCCCTGTGGCCATTTTGGGGGGAGACAAGCAGGACAAGACAGCAGGGGTCCGTGGCATGGCATGGGATTCGGGCAAGCCTCTGAGCCTCTGCAGAGTGCGAGTCTTGCTGCAAGTATCGAACCCTTTCTGGCGAGCTGCAACGGGACTTTGGCCTCACTCCCCGAACTCGTGCGTATCCGACTGCCGGGGACGGGATCGCCCGAAATGGTTGTTTGAATGTGTCAATAAACTTTGTATCAAACCTTTGCAGGATCAAGTAGCTTGGCCTAGCAGAGCGGTGTGTTGCCAGTGCTGCCAGTGCTGCCATGGCGGCCCTTGAACATGAAATGTCCCTGCATGAGGCGCCTGGGTGCAACCATGCGAGCAGAAATAACCATGTATCACTAGACTTGATCAATGCCGACGTCCCTGGCCTAGTCAAGCCAAAGAAGTCGGTGATATGGAGAATGTCGGCCAGGAAGAGAAAGGTCTGGCGAACGGTCCTTGGCTGGATTGCCAACTGTATCGACATTTCAGCCAGCCCGGCCCAGGGCAGAGCATCACAAGAGCGTCAAGAGCGGGGCTGGGGGCGTCTTGTCAATCTATCTTGCGCCTGGCGGATAGATTGGCCGTGTCTGTGTCTGTGTCTGTCTTTCGACCAAGTCTGGATGGAACATGCGTCTGGAATCCTTCGAGCGCAAGTGGTTGCCTGGCGTCACCTTACAAGGCTTGGTCTTTGGGCGGTAGGGCGGTCTATTCCTCCAAGTCTGTCGACTCTGATCTAGCCGTCGACTGACATTTCGGCCAATCCGGGAAAAGATTGACGACTTGGTGATTAATAGTACCTACTCCAGGTGTGTGACGGAGATGCCATCTGCCTGCCGCGACCAGTTCATGACAGCGCGATTGCCGAGCCGATTCTCGAGGCTCGTCGAGATCCTTCTCCATCACGGCCATGACCGATCAGGTCCTGTTAGGTAGGCTTGCAGGAGAAAAACTAGAAAACGCACCGAAAGACAAGACTGAACTCAGATTAGTTCAAAGCCTGCTGTGGCGCGTGGCACATAACGGGACAATTGTGCTGTTGCGCGTGGATGCTGGGATCGTCAAGTGTGGGATGATCGGGGAGGGCTCAGCTGAACTGGCTGATTGAGGGCACGTGATTGGACACGGAGGAAGGAAAGAGAGGAGCCGCCATTCCTGTTTGGGGTCACGGCTTGCAAGGAAACTGAGACTGACATCGCACGGGATGTCATTGGGATCTTGCTTTGTTGAAGAACCAAAGACAAGACAACAAATCTTCCATCCTATCCACCCTCTACAGTACCTCGGGGTCGAAGCGATGGTGTGTGTGCCATGCCCTACAGTCCAGTCCATACCCTGCCCGACCCTCGCTACGCAACCGTCTCCTTCCAGAATCGGGGACCGTGGTTGTGCCCTGCGTCATGAAGCGTCGGTGGTGGCATGATATCCCGCTCGGCGGCAGGTCGATTCACATCCATCCAAGCTGATGTTGGACCTCCTTCACCAATATCGCACCCGAATTTTCCGAACCAGATGCCAACTCATTTGAAAGCCAGCGGATGTGATGCAGAGGCGACATGCTGCGCCCAAACAACAGCCAGTCACGCGCCTCAGGGACATGCCAATGTCTCGCTTTTCCCCTGCTGGCGTCTCAGAGCTTCTCCAGCGTCTCGGTAGCGAATCATATATGGGCGATCGGCGGCGGCGGCAACCTTGCCCAGCTGACGGAAAGGGAGGAGACGGAGGGAGTGCGGTGCGCAGTCGGCACCGGCACTCTTTGCTCCTGGGCACAGCACGCACAGTAGAGCCCAGACCCGTTGGCTGCACACCGTACTCTGCTGTAGCACTCCGTATCCAGTCAGCCAGTCCAGCCTCGGCGAGCGGATCCTCGCTAGGCCTTCTCCCTGCCCCAAAACGGACCTCCAGACTGAGGCCCTAGCTCACCTTCTAGAAGGTGGACGGCTTGGCGTCCCTTGCAATGTCTCCACCAACCTTTGGGCTTGGACGCGATGGCCCTTTGAATCTTGTCATGTTGGTTGCCACACTGCGCCTCCATTGCAACGCAATCTCTTTCTCAGCCTGTTCCCACGAGGGGAAAAAAGCCTCTATCAAGACGAGGTCCAAATGCTATGTACGCACCACCCCCATGGTCGAATACTACCCACACAAAACAAAGACGACTCCCGAGGATGCAAGGTCATGTAGGATTCCCGGTTGGGAAGGCTGGGTTAGGTTCCTTTTGGCTTTTTTTCAGCTGGGATGGGATGCGTGTTTGAGACACCATCTTATTCTTGTCCTTGGCTACTGCGTTGTATGCGCATGGCAAAGAGCAACGATTTTCAGATTTGCGTCGCACATGTCCCGATCGGGGACCTTGTGGATGACTAGGCGAATCCTCAACGTTTCGACGCACGCAAGGATCATCACCAACAGATGAGATGGATGACACGAGGGGACAAGCAAGCAAGCAAGGAACGACAAAAGGTTGCAATAGCACGCGAAGGAAGGACAAGGGCTGGTTCTGGCTCACTCTGCATATGCATGCGGTTGGTGCGCGCGTTCTGCTCTGGCCTGGTCTGCTCTGAGGCTCGCTCACAGGGGCTCAGAAACACGCCGACACCACTTTCTATTCTGTCCGTCCCTGACATCAATGTCGCTATTCTTGACAATGGATGCAACCGGGCTGCAGTTTGTTGCAGCTGCAACCTCGATTTACCCGCGACACCCACGCATCATCGCATCAGACCAGACCATATCATACTGTTCGGACCTTGGCAACCAGCCAGCCTTTTGCTGATTCTCGAAATCTCTTCCCCTGGAGATGACCCGGTCTCGGCTTATACCAGTACAGGCAATGGACCCCGTCTCTCCAGGTCAGGCGAACCCCATTCTCCATGGCGATAGGTTCTCTGTCCTATCCTATCCATGTCAGCCTTGGGCATGACCACGACCGCACTGTACTCTAATTCCGCTCTTCGGCAAGACTTTTTGTCGCACTAATCCTCCATTCTTGATTGCCCCTCACGACTCCCCCTCCACGTCGCATCGAAAATAGCTCCTTGTTCAGCCTTACGAGTCGGCCCCCACCACCCTCAGTCGCATCCTTGTCGCTCACTCGCTCGTCAGCAACTTGTCTAGTTCTCCCGGTGCGTCACACGGAGCATAGGCTACGCAAATGGAAGCCTCCTCCATGTCCAACGGTCGTCGTTGGTCTGCTTTTCCTTGGTCCAACCGCCAACCTCCGAGCATCCCGGGATATAATAGCAGCTCTCTTATTATCCTCATTCGTATTGTACGTCCATCTTTTCCGTCTTGGCCACGGAATTGCCCCTTTGAGCGTTTCGCGCCGACCCCATCCCCATCCACTTTGCGTTTTGAATCATGATGGGCTTGCTGACAAGACCCTGACTTGACTTGCCTTGGACTTACAAGGGCCAAGAGGCTCCATCAAGAGGCTCTCAGCGAGGCGCATGTTTCTCGGAGCGGTAACTGCACGGCATGACATTGGTTCGGTCGCATTTGACACCCCGAGTTGACGCAAAGGACTACGACGCCTCTTGCCACTTGACGCCGAATCAACTCGTTCGTCCTGCCGGCATTCAATCTCACGATAGAACGCGTCTCTCGGCGTAATGCTTGAGTCAACCGTGCGCCTCTTTAATTGTGGACGATGACATTCTTGCCCTCGCACAGGGGCCAACCAACGGTCCGCGATCGCATCTCACCGCTCGTGTCAAGCGCCGGCGCAAGCACCGACCATCCAGCCAGCCTCATGACAAGCCAAGACGACGGGGCTCCCCAGGGGTTCCGCAACGCCCGGTTGTGGTGTCGGCCTTGTTCGGATCGCGTACCCTGCTACGTCACTTGGTCCATGTCGATGTACAGTGACAAAGACATTCGAGGCTGATGGAGGTCAACCACTGGCCTCCTGGGTTGGCCCTAGTTGTCCAACTCGAACGCGATGTGGTGGAAGAAGCGCGACTTGAGACTTGTTTGGGGATGATGTGGGCAATAGTGTCTGCCACACCTCGGACCTGACTCACGGACATGAGGCTCAACAAGGCAATCAAATGATATCAATCCCACAGCGTAATTGGTTTAGTGGTAAAATTCTCCGTTGCCATTCGAGCAGCGTCGGGGAGCCCTGGGTTCGATTCCCAGATTACGCATTCCTTTTGCATGTCATCTGCACGAGTATCTCTTTTGCAGTCTGACTGCAACACCTCGTCTCTTTTTGTTGGTGTTGTCACATTTCCAGGGGCTATAGGGCTGAATCCTAAAGCTTAGGTAGGCATGTGCCCAGGTACCTAGATGAATGGGAAGGTGTTTAGACTCGGCTACTGCACCTTGCCTTTGTCTCGCGGCAAGACAACACCAACACCAACACCAACAGCACAACCTACCGCTCTTGGCAAATGTCACCCACCACCCGCTTCAAATTCCACCTTCTCCTCCCGAGCCCTAAACCACTCTTGTCTCACTCTGCCGATGTAGATCAGGGATCCCCAAGTATAGAATAGTAGCAAGGGCGAGAGGCTGGCTGACAAGCAAATAGGTCCAGTCACTATTGTATTAGTCGCCCGACCAGGGGTCAGAGCGCCTCGCAACGTACGAATAGCAGCTCTGGGATGGTTCCGACAACGCGGATATCCCCTCTTCCGGCGTCTGAGCCGTGTCGGCCACGGTCAGCGCCCGTTCCGCTGACTGTTGAGTGGCTGGCTAATCTCGGAGTAGGCTTCTTTGTTTTTTTTCTCTTGTGCGACATTGGACAAAGAAGAATGTGTATTTATGTGTGTGTGTGTGAGAAAAAAAAAAGGACCATTTGCTTCGCTTGCGCTCAGTGTGTCTGTCCCGCTTTGCGCTGTTACTGTTACTGTTACTGATACACCCACCCATTCGTTTCCCAAGTCGTATAAGTCAGAGATTTGAAATGTCTACCACCCACGAAATACTGGCCTACCGCACCCTACCCGGAGACCAATGCTTTGCTTTCCCACGCCCCTCCCGCCAAGATCAAGGTATAATGATGAATGAAACAAGACAAGAGGAAAAGAAAAAGAGATATAGATCCGTGATCAACGACCCAATGATACCCTCTACATGCCAACAGTCAGCTCCATTGGCTCAGCCTCCATCCCGTCCATCCCGTGCACGTCCCGCTCTTCCTCCATCATCTCGATCAGGCTATCGAGGTTGGTGTCCAGGCTCTCGCCGTCCTTTGGGTCGAGGCACCGCTTCAGTAGCCGCCTGTACTTTTCAATCTTGTCGCCGGTGCCCACCATGCTGAGCGCCTCCACATAGTCAGTCTCGGCCTGCCGCTGCTCAGCGAGCATCTGGTTGAGCTGCCGTGCCAGGCTCAGCCTCTCCTCGTATGACTCCTCCTGCACCCCGCCGTCGCCGTTTATGCGGTTGAGCTCCTGGTCAACCGATTGCTGTACGTGCAGACGGTTCTGGTGTGTGATGAGCGAGAGCACCTGATGCTTTGACAGGTTGGCCTCGTTCATGATCTTGGACGCTGCGTCATCGGGCTCCAGCTGCGCCTCAACCTCTGCTATTTGTTGCCGCACCGACGTCAGCTCTGCTTGCGTGTTTGAGAGGATGCGCTTTGCTTCCGTTTCCGCCACATCCTTCTCGTGCCACTCCTCCTCGTAGCTCTTAGCCAGGTCCTGGAACTTTTCCATGATCAGAGGTGATATGCGTGACTGCACCGTGTTGGCTGCTGCCGACTGGAACACTGTCGTCGGCTTCCGAGCTGGTTTCTCGACGAGGGCGTCTCGGAAAGAGGCATGCCGTTGTGAGTCGGGGGCGAAAGGTGATGACGAGCGTTGAGGCCCACGATCCTTTTTCGTGGCGTTCAGATCCATAATCATATCCTCCGCCCGTATGCCATTATTGTTCGCAATGTCCGATGACGCGTTGCGCCCAAGGAGCGCTCGTATACATTTCCTGGCGTTTCGGTCTGCGGCAAGGTGCAATGCCGTGTTCCCGTCGTTGTCCTGGATGTCTAGTAGCTGCTGGAACGCACTCGGCTCTAACGTCTCTTGTAGCTTGTTCAAGATGTTGTCTAGGTAATACCGTGAACATGACGAGTTGAAGACTCTGCCGTTCTTCATCACGGCAGCATGATGAATCACTGTGCAGCCCATATTGTCACGAGCATCAAACGTCTCGAAAAGTTCCTTCATAACCACCGGGAAGGTTTGCTTTTCATAACAATTGGTAAAGTTGACTGAATGCATAAAGGGGGTTTCGCCTCGGATGTTCTTGACAGTGGGAGATGCGTTGAACCGCTTCAGCTGCTTGACAACGTCCACATCTCCCATAGCTGACGCCCAGTGAAGGGCAGTGTGATCCTCGGCATCGATAGGCCAGTTTGGCTGAAAGTTGGGCGGTGGCTCGGGCTTTACTGCAGGTTGCTCTGTCTTACTTAGGAGAAAGTAGTCGAGGAGTTCATCGCCGTATAGCGCATGTTGCTGTTCGGTTAGATCTTGCAAGACGTCTTCCCTTCTACGCTTCCTGCTAGTGCCCGGCACATTGGTGAGGTCGAATCGCTCATCTTCGGCCATGTATGAAGCTGATGCTACAGTGAGATTGTCTGGGGTATCATCTTCTCCCATCAAGGTATCTGGCTCCTCAGGTACCACAGGAGGCGGTGGTGGGGGAGGAGGATCTGAGCATTGTTAGAAGGAAACACTTGGTGTGCCATCGGTGCTGAACATACTGTTCCATTTCGGCAGCGGAGGTTTCGCCTTTGGCCCTTTGGGCTTGCTGGCATGCCTAGGAGCTGGAGGGGGGCTTTCTGCGCCAGGAACGAATTCGAATATGGGTCGTAACCGATCGATCACGCTATGTCGCTCGGCCAAAGCCTGTCCGCTTTCGAGAGGGATCCAAGTACCTGGGAGCGGTGTAAGAAAGAGTCGCAATTGTGCCAAGGGGAAACAAACCTTGGTATTTTCCATAGCCACCTTGGATCTTCTCGTGAACATCCTTTTGTACGTCCCGTTCGAGGATCCTAGTCCGAGCTGGCTTGTCAAAGCCAGCGGCCTTCAAGATGTGTGTCGCATTGATCCAATTGTCTTGCCGTCGTCGCATGACATGTTCCTTCATATCACCGCCAAACTGAAATTCGTATACCGGTATCTAGAGATGGTAGTAATAATTAGCAGATGTCCCGGAAATGGGGTTGGGTGGGGTTGGTCGGCCTCGCAGCAGGCTGCATCGAGAACGTCTGATGCCCCTGATACGTCGTCAAGACGATGCAGCAGCAAGCAGTTCGACCCAATAACAACCAAAGACTCGAATGCCAATAGAAAAATGTCAAGACTCACTCCACTATATACGGCGCTGTAGATGCCTGGCCCTGAGGCCACGGCAGCGGCAGCGGCGGCTGCATTGCCCTTGACCATCTCGGCGGCTAAGATGAAGCAATTCTGGAACCATGCGCAGTCGCCCGTTCGGAGGAGGATGAATCGAAGGGTTAGCAGGTGATGTAATGGGTCCGACAAGGCATTGATGTGAAATGCGAGGCTGAGAAGGCGCTTGCAGCGGCTCTTCGAGATCTCCAAAAGCTCTTCGTCAAAGGTGCAGTTGGCCAGGAAATGATGGCACGTCGGTGACGCGGTTCACGGTCGAGGAGACGCGCCGTTACGCGAAGCACTTTAATTGTGCCTGCCTGAGGCGTGAAGGGGTCACCTGGATCACGTGATGTAGCTCCACGACTCCTGAAGCTGGCAGATTGGCGGACGCGCTCTGAGTAACAGGGGTACTTTGGCAACGGTAAGCGATATCGACGACCTTTGAGCTCCCTTTGCGACCGTTTATGGATACGGGCAGCTCGAGGCGACCTTTTACACTCCCGTGCTGTTAACACGATATCGAAAAGTGGCCCGGGCAAGGTTGCTGCATGCTGTGAGAGCTTGAGGAGGACGCTAGGGAAGCTCAGGGACGGACCCCATGGTGGTAGCATGCGAAGCGATTGAGACGATTCATGACCACATCGACGCAAAACAACACGAAACGATAAGGGACAAGATCATCACCGGACGCCAACATGGCTGATTCTTTGCACAATGCGCCGATAGTGCTGGACAACGGGTCGGGCACCATCCGAGCCGGTTTCGCAGGCGACGACCTACCCAAGTGCTTCTTCCCATCATGGGTTGGTCGACCGAAGCATCTGAGAGTTCTTGCTGGTGCCCTCGAGGGCGAGGTGTTTATAGGACAAAAGGCGGCCACGGAGCTGCGGGGTCTTCTCAAGATTCGGTATCCGCTGGAGCATGGTATCGTCACCGACTGGGACGACATGGAGAGGATCTGGGAGTATGTGTACGGAGAAGGACTCAAGACTCTTAGCGAAGAGGTTCGTCAGAAGTGTCCTACTTCTTAGCTGATACTAACTCTGTACAAGCACCCTGTTCTACTGACGGAACCTCCTCTGAACCCCCGGAGTAATCGCGACACCGCCGCCCAGATCCTGTTCGAGACATTCAACGTCCCCGCCCTCCACACGTCGATCCAAGCTGTGTTATCACTATACGCCAGTGGCCGTACGACGGGTATTGTTCTCGACTCGGGTGATGGTGTCTCGCACGCAGTGCCGGTTTACGAGGGTTTCGCCATGCCCAGCAGCATCCGCCGTATCGATGTTGCTGGCCGAGACGTGACGGAATATCTGCAGACGCTCCTGCGAAAAAGCGGATATATCTTTCATACGAGTGCTGAGAAGGAGGTTGTGAGATTGATCAAGGAGAGCGTTTCGTACGTTGCTCATGACCCCAAGAAGGAGGAGAGAGATTGGGCTGGAGTGAAGCCCAACGATAGCAAGTTTGCTGAATATGTGCTCCCTGATGGCCACAAGCTCAAGGTAGGCTTTCTGTACTTGCATGTTTGCGTGGCAGCTAACAAAGGATTCAGATTGGTGCGGAGCGGTTCAGAGCCCCTGAGATTTTGTTCGACCCCGAGATTATCGGTCTTGAATATCCCGGTGTCCACCAGATTGTCGTCGATGCTATCAACCGAACAGACCTGGACCTCCGAAAATCGCTCTATAGCAACATTGTGCTCTCGGGCGGTAGCACACTTACCAAGGGCTTTGGTGACCGTCTCTTGACGGAGCTGCAGAGACTGGCTGTCAAGGATATGAGGATAAAGATCTTTGCGCCGCCTGAGCGCAAGTACTCGACATGGATCGGAGGCAGCATTCTGGCCGGTCTGAGTACCTTCCGAAAGGTATGTCACCAAGTTATCTACACGCCCTCGCTTGTTGAGTATGTTACTGACTTTTCTAGATGTGGGTGAGCATCGACGACTGGCACGAGAACCCCGACATCATCCACACCAAGTTCACATAAACACGCCCTACACCTACTTTCACACTCCCCCATCTTCACGATGTGGTCCCCAAGACGAAATAGCCGACCCGGGAGCACGCTAATCCTCAACTCTCTCTCGGCCTCGGCCCCATTCACACATTTTTACGATCGAGATGAACCTCGCTGTGATGAATGTCGACATTGCTCGCGCCGGCAAACCCGCCATATCCACCCACCCCCTCCCTCTCATGGATGTCAACAATGTGGTACATTTGAGCAAAACGCATAACCCCCTTCAAGTGGCACGGAATGGAAAAGTTGTGTAGGCGTGCAGCGACATTCAGCGCAGTTGTAGACGACATTTGCCAGATAGAGGAAGCTTAATGATACCCTGATGTATTGAACTGTTGGCGTTTTCCCATAATGATATCTGACTGATCTTTTGGTAATCTATAAGAGTCGTCGGTATTGCCGATGATCGCTCTCTGAATCGGATTGGTCACTGACGACAGTAAAGGTGGACAGTCGCTTGAGTGCTTCAGCTCGCCACAGCGCGATAGTCCACTTGGCGGTCTATAGCGAAGCCTCGCTAAGAATAGTTGTGTGACGGGGTGAAGCTGAAAAGTCACTACTAGATAAAGTATGGTAGACTCAGCTGTGACGTGTGTAGATATCTCTAACCGATGGTGGTTTGGATGATGTGCGTGGGAGAGGTGTTTGGATAAGGGCACACCTTCAATCGAGATAACGACACAATAGAATTGAGCTTTGTTGACTAAAAAAGTGAAATAAGTCAAGGATTCATTGATAACTTTTATAATATATAAAGAGCAATTGCTCGGGGTATAGTAATCTTGACCAAAACTCGCGCCCTATAAGACGATGAAAAAAGAAGGTAAAGATCCCAGTGTCCATCCCAAGTTTCCCATCCCCAATTGATTTCCTCCTCCCCCAAAACGCCAAACGCTAGAGTTGATTATCGTGTGTCTCGTACATGTTGAAATTATTTTCTCTCCTTCTTTCCTCCCATATTTTTTTATTGTTGAAGAGGGTTCTTTTAGTCTCTGCTAAAGGTGCTGCTCACGCGGGCCCACAACTTGGCCTTGGAGCTCAGAGAAGAGTCGTCGCTAGCAGCGGAGTCATCAGAAGCAGCATCGCTATCCTTGCGATGATAGACGTTTCCAGCACCACCGATGCCCACGTGGCCAGCAGAGAGGTGGTCACGAGCGGCGATGCGGTCGTACGTCTCGTCAAGGGAGATGGGAAGGTGCTCGCTCGCCTCATGGGCATTGCCAGCTCCGCCGATGCCGCTAAAGAAGCGCCGCGAGGGAGTGGCAGAGGTGACGGTGTGAGAGGTGGTTGAGGGCTTGTGCGATGAGTCCTTGGACCTCTTGATGTTGCCGTAGCCACCGCGGCCGGAGCGCACGTAGGCGTTGGTAGAGGGGGATGGCTCTGTAACGATGTAGTTTGGCATTTTGAGTAGAGTGTTGTAGTGTGTAAGATGTAGTTGAGGGAGCAACTGAAGAGATTGATTCAATGGCTTTTTGTATATCAAGTGTAAGAGTGTAGAGTGTATAACAGCAAGTGTCTGAGGAATGCGAATATTGTCATGATGGATTTGGGCTCTTTATAACGACACACAAGAACAACAAAACAAAGGTCACACAACCTCTAACTTTTTCCCGCTCACCCCACAAATGGATCCGCTTCAAACTTCTAAATTCTTCCTTCCCCCGCATTTCGATCAGTGACTAAACTGTCGTCATCCGCCCCAGGAGGCATTTTGCGTCTCATGACAACAAGTTAGAGGAGAAATGGCGCTGTCACGCGGACTGCACGTTCCTGGACGGGCAGAGTTTCTCCTATGTAAAAGTTACCCCATAGAAACCCAGACTCGGGTCTAGCGGCGCTTGGCCAGAGTTTGATTGGTTAGACTCAACAGGGATGTGTTGGATCCGCGGCCGATTTGTCCGTGTCTTGGACGACATGCCACGAATGCTTCGTTTTTTTTTCTAGGGCATGCGGCGCTTGACCCAAGTCCCATGTGAGGTGTTGTGTTTTTTTCTTCTCCTCTTCGTTGTTCTGGGTAGCTTGGCGGTCAATCCACCGAGGTATCAAGGTCACGGGCATCGGTCCTATGGATGAAGGCCGAGGGGTTTGTGAATAGTACAACACAGTCGAGCTGCAAAAAGGGGGCGAGAAGCTTTTCTGTCTTGAAACTCAATGCTTTCACACCAACAAGACTACCTTAGCCAACGGCTCCTCCCGCCCCTTCCACAGAAGTATTGCAAGTTGTAAACCTTGACTCCATACTGAAGTTTCACAAGCTCTCTCATCTTCTCCCCAGTTCAAAACAAGCTTCATATCAGATCTCACGCCCTTCAAAGCCTAATGTTAGATCCTCCCCCGGGTTCCTGCGTCCAAGTCGTCAAATTACCCCAGATCTTGGCGCGTTTTCGAGAGCATGGGCAAGATCAAGCCGTTAGGTAATTGATGCGATGGGGATCAAAAGCACCAGGGCCTGGGCCATGAGGCTCTACGGCTCTGGTACGTACTGTAGACTACCATCAAAGAGGAGCTATCCATCAGGAGCTATGATGAAACGAGCTGCTGTTGTTAGACCCGCTTCTCATGATGCTGGGGAAGCTCGTGATGCTGTTGCTTAGTCCGCGTGACTCTATGATGGAATGTCTGTCATACTCTATCCGTAACTTCATCAAAAGAGTAACTATGCGTTATGCTAGCAACGTGATCTGTTCCAACTCCTCTGATGCCGCAGCCGACTTTGAAATGCCGTCTAGAGACCCGGGTGTAACTCTTACCCCTCGACTCTGATGTGTTCCCCCCCATGGCTCCCATCCTAGCTAGGTATAGTATGATAAACGGGTATACGAAACCGTCTACCGCTCTTTCACAAATTACATTGTTCAAATGGGTAAACAGATCAAACTCATAGCATAAAGCTCCTCAATGGCCTCCCATTTAATTGGGCTAGTCAAGCCTGTAACCATGGTGAGGTCACAGTGACAGAACTTAATGCTTGCGCCATCATATGGGGCATTATGCCGGAGGCCAACTGTTTCAAGATTGTACTACAATTAGTGTACCGTCGAGTCTTTATAATGCTCTGTTTTCTGCCAAATTTATGTCAAACCGAGTTACGCGTCATGGCAATTCCTGCAAGACAATGTGCAGTTCCAACAGTACACTGACTGTTCCTTCAACACTGTTGTCCAGCAAATTGATCTGCAACAGCGGACTTTTCACAACTAGAGCCACCGCTTCAATATATTCTCTAGCAAACAACGCCTACTAAACAAGATTGCACTTCTTGATCCACTTGAAACAGGCCAGGGTCCATCGCCAAGAGGCCTCTCATTAAACGCCTTGCCAAGATATCACCACGTGGAACCGAGCAATGGCAGATTACCAAGCCCCAGCCAAGACAGGCGTTGATCGATAAACGACAAAAAGATCAATTACACGACTATATATAGCTCTACTCTCGGGTCTAGCAATCCGCTCAGCCGTGAGCCATGGCTCTAATCGTTGATCAAGCAAGTGCCCCCCTTGTCTTGCAATCGGGGCACACAGCTGTGAAGTAATGAAACGTGATAACATCCAGAGAAATAAAACACCAGCCATGCCAGGCTGGTTAAACAAGTACTTTCCATCCAACGCCGGGAACACATTCTTTGTTCCTCCCAATCCCCCAAAAATCAGGCTGCAAGAGATTCAAATCCAGTGGCCATCGTGGCCCCCGGCGTTATTAAATTCGTATCGTGGCACATCTCTTATTTGCCCATGCTCATCCAGCCAAACATGCCGCATGCGATAGACAGAACAAGGAATGTCAAGATACCAGCACCAGCCTTGTCGGCAGTAGTGATAGGCTTGTAGTGCTTGCCAGGCGTGGTGCTTCCGCTGCCAGCGTTGGGGTTGCCCTTGGAAATACCACCCTTCTTGGCTGTCACGGGAGGCTCGGTGTGCTCCATGAGCAACGAAGACACGGCGGCGAGGACGTTCATCTGCTGACCAGCACCAGTCTTGCCATCATACTTGCCCGATGACCACTTGAAACCACAGGCACGTCCGGTGGTGCCTCCGGTGCACTGCTTGATGGCCGCTTCAGCCGATGTTTGAAGCACGGGAAGAATCTTGTCCGAGACGATGGGGGCGAGGTGAGTGACTTGGGACATCCAGCGGTGGACGTAGCCCTTGAACGAAAGCATATCGGTGGTGCAAGTGCCGTGGTTTTCGCAGGCGATTTCGACAGCAATGCCGTCGGGGAAGAAGTTATCGAGAGTGGAATCGACAAGCTTGGTCAAGCGTTTCTCCCACTTCGCCTCACCATCGGTCTAGGAAACTGTGAGTTAATGCTAGACAAACGTGAATAGTTGTGACTTACATAGTTGTACATGAAAGCAGCACCCTGCAGGAAGACGCCGGCATTGTAAGAGAACTGGGCCTTGTTGATATCGGTGCAGTTGGTTCCGACATGAGCTCCGTCATAGATCTTGTAGCTCGTGGGATCAAGGAAGCCCACGCTCTCCATCCACTCCCACGTCGTCTCGGCCCAGTCGGCATATGTGGTGTTGCCAGTGTAACGAGCAAGTCGAGCGCCAAGGTTGAAGAAGCAGCCGTTGGCAATGCCTTGAATCACATTAGTCAAGCATACCCAAAATATTGGTGATCCAAGTACTGACTGTTCTTGTAGTCATAACCGTTATTCGTGGGAGGAATCTGCCATCGGAGACCTCCATTACAAGTCTTGTCGTGTCGGTCGGGAGCTGCCTGGGTGTTGAAGACAGCCTGGGCGAGGGCCAGCCAGCCAGGTCTGTCCTCTGGAGGGTTGGGGAACTTGAGCTCGGCAGCGAGCATAGCCGACATGCCCCAGAAACCTTGATCGTCGTTTCCGAGGGACAAGGTAACGTTGCCGGGTTGGTAGTCGTTATCGTCACCGGTTTGGAACTGCATGGCCTGAATGACCTTGGCGTTGTAGGTCGCATCGCCAGTACACTTCCAGTAATCCATATACGTCCCCCACATGGCACCGCCTTCCCACCAGTAGTAGTCACCGTTGGGAGGAGGACCAGGGAGAATACCAGGAATACCGCCTGGGTCAAGACCATGATAGTACTCGATCAAATCGGCGGCGAGTTGCTTGGCCGTCTTCTTGATGTCATCTGAAGAGGTACGAGTCAGCTACACGTTAGAGGTCCGTCGGGTGGTGTGAATGCGCACCATTGCTAGCAATGCTGTATTGCGACTGAGCACCGACGAGGCCGGCGGAAGCGAGGAGCGCAGCGATGGCGCTGGTTGACAGAAAGGACTTCATCTTGAGAAGGGTACTGCTATATGTTCAAGCGAGCGGCTGCGGTAGAAATGAAGATCCGAAATGACGTGGAAAGCGAGTGTTGGGCGCGCCCGGGGAGGGCGATGAGATGGTGGTGATGCAATCGAGGCGAGCTGGGACAAGATTAAGGCGATATGAACCGGTCGACAAGCCGAAACGAACGACGGAGTAAAATTGTATTATTAAATGTCAAAGGCCAGGCAAAAGTCGCACGCCAAGGGCCAAGATTGGTGATGTCGATGCGTGGTGTTGATGAAGAAATCAAGTCGAAAATGGATGGACAAAGCACGCCAAGTTGCCAAGGAAGGAACGGGCGATGGGGGTGGGTTTGCATGGGAATAAGGGAAGGGAGGGCAAGGGAAGGAAGGGGGGAACGCAAGTTGCAAGGAGAGACAAGACAAGGAACCTGAATTAATTGTGGATCCAAACACCAAAGAGCCCAAGAGGAGGGTGAGACGGCGAGTTGAGTGGCTGATGGCTCGATCCACGGGGTGGGCTCTAGCCCGGGAAGCGTCTCATCAGGGCGTCAGTCGCTATTTTTTTTTTGCGGGCTGGACGGCCTGAATTGCGCATTGCATTGGACCGTGATACGAGCTTTTCGCTTTTGGGTGCCGACTCAGGGGTAGCATTTGCTGTTCAGTCATCGAGGCAGTGCTGATGAGGTGCATCTTGTTCCTGACAGGACGGTGATCATCTGCCGTAGTGTGCCTCGTACACACTGAGGACGGCAAACCGCTACTGCTACGTATTATTGTTGCTGACCACCTGCTGAGACGTTTCTCGTGGAATGAAGGTTTCCACCCTCGAGAATGTCCACGTCCCTGCGGCGGAAATCGGCTATGCCGGAACCTGATGGAGAGGATTCTCCCATCAAGCCATCCATCCCAAATGGGCCAAACTCATCCGTTGCATCCCGCGCGTGGATAAATCTGGGCCCAAGTACCCGCCAAGTGTTCCTACAGCACTCTCTGTCGCTATAAACACTGATCTTTGGTGTTTTCTTTCTGTTGCACTTGTTGCCCTCTCGTCATCGCCTTTCGCGACTCTCAGAATCAGCAGATGTCGTTCGTCTCGCAAAAACCACTTCTGCCCTGCCAAGGCGCTTATCGGCACTTACATCCGATCCACGAGCCATCACTTGGCATGCCAAGGAGGCCAAGGAGCCAGTCTCGCTTGTCCCGCCTTGCAGCCGTTTTGCTGGAATCGGGTGTAACACGGCTTATCGATAAGACAGGGGCTGGCACGTGATGTTGAAGAGCATCAATTGTTACGAATTCACTTCGTGTTCGACTTTAATTGATCACGAGCCGATAAATGCGATGCCCGTTTCATCACCCTCGTATCGCTGGTCTATCCGATTCCGAGGACTGTTTTGCGTGGCCTAGGTAGGATGCGATCACAAGAAGTACCTTGGAGGTCGCCCATGTCATCACAAGTTATGGTGACAGCTAGGTAAGTATGCAGCAGCGTTAGATAGCCGCTATAAGTGATGGTTCTACTCAAGTCTTTATACTTGCAGTATATCTAATATCCAAGCGACTTTCTAACCTTGTTAATCGGCTGCTCCCCCTTGCTTCTCCTCTCCAAGTTGTACGTCAAGATCTTGAACACCCGCTCATAAACATGGTTCGAGTTTCCAGCGCAGTGCGGCGTGATAATGGCATTCTTGTAACCCCGAAGCTTGGAATCCGAGGGCAGAGGCTCAGGATCTGTCACATCAAGGGCAGCACCTCGGATCTGTTCTGTGTCCAGCGCCGTGATGAGATCCCCAGTGTTGACGATGGGTCCTCGTCCAGTGTTGCAGACGTATGTCTTCTTCTTACTCAGTAGCGCAAACTGCTCCTTGGAGATCATGTTTCTCGTCTGCTCCGTAAGAGGAAGCAGGATGACGAGAAGGTCAAGATCCGAGGCTAGGAAATCGTTGAGCTGATCCTTGCCATGGAACCACTTGCTAGGAAGCAGACCATCAGGATCTCCAAGGCCAGTCTCGACGAAGCCATCGTCCTTCCGTGATTCGGCAGTGGCTCGTTCGTGCAGGGTGTATGCATGAACGTCCATGCCGAGAGTTGTGGCGATCTTGGCGACTTGGCGGCCAATGTTTCCGTAGCCAAGGATACCACTAACAAGATGGTCAGAAGAGGCGTAAAAGAGCCGGTTTCAGATTACTTACACCCTCAAACCTACAGAATCCTCGGTGTCTTCATCCGAGTCAGGGTCCACCCATTTGCCCTGCTTTTAAAGGTCGAGGTAGTAAGGGACTGGCTAGGTTAGCAGTTGGATACCGCGTTGTCGAGGAGGAACCTACAAAAGTGCTGGTGTGCCATCCATGTGCCAATCACCCATTCAGATACTTGGGGCCTGTTCTTGTCAGTTATGATGAAGTCTGCGTGGAGTAGGGCAACGTACGCATGAGAGTCGTTTGATGTCGAAAAGGCAATCTCAGTCTCCTCGAAAAGAGGCAGACCAAAGATCTGGGCACACCCAGCGCTCAGAAGTTGAGCAAACTGCAGATTGGGCATCCACTCCTTAGGAGGGAATGCCTTCTAAGTGAAGAGGGATGTAGTTCGCTTTCATATATCGGCGGGCACTTCCTTGGGCACCTCTTGAGCGTATAACTCTGTAGGGTGTGTTATGACTTCAACGCTGGGGCATTTCGCCTTGAGATTGGCAAGCCATTCTGGCTTGGGGGCAAAAGGTGTTATAACTAAAAGAACTTCGGAGGAGCTCATCGTGAAGAACGACGGGGTGAAAAGTTGACAGAACTTGATCTTGGAATGATTGCTTGATGAACTGACATTGTTTTAGTAGATGTATATAAACTCAAGGCCATTCTTGACTCAGCCCAAAGAAGTCATACAGAGGCATATTTAAATGACTCTGCTCAATTGTCACATCTCGAATTTGATAAGCCCTAGGAGGAGGCATCCCCAGATCTGACTCGACCATGACTCGGCCCATGATTATCGCAACTTGCACTTGTGCCCCCACGCCTTGAAATGCGGGGGATTAGCGGAGACGACGATGCACTCTGCTGTAAGCCGGTGACGTGCATTTTGGAAAAGGTTTTGCGCATTCGCAGTAGCGTAACGGATACTGTTGCGTCGGAAACGATTCCCGAGATGTTAGAGTCGAAGATGTGAGGATAAACAGGAACACCGACATCGGCGATAAGAGTAAATTTACGGAATTGACTTGCCGTTTAATGTTCCTGGATTTGTAGGATGGGGTAAAGGAAATACAGTTCACATGTAAGTTAGAGAGGCTCTTGACGGGAACGCATCTCACCCGGAAGCTATTCACGATACAACGATTTCTTCTGTGCCTATGTACAGTTGGAAAGTAATGGTCTGATTCCTCGATATAGAGTTCTTGATGATCTATCGGCAATTTTCTAACATGTTGTCTATCTACTTCACCATATGGCACTTTACAGCTTCGACAGAATGCCCGTCTCCGTCTGAAGTATCGACAAATGGCCCTTGTTGATATCCTTGATCGTCTTGTATCTGTACCATGGTTAGTACTATTTCGTCAACATGGGGTAGAACACCCACCCTGCTAGAGACATGGCAATCTTGAACTCGTCGTGGAGGAGGTTTACTGCAAGCTTGACTCCCTCAGCTCCATCATACTGTGTCTGAGCCAGTATTTACACTCTTTGTAGTCGCCTGGACAACTCACTGCTAAGCCCCAAATGGGAATGCGTCCGGCAAAGCAGAAATCCGCACACAGGGCAATCGCCTTGAAGATATCTGTGCTGCGTTGGATGCCACCGTCAACGGCGATCTTGATCTTGCCCTTTGCGACGGGGGCGCACTCTCGGAGGGCGTCGAGAGTTGCTGGTACGCCGTCGAGTTGTCGGCCGCCATGGTTCGAGATGAGCACTCCAGCCACGCCGTGCTCGATGGCTAGGGCCATGTCCTCAGCAGTGTACATTATTCACAGGTTAGCAATTGCTGGATAATAACAGCCCTGGATACTATGACCTCCTTTCAGCCAGATGTCAAGCTTGGTAACACTCTTGACCCAGCCAATTGCCTCCTCCCAACCAACCGAGTCCTCTGTAAGCTGGCGTTAGCTACCCGTGACATTCTTGCTGCACCATGACAAGTAGACTCCTCACCATAACTCAGGTCGGCGGCTTGGTCCACCAGATGGCTAAAATCGACATCTGGGAGAATATTGGGATTTCCATGCCATTGGGGATACCAAACGAGTTGCGATACTCGTTGAGTCGTCGACCAAGCATCGGTACACCCACCGCCATCATGACTGCCTTGTATCCGGCCTCTGAAGACAAAGTTATTATTTATGAACAAGCCATCTTCTCATGGTAACTCACTCTCAGCTCGCTAAAGAATCTGTCGAGAAATGGCACGATTCTCGAGGATGCTAAACTGCATGATGTAAGGGTTGCCCTTCTCCTCGGCCATCACATCCTCCAGTGCGCAATTGGCATAGGCTGACAAGGCCATGGGGATGCCAGTCTCGGCCGCAGCTCTTGACGTTGCCACCTCTCCTTCGGGATGAGCCAACTTGTGGGTAGCCTGGCGAGAAGCCAAAGGGAAAGGTCACCTTTGTGCCGAATATCTCGGTCGACGTATCGAGGTTGGACACATCCTTCAAGACTCGAGGACGGATCTTGTACCGGTCAAACGGCTTTTCATTGTCGACGACGCTGTATCCTGGGTCAGCAAAGGTCAACTCAGAGGTTGGGCAACTTACGTGATCAAGTCCATGGCACCCTAGAAACAAGGTTGTCTGTTAGTTGGAGTTCTGGGGTAGCGGGGATCGTGTTACCCACCCCTGTACGCCCTGGGAAGCTTCTTGGACCCCTTCTCCTTCAGGTCATTGAGACAAAAGATCTCCGAGCTTCGCGTCCTACCGCGGTTGGCCATCTTGACAAGACAAAAGAGTCGTGCGACTTGAGTGTGATTGATGGTTTTAGATTGTCTGATGATTGCTCTATTCGAGTTATATCTCCCTACGCATGTTGCCCTTTATCCAAGCATGTCCCAGCTTGAGCCGAGTCAAGACTGGGTAACTCGGCTCCTCTGATAGCGTTCAGATGGGGAATATTAGCGTGTGAGAGATGCGGGGTATTAGCGCTGCATAAAGGATCCATCGTTTAGCTTTTAGCTCCCTGTTCTTATCGCTGAACAAGGTCATGTCTTTCGGACGGTTTCCGTCTGGCTGACGATGCCTATCTTGGACACCTCGGTCAGGCGGCATCATGGGTATGGTAGTTAGTGTTGGAGGCGAATGATAGCAAGAGTTATGTTTACTTGACTCAGCTCAAAATCAGCGTCGTAAGGACCAAGGCTTGGCAATTATATATATGTTGCGGTGGTTGAGGACTGAGTGTAACCGACATCAGCGTCAACAGTCAGCGAACCAAACCAAGCATTAAAGAACTCAGTCCAGCTGCAGCCATGGATCCCCTCATGTCTAAACTTCGGGGCTTCTTTAAGAATTACAGAGTGTACATTCTTGTAACCGTGTCTTACATGGGATCTCTGCTATTCGGCGAGCTACCCTAATGAAATTCAATCATCCGCACCCCTAACATGTTTACAGGTTATGATGTCGGTGTCATGGGAGGACTGCTCCTTTTCGAAAGCTTCAGGCGAGACTTTGGAATCCTAATTGGTTCGTCTGGCTTTGCAGACGGTAGAGTTGCCGAAATGTCCTCCAATGTTGTCTCTCTGTTGACTGCTGGATGCTTCTTTGGCGTACACCCGCAATATGCCCGTCGACTCGCACGAGGTGTCTCGCGAGTTTGTTGAGATCAAGACGTCCCTTGAAGAAGAAGGAGGAAAGATGGGAGAGACTACCTGGAAGGAGTGCCTCAAGCCTGGTGTTAAGAACCGGTTTGCTCTGATCTTTGCCCTCATGCTCTGCCAGTAACTTACCGGAACTCGATCGGTAAGTATCTTGAAAAACCCATGCAGAATATTAACTGACTGTTGATGTAGGATACTATGCTCCCCAGATTTTCCAAACCGTTGGTCTGTCTGGAGCTGATGCTTCTCTGTTCGCTACTGGAATCTATGGCATTGTCAAGTTGATTTTCACCGCCATCTCCCTGCTATTTGTCATTGACAAGATTGGCCGACGGTGGGCACATGTTGGTGGTGGAGCCTGGATGTAAGTACATGACTGATCTAGCTGTGAGAAATTTTGCTAACTGATGCTAGGGCCGTGATGATGTTTATCCTGGCTTCAGTTTTGGCAACTCATCCTCCCAAGGAGGGTGAAGGTGTCTCATCTGCGTCCATCGCCATGTGTGTCCTCATTTACCTTTACGCCATTGCATACACGGGCTCATGGGGCCCTAGGTAAGACTCTTGTTCTTGAATTATTGAATTCCACTGACATTCAAAGTCCTTGGATCGATGCCAGCGAGATCTTTCCAACTCACGTCCGCTCTTGTGGTGTGGCTTTTGGAGGTAAGAAGTCAACCATGCCTTTGAGACTTGAAATACTGACGAGAAAACAGGCAACTCAGTGGTTAATCACCTTAATGGTAACTCGGGTAACCCCCCAGATCATTCATGATATTGGTTGGAAGACATTCCTAGTTTTTGGCAGTCTCTGCTTCGGGATGAGCGTTTTTACCTTTTTCTTTATGAAGGAGACCAAGGTTCTGACACTTGAGGAGATTGACCAGCTCTTTGGACTGTCTGATATGGAGCAGTTCCATAACGATGTTGAGAGGAGAATGACCAAGCTGGAGGGACTTGATCCTGTTATGAAGACTGTGACGGCTGAGGAAGAAAAGGGGGTTGCTAAGCAGGAGGAGATTAAGTAGAGGATATCCTGGAGCTCTTCACTTCAATATTTCCATGAAAGGATATAATACAAGCGGACTGAGCTCTCCAATTGTACCTCAAGATCAAGATATACGACTCGAATCAGTTTAGGTTGAGGCGTATGGTGACGGGAAGTGGGCTGCCACGCGGTACCTTGCATGACCCTGAAACTCTCTGTGTACACATCAAATATGAGTGTCTCGCTGTCTGGAAACTTGACAAGATGCCACTCAAAAAGCAACGACATATAGAATGGCCTCTAAACACTCAAAAAGAGGTGATTCTATAATTCCACTTGATCATGACAGTTGTGAATTGGCATCATCACGCCGCGTCTGCCATAAGCTCGGCTCGGCGCGACTTTATCCCACAACAGTCAAACTCCACCAATCAGCGCGTGGACCCTGCGACGCCTCAGCTTCAGGGGACGCTTTTAGTTGACTTGTCCTTTCTGATTGCGGCTGCGGAGCGCATTCAAGGCGACCCAGAACCTACGACATTCATTGGGAATTCTCCTCCACCAGACACACGTGGCCGATAACCGAACGGATATAGCTTCCAGGCCACCGAGACTTGTTCCAATTGCTCCTTCCCAATCGTCACTCCTTTATAGAGGCATGCGGTGCTGAGAATCGACTGGCGCTCTTTGTCGATAAGCGACTCCTTGGACGCTTTGCGACCACTTTGGAACCACGACCGACGATCACGACCCCACGACCTATTTTCTTCGACTCCGTTGTGTATACATGAAAGCTAGCAGGGCTAGGAATCTTGGTTAACATGATGAACGGCGTTGAGAAGCCAGTCCTCGACGAGGACGCCTTTGGCGCAAAGGCTGGAAGCATGGTCAGCGCTTTTGACGCATTCCGTACGTCGTCTCTTACTTCTGAACCTCTGCTCGTGCTGACATTGAAACAGCCAAGTCGAAACCTCAATACATCCAACGAACCTCGGGCGGCGGAAAATGGACAGTCGCCGTGTCCATCATCTCCTTGATCCTCATCTGGGGTGAGGCCGCTAGGTGGTGGCGCGGCGCCGAGTCTCACAACTTCGAGGTGGAGGCGGGTGTCGGTCGAGAGCTGCAGATCAACCTTGACATTGTGGTGCGAATGCAGTGCGATGACATCCACGTAAACGTGCAGGACGCATCGGGCGATCGAATCATGGCTGCGAAGCGTCTCCGTCACGACAAGACCCTCTGGTCACAGTGGGTTGACAGCAAGGGCATGCACAAGCTTGGACGGGATAGCCAGGGCAGAGTCGTTACTCAGTCTGGCTGGAACGATTTGGGTTACGAGGAGGAGGGTTTCGGTGAGGAGCACGTTCACGACATTGTTGCGCTTGGCAGGAAGAAGGCCAAGTGGGCAAAGACGCCCAAGGTCAAGGGCCGTGCTGACAGCTGTCGTGTTTATGGAAGCTTGCACTTGAACAAGGTGCAGGGTGATTTCCACATCACGGCTCGAGGTCACGGATATATGGGCAATGGCGAGCATCTCGACCACAAGAGTGAGTTATTCCCCGAGACGAGGCTGGTCGTAAGCTGACAATCTTTCAGACTTTAACTTTTCGCACATCATCTCTGAGCTGTCCTACGGCCCCTTTTACCCCTCGCTCGTCAACCCCCTCGATGGCACTGTCAACGCTGCCTCGGACAACTTCCACAAGTTCCAGTACTACCTCTCCATTGTGCCTACTGTGTACAGCGTGGGATCTAGGTCCATCCTCACCAACCAATACGCCGTGACTGAGCAGAGCAAGTCTGTCAACGAGCACTACATTCCCGGAATCTTCTTCAAGTACGACATTGAGCCTATCTTGCTGACGGTTCATGAGAGCCGTGATGGTATCCTGACCTTCCTGGTCAAGATTATCAACATTGTGAGCGGCGTGCTTGTCGCCGGACACTGGGGCTTCACCATCAGCGACTGGGTGAAGGATGTTATCGGCAGAAGAAGGCGCAGCAGTGGTGGCGTTGGTGTCCTGGGAACCAAGGAGGGCTTTGATGAGTAGATTGCCATTCTGATAATGGCCTACGTGTATTAGAAAGGCATTCAGTGGGAGAGCCAAGAAGAGGGAGTTTGGGCTTGGAGGTTGTGCATATCTGCCGCTTCGGAGTTTGGGTTAAAACATGGGGTTTGGTTTCAGCATTATAAAGAGGATTGGCGGCCATCGCACACGCCATGATCAATTGTTGACCTATTGATTTGTTGACACGAGCATGCTACAAGCATATGTGAGCTCGAGCTCAGGGTTCCTACATCTGTCCTTTGATGCGGGAAGTGCGGTTTTGAGCTTAGCACGTTCCCCGGCTCATCACCTATTGGTAAGCTCCCTGCAACTTAGTTGAGGCTGAGTTGAAAGTGAATGGCCTCTTTCTGCATCTCACACTTTGTCAACTAGCACCAATAAAACGAGGCGGTGCACTTTCGCCCCGTTATCGTTGTATCAAGCCACCGCCATGCTGGTGATGCAGCACGATGAAAGAAAACGGACAGGCATGGAATATTCCAGTCATGGGGACAAGCTGCATCAGACACGGCATAGCGTCGTACTACGGAGAAAGGCCCATCGTGGCCAAACCCTTGAGGCACCAGGGCATCCCGTAAGGCTATTTACGCTCGGTTCCTGTCAGTCAGTAAGAAAAATTCCCATCCGGACTGGCCGGGTCAGTCGCCATCATGTGGCACAAGACAAAGGGCGTCTGGTGACTCAAAATCTAAGGGTCTGCGTAATCGTGCCGTGTCTCTTGGGATTTCTGGTAATATGCATGCCGGCAGCCGAAAGCGGAGCCGAGTCCAGATGATGTCCCTTTTGTTTTTCCTTTGAATTTTCTCAGTCTGGTTCCTTGGCTGTATGAGTTGTCCTCGAGGCGAACGAGGGACCTTGGAATGGAAGAAAAATAAGAACCAAGGACGGAGGATGTTTCTCTTCTGTCGACTCGGCATGACGGGGCAAGGGTTTCAAGAGGTGGGGCATACCCATGGCAGGCTATGACGACACCGGCATAAAAGAAGGAGAGAAAAAAGAATGGAAGTGGAGGGTGGGGTTTTTGCATCCTGGGCATGTTAGTGACGAAATGTTTCCCATCCATGGGCCAAGGACGAAGGTGACGATGGAGGCCAAGGTCAAGGTTCGTTTCGGTCCGGAGCGTTGAAGGGAGAGAAGGGAAAGCTTCTTTTCTTTTCCCGCCTCATTCCGTTCCTGAAGCTGAGAGAATGCGGGAACTGTCCCTGTCGATGAAGCGGACTTTGTTGGTCGGGTCACCAGGCTCTCTAAATTTGACTCTCTAGATCCCGAGATGGAGGGCACCTACGAGACCAACTGAGCGACCCATGTGATGGGGTACTCCAAGAGCTTGTTTCTTTTTCGTTACTGCCACTCAACTTTCAGGTTTGTTGGGCCTTTGTGCTGAGACAGGAGCCTAGCCATGGGCCTCTTTGACCTGGTCTTGACCTCAGGCTGGCGTCAATAGCGAGGTGGAACAAGGGGTCAGCATTGGAGTTTCGGCTGACGAGTGAAGCCTAATGAACAAAGGAATCAATGCCACGAATGCTTCTGCTGGTGGTGGCTGCTGCTGCTGCCGTTGCTGTTATTGTTTAGGTACAGTACTTCGTAGTCTCTGAGGCTCTATCCGAAATGACAACCAAGCAAACTCCAGGTTTTCCCTGGCACGACGTGTAGATCACCATCTCAGAAGATTCATCAAGCCGATGTCGACGCCCTACTCCCGTCTGTGTCCCAATCACCACGAGTACCGTCCAGCGACCAAGCCAAAGAGCCCAACGAGAAAAGCTCCCTTGCTTTTGCTCTGTGCTCTCGCCCCGGGGTAAGGTTGCATGGTTTGTTTAGCTAGAGCCTTGATTGGGTCCTTGGCTGCCTGGCCTCGACGCCCAGCTCATCAGCCGGGCAGAACCAAGAGACCTTCTGCCATCCATCTCAGGTCTACGGCCAATCCCATGGCCTCCCGCATTGCACGGTAGCATCATCTTCCATCATAGCCACTGCGGGCCTGGCCTTGTTGCTTGCCAGGCCGCGAAACACCCCCTGCAAGTCTCATCGCCGCCCACTGGAGCGTGCTGTGCTTCTGGGATCCACTCCCGCTGGGCTTCAGGCCGGTTAGGCCCCACGCCCCGCCTGGCCTGGTTTCTTGTTAGACCAGCCTTTCTTTTCCGGTTCCTGCTCGACATCCATGGCCCATCACTCACATCCACCACTACGACATCTCTCTTCCGTCATCGTTCCCAACCGTTTCTCCTTTTCCCCTCATACAAACTCTAGATTTCGCTGTTTCTGCACTTTGGGCGTTTTCCATCAAACCCTCGATTGCCTCGCCATCCCTATATCGAACCGCCTTTTTTTGCTTGACTCGTGCTGCAACTACACCACACAGCCCTCACCTGACCCCCCTGTCATCCCCCGCGATGGGTGAAGTCTACAAAGACACTCGCGTTTATCGTGAGTGGGATCGGGATGACAGCTCCTCGGACGACGAGCGCGTTCGCAAGACCACAATCCGACGATACAAGGTCACACCTAGTAGGACTGATCGAACCGACCGAGTATCCGAGTTTGACGATGGACGCTCCCGCGCCTCCCATTATGGTCGCACCTCGGGTGACCTGCTCGAGGAAGACCGTCGTTCTTATGCCGCGGACCGCCCTCGCTCTGCTTTCGAGTCCTATGCCGGAGCCCCTTCTCACGTCAGTCACTATGATGATCGTGGCCGGGACCAGGCCCCGAGATCCTACGTTTACGAGAAAGAGATCGAGAGAGAGACTTATCCACCACCACCGATGCCCGTTCCGCCGCCTGCACCTGTTTCCGCAGCTCCTACACCTGCGCCCGTAGCTGTAGCTGAGCGACCCCGTGCGACCGCTTTCGAGAAGGAAATGGATCGCGACTGGGAGCGACGTTCCCGGTTTGATGGTCCACCCTTTGAGGATGACGTCAGAGTTGAGAAGCGCATTGAGCGTCGCGACGACGGCGAGTACCGCATCGAGAAGCGAGTTGAAGAGCACGTCGACGATAGTCATGGCTGCGACGTCGAGCGATACCGTAAGGAGACAGAATATTACACTCCCTATGACCCTCCGCCGCCTCCTGCCCCCGTCATCATCCGGCAGCGTGCTCCTGAGCCGCAAAAGATCATCGTCCAGGAAGCCCCTCCCCCGGCCCCTGTCATCCTATCGCCGCCCCCCCGTCAAGATCCCGGTGTGGTTGTGATTCGTGAAAAAGAACCTCAACGTCAGATCATCAGGAGGGAAGTGCAAGTTCCGGCTCGCCCTCAGGAAGAGGAGTATTATTACCGTCACGAGCGTCGGGATTCTCGACACAAGGATTTCGCCATTGAGCGATACGACCGCCGACGCCGTGAGCACGATCACTATAGCGACGACGACGACTACTATGTGCGACGCACAGTCGTGCGCCGTCGCGAGCGCAGCGAGAGCCCCCATCATAAGAGATATCTCGCTGAGGGTGCCCTCGCTGGCGCCGGTGTCACAGCATTCCTCAACAGCCGCCGTGATTCCTATGGTGATCTGCCAGAGCATCGTGGGCGCAAGGTGATTGCTGGAGCTGCTCTTGGAGCTCTCGGCACCGAAGCCCTACGACGAGCTCGTAGTGCTTATGAGGACCGGTGGCATGACGATGATCAGTCTCCCGACCGTCACTCCCGCCTCAAGCAGGGTCTCGGGCTCGCTGCTGTAGCCCTTGCCGCTGCCGGAGCTGCCAAGTATTACCAGTCCAACAAGATTGAGAAGGAAGAGGCGCACCGAGGCAGAAGCCGTCGTCGTAGCCGTGGCTACCACTCTGGCGACGACTACTCTCGCTCTCGTTCCCGATCAATTATCCGGAGAACCACAACCACAAAGAAGAGCACTAGCCGCGGTAGCCGACGCCGCAGCCTCTCGACTGCAGCCAAGGCGGCCTTGGGCACCGTTGCTGCTGCTGGAATGGCCAAGCATCTCCGCAATAGGTCCAAGTCCCGCGGCCGCAGCAGCAGCCGGTCAAGCAGCAGCTCACGGAGCCGATCTGGGAGCCGCTCCCGCAGCAAGTCTAGGCTTCGTAGGGGCGCCGAGATCGCTGGTGCCGCTGTAGCGGCCAAGGCGGCACACTCCATGTGGAAGCACCACAAGGACAAGAAGGGTGGTGACAGCTCTGACAGCAGTGACGATGAGTACTACCGACGGCGCCCCTCGAAGAGCCGTAGCCGGAGCCGGAGCAGGTCCATGGCCAGATCCATTCATTCAGAGCGCGGGACTGATCCTCAGCTAGGCCCCGTAGTTGAATACGGCACCGATCCCCTCGCAACGCAACCGCCCCGCCCTGCGTCGCGAGGTTACGAATCCGAGGCGGAGGCGAGACGTAGACGGCGCAGACGACGCAACCGGAGCCGCTCGGTATCATCATCTGCGTCAGACCGCAGCAAGAAAAGGAGTAGAAGCCGGCTAGGAGAAATGGCAGCTGCTGGTGCTGCGGCGATTGGTATCAAGGAGTACAAGGAAAAGAAGGACAGAGAGAAGAGGGAGCAAAGGTCAAGGGAACGTCGGTTGGAGCTGGAACGGGAGCGCGAGAGGGAGCGCGAGAGAGAGGCATCTCGAGACCGTCGTGATCGAGCTGCCAGGTCTCCCTCCCGATCCCGAAGTCGCTCCAGGAAACGTGAGCAGCCCCCTTTGAGAGATGACAGTCTTGACTGACAATTGCTGACTAGGTTCCGACGTTGACGCCTTTGATGATCGAACACGCTCACCACCCATGGCATCTGGTGGTGCAGGCTATCCTCCTTATCCCACTGACCCTTCTCCTCCACCTGGCGGAGCTCCCTTCACACGATTCCCGAACCCTTCTAGCGACTATCAGCCATATGTTCCACAAGACTATACTGGCTATCCACCACCACCACCTCCAGGGCCTCCCAGGGGCTTGTCTGCCGGACCCCCTGCCTCCTACAATCCTCCACCACCGCCGCCGGGACCCCCTGGGCCCCCTCCTCCTCCAGGGCCTCCTCGAACAGGTGGTCCTCTGCCGCCTGACAATGTGAGTGACCCTATCCACGACCTCGGCTTGCGAGGTTTAGACGAGGGTGCGTTAAGCCGTACACGGAGGAAGTTGGTGTCCGAGAACGAACAAAGGCTGACTCTTAACAGATTTAGACTCTGAAGCGGAGTCCCATGTAGCCAAGTCGGTGACCTTTATTCCGTTGTCACCTAAAAGCTCAATGACAATGAAAAGGCACCGTGCGGAAGCGGCGGCCAAGGAGGAAATGGAGAAAATGGAGCAACTTGCTTTTGACCAACTTCATGCCCTTGTGCCTTTTAAGCCACGCTCACGAACACGCTCACGTCACCGACGGTCCTCTTCCTCATCATCTTCATCATCGGACAATTCTGATACTGGCCGAAAACATCAACCTCGGGGTGATGGATCTAGCTCAGACGATACCGTCGAGATATTGCCTGATCGATTTGATCGACGTGGCGAGCCGTTGGATGGGCGTTCCAACCGCAATCATGGATGGAAGAATCGCAGGGGAGATTTTGAGTACCGACCTAAGAACCGTGGTGACATGAATGTCAGGGGTGCATGGCAAGTTGCTGGAACCGATGGTGAATCTGTGGACCGACTCGTTCGTGGTGTCACTGGAGTGCTAGAAGGCAAACGTGGTTGGCTTGGCTTGCTTGGAGAAGTTTTGGGTGGACTGCAGGGAACTGATGAGAGCAAGGCGATTGAGGACGGGCGTCATCACGATAGGAGACGCAGAAGGAGGAGGCATTCCGATTGACGACTTAATGACTGTGAATACGTTTCTTGACTCGGTAACGATTTCTTTGGCTGGACATGGCTGATGGTTTCTGGGTTGGGTCGAACTTGATGACATGATGTAACGACTACGTATATCTAACGACCGATATATAGATCAACTGATGATGTGTTATATGCATGATTGAAGAACCTTTATCACGTTGGATTAACTGTGAAGTGTATAAGTTTGAATTTGAAACGAAATGCATGTGTTGGTATCCCTTGATATCTACAATGTATAGGACATGGCCTCCTCTTGAAATGATTCAACTCCCCACCTTCTACGCCATCCCACCCAGCTCTCATCATAACTCATCTCGCTGAGGTGTTGCCGTCCTTCCACTATCGGCTTGTAGGTCGACACCGTTCTTTGCCCTCCACTTCTCCCACAGACCCCAAAAGTCGCTTTCCATGTTTGTGTCCATCTGGTCTGGGAGCACCACCTTGTATTCAACGTATAGGTTGCCAAATTCGGTCTTGTGGTAGACGCTGTCGCCATCCTCGTGCCAGATGGGCATACCCTCGCCGACTACCGTCTCGATGTGGCCGGGTTGGATGACCTGGCCGCGGGGACGTTGTAGACGGACGACGTGTGTGTCGAGATGAGTTAGGTTGCGGGTCCAGCCGCCCATCCAGGCTTCGCGGAGGGAGAGGAGTTCGGTCCAGTATAGATCGTTGCCCTTGCGACGGAAGAAGACGCCGTCGACCTTGTCGGGGTTATTTTCGTATGAGGGTGCTTGCTCAGTGAGCGTCACGATCAAGTCGCCAGGGACCCAGTCAGGGCTCTCGTCTGCCTCATTCTCGTATACTACGCGGGAGTCACGACCGGCTCCACGCGCGATGTTAAGTTGTACGTTGGTAGCCTTTCTCTCGACGCGCTGGCCTTGGCAGACTGGACACTTGTGCTTGATAGTCTTGCCCCTGCCGCCGCAGGCGTCGCACTTCATGCGCATTTGCTGGAACATGCCCGGCGCGAGCTGTCTCTTGATGGTTCGGACGCCGTGGCCGCCGCAGACATTACAAGAATCAACCTGACCATCGGCGCTGCCTGTTCCCTCACAGTGCTCGCAGATGTGCTGCTTGTTCCAGGCAAACTCGGTCGTGGCGCCGTTGTAGAAGTCGCGGAGGGAGATCTCGACTCGGACCTCGACGTTGTGTCCTCGAGGTTCGCTAGAGGCTCGTCCTGAATGGCCGTGGCCGCCGAAGAAGCGGCTAAAGAGGTCGAAGGGGTCGTGGCCTCCTCCGCCGCCGCCGCCTTGACGGTGCTGCTGGACACCATCGTGGCCCCATTTATCGTATACTTTGCGTGTCTCTTCGTCGCTTAGGACATCGTAGGCTTCTGAAACTTCAACGAACTTGTCGTGTGCTGTGCTATCACCGCTTGAGGGAGGTTAGTATTGCATCGAGGCGGAGGGGGGTTATGGAGGGGCATACGGATTCTTGTCGGGGTGGAACTTCTTTGACAGTTGGCGATATGCCTGTTTCAATTGCTTGTTTGAAGCTGATCGATCAACACCGAGAATCTAGAAATCTGTTAGTTCTGAATGCGTGGTGAGCTCCTCGAAATGTCGTGCCTTGTAATAGTCCTCGGCGCATATAGCGAGCTGGACTAGAGCTAATAGGACCAAGATGGCCGCTCCGTGGAGCAACATTGCGCCGTCGTGTGCGCAATAAATGAAGCTTTTAAAAATTTCAAAGAAAGAAGCTTCGAAGGCGACCTCGACGATGAAAGAGCGAAAACCACAGAAGCGACGTGGCGGGAGCGAGAGGCGAGAAGATGACCAAGGACCGGAGAACAAAGAAATCGACTTAGAAATACCAGCGTGTTATCAATGCTTCGTTTGCCTCCAGTTCCAGGCCAGGTACTACCTCTTTTGGGAACGCTATCGGGCTTATCGATCACCCACCCCTGCATGTGGCGCTTTATCAGAGGTCTTTGATTGGAGGATCGGATTAATTACCGGATTATCCTGCAACTAATTTCTTGGGCTGGACGTCAGCCAACTGCGTCGCGATGGAGCTTGTTCTGCCTGGGGCTGTATCTTCTGCCTTCAGCTTGGTCTACTTGGAATTTCACCGATTCCAGGTATAAGCTTGACGATTATTTTTGTGCTTTATCACGGCGAAGCTAATCGGATAATCACCATGAGCTCAAAAAAGTACGCTCTCCTCCCTATGGATGAGGATGAGGTCGGCCCTCAAAAAGTTTCCAAGGAGAAGAAGCACAGGCATCGACATCGCGACCGAGACGAGAAATCCTCATCCCGAAATTCTAGGCCACGTCGCGATCGCAGTCGCTCGAGGTCTCCGGGCCGAGGGTCTTCATCACACCACAGCCGATCTAAGCAGTACCGAAGACGCGATGACAAGGCCGACTTTGACGATCGATGGGGAGATGAGGAGCCACCTTCCTCCGAGCCTGAGGAGGAGGAGGAAGAATTTGAGGAGTCGGCTAGCAAGAGGGTTAAGCTGAGCCATGATGAGCCAAAGGAGGAGGACCTTTCAGACGGCGCAAAGGAGGAGTTGGATCGGAGAAAGGACATTGAAGAGCGCGAAGCCTTTGCGAAGCGACTGAAGGAAAAGGACGACAAGAGATCGAAACACGGCGAAAGAGAGGGAGAATCATCGAGGAGAAAACTCGCAGAGGATGCTGAGGCACGAAACAAGGCGCTCCCCGATATCCGAGAACGATCGCGACAGGAATACCTCAAGAAGCGAGAGGCAGAACGTCTTGCTCTTCTACGGAAGCAGGTCGCCGAAGAGACGGCTGAGTTGAGGAGCGGCGTGCGACTGTCGGAGAAGGAAAAGGCCGAGTTTGCCAAGAACAGGGAGATCCTACGCCTGGCGGAGGAACGCCTCAAGATTGACGACCACCGCGATGGATATGCGATGCCGGAGGATTACATCACAGAAAAGGGAAAACTGGACCGCAAGAAGAAAGAGGAGGCACTCTACAAGAGATACGTTGAAAAGGACGAATATGGCCAGGAGAAATTCGTCACCGAGCATGAGGAGTGGGAGCGAGAGCAGGCCTCGAAGGCCAAGGCGCAGATTCAACGCGCCGAGAGAGAAAATGAGGACTACGACTATGTGATGGACGAGGAACAGTACATCCAATGGAATTTGGACTCACGGATGGAGGGCGATGACCAAAAGATGACCAAGGAGCAGCAGTTCTTGGCGGCACAAATCGACGCAGCGGAGAAGAAGGCTTTGACCATCCAGGAGACGAGAAAGAGTTTACCCATTTACCAGTATCGCGACGAATTTCTGGCGGCGTTGGAGCAGTATCAGGTTTTGGTCATTGTTGGAGAGACTGGTAGTGGAAAGACAACACAACTACCGCAGTATCTTCACGAAGCGGGATACACCAAGAACGGCATGAAGGTGGGATGCACACAACCCCGACGAGTGGCAGCCATGAGTGTAGCAGCTCGTGTTGCAGACGAAGTCGGTGTCAAGGTCGGCAACGAAGTTGGATACACGATTCGTTTCGAGGATTGCACCAGCGACAAGACCGTTTTGAAGTACATGACCGATGGTATGCTTCTTCGAGAGTTCATGACGGAGCCTGACCTGGGAGGATATTCTGCACTGATGATCGACGAGGCGCACGAACGGACGGTTCACACTGATATCCTGCTGGCGCTGGTCAAGGATCTGTCTCGAGAGCGGCCTGACCTTAAGCTTCTGATCTCTTCGGCTACCATGAACGCCGAGAAGTTTGCGCAGTACTTTGACGACGCGCCCATCTTTAATATTCCCGGTCGACGATATCCTGTGGACATTTACTATACACCTGCCCCTGAGGCCAACTATCTGGCTGCCGCAATTACGACAACGTTCCAGATTCATACCACACAAGGCAAGGGTGACATCTTGATCTTCCTGACGGGTCAAGATGAGATTGAAGCGGCTGAGCAAGAGATTGCGGAAACGGCAAAGAAACTTGGAAGTCGCATCAAGGAACTTGTCATTTGTCCCATCTACGCCAACCTACCATCAGAACTTCAGTCAAAGATCTTTGAGCCGACTCCAGATGGAGCTCGCAAGGTTGTCTTGGCTACCAACATTGCCGAGACCAGTTTAACCATTGATGGTATCGTCTATGTCATTGACCCCGGCTACGTCAAGGAGAACGTCTATAACCCTGCAACCGGCATGTCGAACCTGGTTGTTGTACCTTGCTCGCGAGCCTCTGCCAATCAGCGGAGCGGTCGAGCTGGACGTGTCGGACCTGGAAAGTGCTTCAGGTTGTACACCAAGTTTGCGTACATGAACGAAATGGACGAGTCAACGACTCCTGAGATTCAGCGAACCAACCTGAACGGTGTTGTGCTTCAGCTGAAGTCGCTGGGCATCAACGAGCTGCTAGAGTTTGAGTTCATGGACCCTCCGCCCACGGAAGCTCTCATCGGCGCTTTGAACCAGCTGTTTGCGCTGCAGGCTTTGAATCATCGTGGAGAGTTGACCAAGCTAGGTCGTCAAATGGCCGAATTCCCTACCGATCCCATGCTCGCCAAGGCTGTACTGGCTGCAGACAAGGAGGGATGCGTAGAGGAGGTTCTGTCCATCGTTTCGATGCTTGGTGAGGCTTCAGCTCTCTTCTTCCGACCCAAGGATAAGAAGATTCACGCAGACAGCGCCCGCAACCGGTTTACGGTTAAGGATGGAGGTGACCATATCACCCTTCTCAACGTGTGGAATCAATGGGTGGACAGTGATTTCTCCCCTGTCTGGTCAAAGGAGAACTTTTTGCAGCAACGGTCCTTGACCCGAGCGCGCGATGTCCGTGATCAACTGGCCAAGCTCTGCGAACGTGTCGAAGTTGCCCCCTCTACTTGCGGAGCGTCCAACCTCCGACCCATCAAGAGAGCCATCACGGCTGGTTTCTTCCCCAACGCGGCGCGACTACAGAAGAGCGGTGACAGTTACAGGACGGTCAAGAACAACACGACAGTGTGGATTCACCCAAGTAGCGTGTTGATGGCCATCGATCCGCCCGAGAAGATGGTGGTGTATTTTGAGCTTGTGCAGACTACGAAGGAGTACATGCGTAGTGTGATGCCGATCGAGCCCAGGTGGCTTTCGGAGTTGGCACCGCATTTTCATAAGAAGAAGGATATTGAAGCTATGGAGGAAAAGAAAATGCCCAAGCAGCGGTAGATATGAATACGGATATTGCGCGTCATGCGTCTAATTACAATCTAGCCTATTCCACATCCCATCATTGTTTTAATCATCTTTGCCTTCTGATGTTTCTTCATTGTCGGGAACCCATTTGTAGAGAATGTCGGTTCTCATGGTGTACTTTGTACCCTTGACAACCGTTGCTCCCTCATGGTAGAGACCCTTGTGCTGGAAGATGAGCACACTGCCTTGCTTGGGGTTCACGTCAAGCCTGTTATCACCTCTCATCTCTAGAAAAGAAGTTGCGCCGCCTTCGAGATCTGACTCAGGGTTGTGTTCCTTTGAGTCATTGAGATAGAGGTGGACTGTGTAAAAGGTCTCATACTCGATGCCTGGGCCTTCAGTATAGTAATAGGGGCCATCGCAGTGAGCTGCTCATGGTTAGAGATGCATGGTAGGATGAGTGAGATGTTGGCTTACGCTTAAAGTACTGGCCGGGAGTGTACTTGAGATATCGCATTCGCTCGTTAAACCGGCTGAATTTCCATTTTCCTCCACGCATGTAGGGATCAGGTGGGATCACAGCTAGAAGCTCACGCAGGCCCTCAGCTTGAGCGCACCGTTCCCACAGCCGATCAACGATGGTCTGCTGGTCCCAGATAATGCGGTCACTCTCACGATATCCCGGCGCTGGAGCCTCCCACCCAGGGCCGAGACTCACCAGCGCCGGTCTCCAGGCTGAAGAGCCTTCTGGTCGAGGCACAGAAGCCTCAGCGAGAGAGAGTAGCTCGCGGCATTCTTGGGGAGATAGGACGTTGTCGAGAATGAGGGCGGTGTGACCCTCATACTGAGGTAGAGGAGATGAGGCAAAGTCAATGTGATGAGATGTTATGGGAGCGGAGGGAGGAGCAGTGAGGAATGAATCTGGGATGACCACATCGCTACTGGTGTATTTTACTTGACGAGGTAGATCTTCCATTTTGGATGGGTTTCTGGGTTTTATGACAAAGGAAGACGATGAGGAGGAGGTGAGGCCAAGCTTGGATGCGAGGTTGGAGAGCATGGTTTTAATGCTGACTGTTGAAACAAGGGCAGGATCTTCAAGGATTTGCAAGGATTTTCAACGCAGGAACTCGAATTGGCTGAATATATAGGCAAATGTAACGAAAAAGGACACTTCTTTTGTAGCCTAACACTCAGGCCCTCTTGTTTACATTGTTGCCTACGACTTGGAGCTATCACGAGCGTAAGCGTGGCTGTGTGGGGAACAGCCACCACCAGAAGATGCGACTAGGCTTTTACCATTGCGAACCATGGGATTGGTGGACGAGGCGTTTTCGGGGGGTTGTAATTGATTTTCTTGGGGGTGGTATTTTCGGGGTTTGTTAGTTGGTTTTTATTTAAATAATAGGGGTGCATTATGAATAGAGGAACGCTCAACAACTAATTCCACCATGAAGGAGTGAAGAGAATGTGAATATGCTAACCCACCCACCATCTAGTCCTGTCGTGCCCTGTCGCCTACCGAGTACCCTGGGAGCTCAGCAGGCGCTGATTCGGCCGGCATCTCTGCCTTTGGTTTATATCCATTCTCAACCTCGGGGACGGCCCTAGACCGATCGAGGGCGTCCTTCTTGGCCTTTCGGAGAAAGAATATAAGCCAGACACTTGAACCACCAAGGAGAAACCCTCCGATTGAACCGCCGATGGCTCCACCTATCAACGCGGGACTTGGGCTTGAGTCTGAGTCTGAGTTCGAGTCTGAGTTCGAGTCCGAGTCCGAGCTTGAGTCTTTGTCTGCTGGCCCTGTCTCGTTTGGGGATGTGGATGCGGTGCTACTGGTCTCTTCGTCTTTGGCGGTTGATGTTGTTTCTTGACTTGATGATGTTGTAGTTGCTTCAGAAGTTTCTGTGGATTGTGTAGACGTAGACTGAATAGAGCTTGTTGCCGCGAGTATGGTTGTAAGGACAGAAGGTTCCACTCATAGGTAGTTAGCAATGAATCAACAGGCCTGGACAACATTGACTTACCCGAGAAGATGAGTGCCTTTGACTCATCCTTACAGACATTGGCATTTTGGGTCCTGGGACAAAAGAATCGATCCGTATACCCCTGACACCTCGTCACGTCTGTACCTCCAGTATCCTCTCCCTCGGCTTCAGTGCAGAAATTGGGACACTCGCTGCTAGACCAATCCTGGTTTGTACAACTGCCACGGGCGAACTTGCCTGTACCCACGTCCTCAACGAACTGACACATACCCGTTGAGACGCAGATGTAGCCCTCTGCGCAACATGCGGAGGCTTCAGCGTCTGGTTTGCATGGTACGTCACGAGGGGCGTCTTCGCCATTTGGGTAGTAGCATTGAGCGTGTACTAGAGTTGAGGAGAGGGCGATGGCAAGAATGAAGCGGGAAGAAGCCATTTTACTTATTGTTGCGAGGAGCATGGCTGAGGAGCGAATGTGTAGAGTTGAAAGAGTGTATGGACGAGCGAGAGAACGAGAAGAAGATCAACGGGGCGGAGGGAGGAGATTGCATCCAAAGAAAATGACCGTCCGTTAAGATAATCTTATGACAAGAGCACAGGCACTCTTGTAAATGAAGACATTGGCTCAGGAGAGCTCGTAGTATCCGCTCCAAGTGCAGCTGAATGGAGGAGAGCGGCAAATGGAGCCCAATTCGGCAATCTTCAAGCGTATTTTTTAAGGGGAGCCCTGGTTCCGACACAACGGCTGAGATGGGGCCTTTTTTATTTATCCAATCGTAGGGGAGTATATGGGACTTTAGAGCGATGTTAATTTTGTTTTCTGGATTGCTGTGGTTGCTCTGCGACGTGTGAGATGTGTTGTGACACTTGGCGGGGGATATGTCTGAATTGCCTCACTTCGGCTCTGTATCTCCACTGGGATGATTTCTGGCCGTCAAAGATCCATTCTGTCATTTTCTTTGATCAAGACTGGGGTCATCATCAGACCAGGGTTGGTTTGTGAGGCCTGAATATCGGGCCCTCTTACCACTGCTTTGGGGGAGTCAAGAGTTGGTGGTCAACCGGTCCGTGGTCTGGGGACTTGTGCTTGCACTTGAATGCACAATAGAAGGAGCGTTCAAAGTATATGGAATGTCGTCAAGACCCGTGGAATCGTCCAAGTGCTGCCGAGGATGTGTGCCGCCTAGAGATTCTCGATATCCGCTTTCAACTCCAGGCGAATGCAAAATTGGAATGCGGGGAGACATATGAATGCGTAATATTTGATACCTGGAAGACTAAAATTGGAGTTTGCGTTTCGTTAACAACAGGAAATCGTGTGATGGGCGTCTCTGCGGACGACGTGGACCTGACAGGGCCGTTTCCTGCAAAGCACTGAAAGCACAGCATTGCCGAGTTGGAGATGCTCAGTCTTGAAAGAGGCTATTAGTAACTGTATCTGATGCGAACTCTGAGATTGAGTGTTGGCCTGTGGTTCATCGCGCAAGTTGAACAATGGGATAAAGCTGAAGCGTCAGTGTGTATCGCCACCTTAGAGTTGGTGGATGCTTGGTGTTGGACTGTTGGAAGTATAATTGTGATCGGATTCGTAGGTCTTGGAGGATCGGGGATCAATACCCGATAGCGCAAAAAGATGAATGATTGATGAAAAAAAGAAATTGGTTAGTTGTCGTGAGTGAGTAGAGCATCAACTTGATGCATCTCGCTCGACAGGTGATTTTACAGCCGACCTAAACTGCGTGACAGACATGAACAGTGTGTCTTGCGCCATCATCAACCACATTGTCGCCTTGAACAATGACACTTGAGAATTGACATTTCCAAAAACATGTGCTCATCGAATGCTCCTTCGGTTCTCGCTAAGAACGGCGCGTGGGATGGACTCGGTCTAAGCGAAGGTGACAATTCGGTTCCATTCCTTCTCGATGGTTGAATAACGAGGTTTGGGACGAGCTCGGCTTAAGAAGAATTCTCGGAAAACGACGGCGACGTGGATATGGATCCTCGGGAGGTTGGCATGACCTTTATCCACTGGAAGCGCAGAGTCGACGTAGGGCTTAGCTTGTACAAAACCGTTCGAGCCAAGACGGGAGCTTATGGTCTTGGGAGACAGGGGTTCATAAAGAGCCTCTTGCTCAACATCTCGTGAGTATGCAAAAGTTCAAGGGCAATGTTGTCAATGAGTAAAGGAATGGCGACATCGTTCATGTTTAAATACAGGCTGCCATATGGTTCAAGGTCCCAGTTTTACAAGCAATCTATTACCTACACCTTTCCCGGAAACAAAGAGCACGGGGCAACACGAGCTTTTTTACTCTACAGATCGGCCCGTATGCTACGTGTGTGGCTACGGCACGGCCGAGCCGACGGCTGTGACGTTACCAAAGGATCGGAGACCCTAGCAGAGTGCTAAGTTACTGCCTGTTCGTTATGTAACAGGCCCGTGTCAGATGCGATCGTCACTCCATCCGCTAGACAAAAGGCGGAAGGTGCAGTAAAAAGACCATGTCTTGGAGGTTACGTGAAGTGTAATCTGGGATATCTGTGTGGGTTTGCCTCTGAGCACGCAATTCCTCGTGCTCTGCCTTTTTGGGTGTTGGAGATGGGGGATTTTGAAAGTCAAATACATGAGGGTTTCCGACAACGATATGAGCTTGGTTTTGAAGTATCAAAGGGTCCAGAATTTGACCTGACATGTCTTTTTAACTGATCAACAACAATGGCAATAATCAACCCAGACTCAAAAGATCTCGGCAAAGATGATGTCGAAAACTCGGCAGCCCACGTTGGCCGGGGTCCGACCCAGTCCGACCTACTACGTCGCTCGCTCTCGGCACGCCAGGTCCAGATGATTGCCATCGGAGGCACGATCGGTACTGGTTTGTTCTTAGGCACGGGAAAGTCCCTGGCCACTGGTGGACCAGCCTCTATTCTCATCGCGTATGCAATTGTGGGTTGCATCGTGTTTACTACCATGTTGAGTTTGGGAGAGATGGCTGCTTTTATCCCCGTCGCTGGTAGTTTTTGTACTTTTGCCGGGTTAGTAAAAGTTTGGTTTTGGATGTGATTGGATACTGACATTAGTAGACGTTTTGTTGATGATGCTTTTGGCTTTGCTCTTACATGGAACTACTGGTTCAACGATGCCGTATCCACTGCCTCTGATCTGGTCGCTCTGCAACTTATTCTACAGTATTGGACTGACAATTTTCCGGGATGGGCTCTCAGCTTGATCTTTTGGGTTGTGCTGATTGGTGTCAATATTATTTCTGTGCGAGCATATGGCGAGGTATGTTTGTGATCCGTTGGGCATGGATCATTTACTTACAAGTTGCAGCTTGAGTATTGGCTCAGTTTACTCAAAGTCATAACCATTGTTGTAAGTATCAGAACGTCAATTGCAAACAACAGTCTCTAATATTTCCCAGGTCTTCATTGTCATGGGAATCGTCGTCAACTGTGGTGGAAATGCCGAGGGAAGATACATTGGAGGTGAAAACTGGCACATCCCAGGTGCTCCTTTCGTGGGCGGCATCGGTGGTTTCGCCTCTGTCTTTGTCACTGCCTCATTTGCCTGTAAGTTCCCTGACTAATAAGTGCCAAAGGCATTCGCTAACACCAACAGACGGAGGAACTGAGAGTATCGCCATCACGGCTGGTGAGACTAAGGATCCCACCAGGAACCTTCCTAAGGTGGTCAAGAATGTCTTTTGGCGTATTATCCTTTTCTAGTATGCTGTCCGTGGGATTAAATATTGTCTGGATGCTAACATTCGCAGCCTCCTCTCAGTCCTCCTGATCGGCCTCAACGTCCCATACACCTACCCCGACCTTGACTCCAAGGAGACCCGCACATCCCCTTTCACCATCGTCTTTGAGATGACTGGCGCCCACGCCGCAGGAAGTGTCATCAACGCCGTTATTCTGACTAGTGTTCTCTCTGCTGGAAACCACGCCCTCTTTGCAGGCGTCAGGTTGATGTACACCCTGGCTTTAGAAGGCCATGCACCCAGGGTCTTGGGAAGATTGAACAGAAACCAAGTTCCCTGGATTGCTGTCCTGGTAACTGGAGCCGTTGCTGGTCTCTGCTTTGGATCGAGCTTTATCGGAGCTGGCCAACTATGGTCTTGGCTTCAGAAGTAAGTATTCCCATGTCATTAATCTTGAACCTTGTCTAACACCTCTTAGCATCGTCGGCGTATCAAACCAGCTAAGCTGGATCTCCATCGGTATTACATCCATCCGCTTCCGCGCCGCCCTCAAAGTCCAAGGCAAAACGCACCTCCTCCCCTTCCGAAACTGGACGTACCCCTACGGCCCATGGTTCTGCGTCATCCTCAACAGCTTCCTAGTCCTGGTGCAAGGCTGGAGCTGCTTCAGTCCCAAGTTTGACGGCGTCAGCTTTGTAAGCTTCTACGTTGAACTTCCCATCATGCTCATCATGTACCTGGGGTGGAAGTTTATTAAAAAGACAAAGACTGTTAAACTGGAGGAGATGGATCTTGAGACGGATACTTATACTATTGAGGAAAAGGTTGAGGAGGTAGCGGGGTGGAAGGGCAAGGTTAAGAATGTGATTACTTGGTTGTTCTAGATGTTGAAGCAGTGGAGGAAGACGTCAATGGAATGGGAGAAAGCGTTTAATTATCCCATATTATTATAATGCATACCAAGTCTATTTCTTTCAACGCCGTAATTTCGATACCCCTTGCTCCCCATAGTAAACATCCCGTGACTCTAATTGCCTTCCCAAACGCCAAGACACTCGCAACAAGACCCAAAAACTAGACCAGCAGGATACGCGATGACCACTTCCTCTGAATTGGATATCCAACGAAACACCCCAGCCGAACGTACTTTTTATATTCCACCAAGGCCTGAAAAGCTGATTTCAACAGTCTGCGAGGCGGGGGCTCCATAGCATACGCCTCTACGATGATGAGACCTGAGCTTGGTCCGAGGTATAGAAACCAGACATCCACCAACTCAAGAGGGCTCTTGTCATCTCGTCGCAGGCGGTGATGAATGGGTACTGCGTCACTGTCTAGGTAAGTCTTCATCGTCGTCGGCAAGGTCGTCCAAGGGCTGAAATTGTCATAACCTCCATAGTAGCTCCCCGAAGTCGACAACCTGATCGTCTTGACACTTCGAAGGTATCCGTTAATCAGTAGCCCTTCGCCCTTGACTTTAGCCCGGATGTATGTCGGGTCGGCGCCTTTGAGAAACTTGATCTGTCCATCTGCAGATGCCCAAGACCATGAAGGTGCACGACGATTCGTCTGACAGGTGTGGACTCGTATCCTGTCAACAGTGTGACCGCGGTGTTCCCACAAGAGTGACTCTGCGAGCTGGTCCATCCATACTCCGCAGAGGTAGGTTGTTGGTGAGCCGTGTTGTGCTATCTTTGCTAGCCCTGATATGACTAGGAGCCTGTCGTTCGGATACATGAGGCTATTTTTACTGTATTCGGCGACGATGGACTTCCAGTTGGCTCGGATGTTGCTTGGTACATCGCGTTCTGTGACTTTGCGAGGTAGAGGCTCGCTTTCCATGAGGCCTTCTCGAGACTTGCATGCTCGACATCTCCACGACATCTCTCCCTTTTCGTAGGAAATGGATCTGACGCAGAGGAAAGACTCCTGAAAGACCCATCCTCTCCAACGCAGCGGTTCATTTAACGAATGGGGCTCTATGGCATTGGCACAGCGGCCGAGGTAGACCATGTCTTGACCCTTCTTGTCTGCTGGAAACTCGTAGTATGAGCGGGAGAGATTGTCTCGGTCGCAGAGGAGTCCTTGATGGGTATCGTCGCTTGAAGGTGCAGCTATCGTCAAGAAAGCGCAGCGGAATATGGTTCCCATTTGCTGTGCTTGCATTTCCCAGTCTTTGACGGCTTCTTCTCCTGAGCCTTGCATGATGCATAGTGAGTCGATCCACACGTAGCGTACATTGAGGCGCCTGGTAATGATGATGGTGTCTTTGATAGTCTCTGAAAGCTTTTCGAATGGGATGCGTCGCTCCAGCTCAGATTTATTGGATGGTGTTAGGGCAAAGAATGGCTTCGGCCCCCAGCAATAACCAAGAGCCATGTATCTCCCACGCTGATTGACAGCTGTGGTTACCAGCCTGGGAGGTTCAGAGCCGTCGGAAGGTCCAACGTCAATCAATCGAAGAGGTAGAGGTGACCTGTAATTTGATGGACAGGTTCCGTAGTGCTTGAATAGACAATCCGAAATCCATTGCTTGGCTAGGTCGAAACAAGTTGGGGATCCAGAGTTGGTCTCGATCCTTCGGAACTTGACATGGCATCTCCTATCTTCAGGTTGCCCTAGAAAGAATTAGCATCTATATATTGCCATGGCGACGAAGAGCTTACCATGTCTGGGGTCTGCGTACAAGACGACACGGCCTCGAGTCACCCATGGCTTAGCATCTGGTGGACCAAGATGCGAAAGACCCGAAAAGTCAAGGGCCCAACCCAAATCCTGTCGCTTCCTCTTGTTGACGACTATCACGTCGATCTGCTGAACTGGTGTCTTGAATGGAGGGTTGCAATACAGTGCAATGACGGGGTCGTCCATCGCCAGTATCTTGGCTGTGCGATTCTTGAGAGACCACCATACTAGAGAGCATAGGTAGCATTCGTTTTCGCTTGGAGATTTTACTTCTTGTAGAGTTTGTTTCACGTCAATGCCCAAGACGTAGCCGTGGCCTGTAATGTCGCGTAGTGAAGCGTTCTTGCATCCAGGACAAGGCTTCGCGGAGGGGTTGCGTCGAAAGATTTGACCGTTCATAGCCGACAGCTTCTGTATAGCTGACGGCCCTTCCATGGTTAAAGAGTCTGTGGTGTTAAATCATGAGCGAGGGGTTGATCTCGTAGGGCCCTTGAGGATGTCAGTCTCGTATAAGTTCAAGCGTTGGTGGCCTCCGCTATGACATGCCGCACTATTACATTTGCGGACATGAAACAAGATGAACGGATTCGTCAACAAGGCTGTGAAAAGAGGAGGCAGGCTTCCTCATGACCTGAACTCATGGTGGTCAGCACTGCCTCGTTTTCCACGCTCGACTAAGTTTAGTAGGCAAGCCCATCTGCAGCCTCGACGGCCGAGCACCCCTGATCTCACCACAGACTCGTACTCTTATTTTATGTGACCAAAGTTAAAACAATATGTATTCAGTAATAATGATGTACTAGACATGTAGAAGTTTAAACATTTCTTTTGTACTTTAGTGGTGCCACTTCTTCCCACGTGTCCCCTGACGGCCCGGGGCGTATTCTTCAGGAACGGTTGGCCATTGGTCGACACCGTCTTGGATCACCATCATCATGCCTCCTACCATGTGGTTGTTGATATGGCAGTGCAGAAGCCAGGGGCCTGGGTTGCTGGCGTGGTATCGGACTACTACCCAGGTCACATCCTGCTCTGCGGGAAGGGAGGTGAAGGCGTCTCTTCGGGGAGGGTTTACGATGTTGAATTGATCGGGGATCTCCTTCATGGCTTCTTCAACTGAGCTCCATCTGAAGACGCCGGTTCCAGAACCGATCTGGTACATCTTTGTGCCGTGCTTGTGGATGGGATGCGGCGGCTGAGGAACCATTGATGCGACAAAGACGAGGTCGACCCATTGATTCAGCTTTGTCGAGATGGTGACGTTGTTGTTGACGTAGGGCATCGGGTTAAACAGGGTAGGTTTCTGAACATCGAGGTCATCAGGCATGAGTCGTGTATCATTAAGCGCCCAGAGATACGTCGCGCCGTCGATCTTCATGCTTAGGTTGAAAGTGACATCGGCAGTGGGCGAGATGGGATCCGGTGGGAAGGGATAAGCCTTGTGCTGTTCGAAAAAGACAACATCCTTGGACGTGGGGAGACCGACGAGGTTGATGTATGCCTCGGCCTCCTGAGCTTCTCCGTACCCGTCGACCGAGAGGATGGCATGCCCTGTAATGAGCTGCGGCGCGCTGTTGGCGTTGAAGCGCATCTTGAAGTCTCCTGACTTTTCAATCTTGACAAACACCGAGTACCTATCGCCGTTTGTCACAGTGATGGCCTGGACCTTTTGGGGCTCGATGTATGAGCCATCCATGGCGTAAACCCAGAGCTCGTGGCCGTCAATGGAGAAGACGCCGGTGACAAAGTTGATTGCGCCGACAATGTCAAAGGCTACCCACTTGGCTGATCTGTGGTGCTTGTTGGAGACCTTGATGACTTCAATTTGACCCTTGGTTTCTTTGCAGCCGGAAAATGTTCCTGGGAGGAGGGCGCTTTCGTTGCCGCCACCTCCGCCGAGGGCTAAGAGAGCAGCAGCAGGGAGACAACTAAGAACTGTCAGCAATAGATCTTCAGTTTATAGTATCCATTTACTCACGCCTTGTCAGTCATGGCACCGTTGGGTACAGCACCAAGATACGCCTTCTGAACCGGGTTGAGGTTGGCCTCTACCTCTTCCTTGGGGATGCACTCTACCCTTCCCTTGCCATTGAAGAGAATGGAATCATAGCACGAGTCCTCAACACCAGCAGCAAGTGTCATCTCCCACTTCTCATTCGAAGTGAGATGCACAAAGTCCGCAATGACAATCGGCTTGACACGCTTCTCAGCCTCCTCCAAGGCGCATACAGTCTCGTAGTCATCCGAGATGAGGTGGAAAGGATTCGGGTCCTCCCGTCGAGGATGAATAACCATGGGTCCGTAGAGACCATCTTCAATCTGACCCTTGAAGTGAGAGTGGTACCAATAGCTGCCGTGCTGCGTTGCCTGGAATTTGTAGGTGAAGCTGCATCCCGGCTCAATGGGAAGCTGTGTAACACCGGGGACACCATCCGACCAAGGGGTTCCCTTCATCTCGATGCCTAAAGTTGGTCAGTGATGTTAATTATAGGTAAACGTTTACGAGGTGCATACCGTGATAGTGGATGGTGATGTTTTCTGGGGAGTAGTTGTGCACTCGCACGACAACCCAGTCATCTTGGTCAATCTCGAGGACAGGACCGGGAGATTGGCCGTTGACGAGCAGCATCTTTCGGGAAAAGCCATCTGGAGCATAGTCGTCCCATGTTATCTTGAGGTCAAACTCTTTGGTCTGCTTCCAGTGGCCATTGGCTGCTACAGAAGTGAAGAAGGAGTGGAGAAGCAGAGGAAGAAAGACGAGGTAGGAGATAAAGGAAGCCATCTTGGCGGTATCTACCAGGCCAGAGTTGCTTGAGAGGAGTGGTCTCAACTGTCGATCTGCGGGATGCTCGCCATGATATTATACTCACCGCATCCATTAGACTCTCCATCATTTCGTTCCATTCCATTGGGTCTGTCTCTGAGTGTTGCTAGGCGAACTTTTTTACGGCTTACATGGCGCCCAGCAATGTTGGGCTGCGCCGCCATGTAGCATCACCAAGGGATGGGGGAAAGCGCACGAGTGAGACCATGCCATTTCGTATCAGAGAAGCCAATAGAGACATTGTTGCACATGCGGTGTCTTGTTCTCTGCCGCCGTGGGGTCAGCACTAGACCATGACCCCTTTGAGCAATTCTGCGCGCTCATCTGGCGGGCGACTATTGGATGTTGATGTGTTCTTGGCTGAGGTGAGCTGAGCTTGACGTGTCTAGAGGTTAACCTGGATGTAGATCACAATGGAGCAAGCGAGGAACAAGTTGACAGCTGAAAGACATGTTGGCAGCTGAATTGCCGTCTTTGGAAAGTTAGGTAGCTCGCTTAAAAAACACCGAGGACGTGTTATCTTGGCGACTTTTTGGGTCCGGGGAATACGAAAATTGGCGAGAGACATTGGCGGATAGGGCTGGTGTTTGGGTTGGGGAGGTCATTGGCTGTTGGATACGGTTTGTCAGACGTGATTTTATGCAGACTTGGCATAAAACTAAGAGTATTATCTCAGCCAGGGGAAACGTTATTTAGAGGGTTTACTCGGCCGAATGTCAGCAGTGAGATTGGGGATCGACGTCAGATTACCGCATACTCGGGCTTACCAGTGAGGGAGACGAGATACGAGATAGATAACAGCAAGGAGGATGTAGTACGTGGAGGATCAATTGTTCAAGATTGTTTATGAAGTTTATGAATGGCATCGCTCAATGTCCGGCACCCGAGGATCCGAAGGATCGCACTCCGAACGACAAGGGTAGTCCGGGCAATATTACAAGGATACAGCCCCATCCTTGCCAAGTATCACCGTGAATCTGCATCCTCAGGGCTGAATCAGTTCAAAGCTTGGTCATTGCAGGATATTCATAGTTCTTCTCATGTCAAGATGACAAACATGCTCTTCAACAACATGGTGACAACCTTCATCTCACCTTGGCTTATAACAGCACCTTCAACAGCATAGGCCCTTGGCTTACACCAAACATGTTGCTTACTCCCCACGGCTTTCAACAAGCACCGCTTACCGCCCCAAAACCCCACACTCCACTGTATCTCAAACTATTTTACCCCTTCAAGGCGTGACTCATTCACGCGTCACCCAGTCGGAGCGAGTCTGTCGCGAACACACGTGCCCTGAACAGCGGTGGGCGGACTTCCCCTCATGTCCGGGTCGGATAGATAGCTTGACGGCGCGGACATTGAGGACATAAGATGAACGCCGTGGCGGTGGTTCGAGGTCCGGATAGGCTGCGGCGTATCATATGTGGACCAAAATGGACCAGACACGAGTGCTACTCTCGTGTTGGATCCTTAACACAATATGGTGGTTTATCATAACGCCTAAAATAACGCCTAAACATAATGAATGTCAATATGCGTGAGCCATTTTGGCTCATGGCATGATTCTCGAACAAGGAACAAGGGGATCACTCATGTGGTGTTGTTGGAGACAAGTATCACCGTGAATGCGTTGCCATGGTTGAAATACTTAAGACCAGCCACATCCCATCTCCAACTCGAAAAACACTCTTCATTCGCATCAATCAAACATACAAATTCACCAAACACTTTAATCAATCACTTCTACCACCGCAATCATGGGCATTGGACACCTTGGACTCCCCGTCGGCGACCACTACGTCGAGATGCGCGACTTCTACAAGGCCATCCTCGCCCCTCTTGGTTACACGATGAAGATGGAGGCTGACTACGGTCATCCTTTCTGCGGCTTTGGTGAAGAGGGCGCTGGAATGGAGTTTTGGCTTGGTGGTGGTGCCAAAGGTGGTTTGCAAAAGTATGACGGCAAGCTTGAGGGCCGTGTTGCGCCTATTCACGTCGCTTTCAATGGAAAGAGTCGTGAGCATGTTGATGAGTGGTACGAGGCAGCCATGTAAGTCAAAGGCCCCTATGATGAACTGGATGGTACTGATGATTGAGTAGCAAGGCTGGTGCTGTGGACAATGGCAAGCCGGGCCTTCGACCGGAGTACATGCCTGGCTACTACGGCGCCTTTGTCCTCGACCCTCTGGGCAACAACATCGAGGTTGTTCACTTGACATTCTAATTTGACACTGAAGGTTAAAGGTGTGGAGATGAGCGAGGAGTATGGAGTCGAGTTGATGAAATGGAGGCGTTGCTAGTTGTCGTGTCGATAAGATGTAAATGAACAAGATGTCTCAGACCCTTTTTACGAATCAAACGTCTGAATCTGAGGATTCTCGTGAACTGTGGGAATGCCATCTCTCAATAACCACCATCCAATCACCTCTGGAGGATAATGATCAGTGTCGTGTTCACGGTCCTGCCATCCATCACCAGGTTCTGCCTCTTCCCCAAAGCCCTTTTCAATGTCCTCCTTGACCTCTTTCCACGTCACCATCATTGAGCTAAGTCCGTTGTCGTGTCGAATGTCGTTGAGAAGCTGCGCTCGATCGGTACCCCGATTTCTTGTGGTCTCCCACGGGATCTGCGTACTCTCCGGGAGCGTGATGAGGATGGCTTCATAGTTCTGTGCCTGGTATGGCTCTCGTCCCCACATCATGCCGCCTTTATGGCGCAGCATTGGGAGGATATAGTTGACGGTTCGCATGCTCGGCATGTGAACATACAATGTCTCAATCGCAGCCCTCCAGTAACGAGACGTTGTCGCGCCTTGTCGGGGAGTATCTCGAAAGAAAGCGCGCCATTCAACACCAACATTGAGAACCTGGTCCAAACCAACAATCGTCATGCTCCCCAGGTTCGGCTTAAGCTGAAGCATATTGCGCTGGTTCCGGTCAAAGTAGAGCATATCATGTTCCATATTGAACCAGACACCAGGGTCGTTCCCATAGGGCGAGAGGAAGAAGCCTTTGCGCAACGCAACGGCGCGGGACTCTTTGCAAGTAGACAATGCTGCTGGGAGAGCATGACGGATGTGGAAGCGAAAGAACTTGGCCGGTCTCGATGCTGCTTCTTCCTGAGGACGTCTTGAGATTCCCTTCACATGAAAGACTCGACGAGTGGGGAGACTGAACTCCCAGACGAGATCTCGTAACTCTGGAGGCAGATCATTGAACTCGAGGTTTCGTGGAGCGTCCTTCTGGCGAGACATGATTGTGATTCACTGAACAAGATTTATAAGTCAATTGAGTAAAAAATGAATTTTGGAACAAATTAAACTCTATAGTTGATTGAGAGACCACGCGCGTTATAAACTCGTCGACTCCAAGGCACCGACATTTCGCGATACCTTCTTTTCGAGTCTGCCTGAAAAGCCTCGTCATCCCCGTAACCGTGGAAACAGGCAACTATGGCTTGAAAATCAACTCCAAATTGGTGGGTATATTAGAAAAAGTAAGAAATCGGCCTTCAGCTCCCGCCGCCATACTGAAACGGGCTTTCGGGCTGCGCCTCGTAAATGTACAATGTGCTGTTATGCTGGTCCGGCATTAAGTACAGCCTCAGCTTTCCGTCTTTTACGCCAACGTCCATTGGATTTTGTGTCAGTCTGACTCCTAGGGCGCTTTCTAGGTCGATGGGGATTTCGGCGAGTGGTGTCATTGTCGCGACATCTACGAGCGCGATGCCGCCTAGATTGTACCCGCCAATGGTGGCAACGCCAGAACAGAGCATAATACTCTTGCCGTTGTAGAATCTGCTGTGGCCTAGCCACTTGCAGTCTTGGTAGTCGACAAAGTAACTCGGGTTTCTGACAACACGTTCTGGTTCGGGGCTCGCGTCGCAGCCCGTCTCTGCACTCTTGAGGTCCCATGTTGAAGCGTTGCGTCCTCCCCAGTTGAGAGCAGTGATGAGATTGTCGCGGGTGTCGTGGACCACGCCTCCCAGATGATCCGCATAATTAAGTACCCTCTCTAGTACCAACGTATTGGGATCTGTCCGATAAACGTATGCCGTGCTGTTGGGACGGTACTGGGCGATGGTTCCCCAAATATACTGGCCATCAAAGTCGATTCCTCCATTATGATATTCATCATCTCCTTCTTTTGTGATGGTCGCATCGGCAACAAGCTTGCCTTTTCCATTATAAACCATCAAATGAGCGAGTCCTTTTCCAGGTGTTCGGTCCGTCCCGTTGATAATCTTTCCATACTTCTCGGTAGGTTCGGTCCAATGGCCTGAACTGACCACGTAACGGTCATCGCCCAGGCGTACCATGCCTTCAGGTTCAAACGTGTCTCCTTCAAAGGTGATGTTGGCAATGCTCTTCCACACTGTGGATCGACCAAGCGTCTGAAAAATATGAATGATTTGCTCTCCATCTGATGCCGCATGAGCCGGAGGCAGGGGAGTAGGTGCCAATGGCTCCTCCATGTGAAGGGAAATATTCCTAGCCATGGCCAAAGCCGGGCAGACTGTAATTGCGTTGGAAAACTTCATATCTGTAGAACCAAGATTGAATAGAAAGTTTACAGGTGATGCAAGCATAAAGATGGTCAGGACGACGAGGAGCGGCGCCGTCACTTTAAGTGCGGTGCTGTCCCACCAGGACTCGCCCTTGGGAAGGGCATCATCATCCCTCATCCGGCGGCGATCAGCAATTGGCTCCGCATCTTCGGGCATGCTTGAAGCCTTGGCTTGATGGGATTCGATGTGATGATTGCGTGGTTGAAGCTGATTGTGGAAGGTCGAGGGAGTGACCAGGAGGTGGACCAACCCCATGGTTCGGCGCTGTCACGTGGTGTGGGGCCCCGATCTCCGATGTTCCGGCAGTCTTCCGGGATTCGAATCCAGAGACCCACCTTACGGGGCCGTGGGTGCCGGGGTGTGTCCGGGGGTTGCTATAAGTTCTGTATTATTGCTGGGATGGCAGGATCTGGTTAACTTGCTTCTAAGAGATGTGTTGAGGCATCGTGAAAGTAATTGTGGCCGTGCTGCTACTCATACTTTCTAGTCATACTCTGAGATGTAGTGAAGAAGTATCGTAGAAAGGTAACTCTATCGCCTCAACGGTAGGCCTGGATCCAATCTTGTTATAGATATAAAAATGCATTGTTACCTTTAGTTTGAATCAGTTCTAGTCTACATCTTTCCTCATCTGTAAGAATCGCAACAATGACATCCCAGACTATCAAGACCCGATTTCTCGTCCTCTCGGACACTCACGGCGCACTGCTCCCTGAGAACAGAAAGCCTAAAGAGCCTGTCGATGTTGTTATTCACTGTGGTAACCTCACCCAAGAGTCCAAGCTAAGGGAATTCCGAACAGCCATCCGCCTCCTCAAGAGCATTGATGCTCCACTCAAACTAGTCATCGCCGGCAACCATGACTTTACCCTTGATACTCCCACGTTCAGGAGCAAGATAGAGGAAATTCAACCATCTATTGACAAAGAGCTCATAGAGCGAGAATATGGTGCTTTGGGGGAAGCGAGAAGGCTTCTTGACGAAGCAGCAAAGGAGGATATCACGTTCCTTGATGAAGGCACTCACCACTTTACCCTAGCAAACGGAGCGCACTTGACAGTCTATGCAAGTCCATACACCCCGTCTATCAACAATTGGGGGTTTCAGTATGATCCTAGACAAGGTCATGAATGGCCTATTAACACGGACGTCGACATTGTCATGACTCACGGGCCCCCATTGGGGATTTTCGACCTACAGGGCAGCCGGCGCATCGGGTGTCCTCAACTATTTACAGCAGTCGCAAATTCAAAGCCTCTACTGCACTGCTTCGGACATGTTCACAACGACTGGGGCGTAAGGTTAGTCCAATGGCGCGAAAAGATTCCCAATCCGCCATCTCACTTTACATCTTTTGAGAAAAAGGAGTCGGTCACAATCGAGACTCTCAAGACTCTAAATACTGAAAGATTTGACACGGTCGAAATGATCATGGAAAAGTACAAAAGGGTGAAGAAGTACGAAATGGACGGTTATTGCTAGACAAGACACTCCAGAGGTACCAAACACCCTTTGGAGCGTGGTGCCCAGACACTCTTTGTGAATGCGGCTATTCAAGGCGCAAAAGATGATCCTTTTCACTTTCCCTGGGTTGTTGAGCTTGATCTTTCCAAGTCCAAGGGTCTTTGCCAGAGTTGCTTGCTTGCTTAGAGGTTAGAAATGGATTTGCTATTGTTCTTCAATTCAATGCCCAGTGAGGCTTAGAACAACAACATAATTAGACTCATGATTCGATTTCAACCCTCTTCATTTCATTGTCAAGTATTTATTCATTATCCCTGTTTACTGAATGTCTTGCTGCTTGACCCGATCCATCGCCTCCAAAGCCATCCGGGAAACCTCTCGAGTCCTCTGCGGAAGACTTTCCATCTCTGCCAGATGAGTCCATTTCTCCCTCCAAGTTTTCCACCTGTCTCCCGAATAATTCTCCTCCTTAGCTAGAAGCCGACGTTCATGCTGGCTCCACACGCTGTGTATGTCTTTAGCGTTGGGGTCAGCTCTCACGAGGCAAAACAGCTCAGGTGCCGCGTATATAAAGAGCTGAGCGGCTGCTTCGATGCATGTAGGATCACTCTCGTGGTCTGTCTTTTCGAGATTCTTCATCGTGATGTATCCAGCTGTGTCGAGGGCTGCACCACACAGGGCGATTATCCTGTCGCCTGTTGAAGCCAGCCGAGCGGCGAATGTGTTGGCACTTATCCACTCAACTTGCCGTCTCTCGCGCTCTTTTCCTTCAGATTTTTCGATTAGGTATTGTGCGCCGTAGTCTATCCAGATGTGTCAGTGTCTATCTCTTCGACGTATCAGTCTGTTCGTACGGTTATAGTCATCAGCCCAGCTGCTAGCCCAGTCGGTAAGCTCCCGCCAAAAGAAGCCATCGTCAAAGTCCATAAACCCTTCTCCTTCACCAGTAGGCTCCTCCTCCCATGGGAGGGTACGGGTTCTCTGCAAGATAGAAATGATAGTGGGCTGAGCATCGACTAGCCCGACAGCGGTCGTGATCAGAAGAGTCCAGAGCCCTGCTAACCTCTGCTGCAATTCGAGGGGTGTCGATGAGGCTGACGGATATGCTGTCAACACTCGTTTCGCTTCTTCAACTGTTGTTTTTCCCTCGATGCATGCTTTCAAGGTATCAATTTGATCGTCTGAGAGGCAATAGCCCTTTAGTCCTGGTGTGGCTTTAGCGAAGAACTCTTCGGTCATCTTCGATAATGTTCGTGCCTTTCAATTCTATGATGATGATAAAAGATAGATTGATGAGTCGCACCAACTGCTAGTGACGTAACCCGATGATATTTGTTGGAGATGGTTGCCTGGCAGATGCCCCACGGGAAGGATCTTGGGGTATGAGGAAAGAATTAGCGCTCACTCAGACCTTGCTCAGTCACTCAAGGGTTTAGATAGAGATATTGCATCATTTCCATCATGTACGGTTCTTTAGCTATCCATCTCCCACTATCACTATCAATGGCCCTTCATCACAAAAAGAGATACCTGAAGCACACAAGTCACACCCATGGTGGTACTTCATCCCTCTCAGTCAAAGTCCCCAGCTCTATCACTCAAGTCCATATGTCCAATCATAGAAGCCAAGTCCCCAAGATCAACGACCGAGCCCGCAACAGTCGACCTGTCAGGCATCGCAGCAGAGTACGTGAACGAGTCATCGCCCTTGTAACTTGACGTCCCCTTCCTGGATACGATATCGAATGCTTCCTTTCGAACCTCCCCCAGCACCCTGTCGACCATGATCTGCCTCCTTTGGATACCCGTCTCGCCTTGGGACTTGAGCACGTCGGGGAAACGCCAGTGCAGGTACAGGTTCCCGTGTGAGGGTCGATGTCCCACATTTGAGACGTGGTGCAGTGTGAAATAGTGATGGCACAGCTTGCAGGTCGGCTTGCTGCTGCCAATGTACATCCACTCATTGAAGAAGAAACGTGGCTCCAGGAGACCCTTCTTGTCAAGATGATCGAGAAGCAGCACCTCGGCGTGCACAATGGGCCGGAAGTTGGGATCCTTCCAAACACCCATGATGAGCTCGTCCAGGTTAAACCTCTGAAGATCGCGGGCAAACTCCCTGAAAGTGTCAATCATCTTCTGCTTCCTCGTCATCCTCCCAACGATGCCATCGGCAGTCTGACTCTTGTTTCTAAAGGGTCTTTCCATTCGTTGGCTCGACTCGATGAACGACACCTTGAACTTGTCAAAGAGCCCAGGCCATCTAACCTTTGCAGCTAGGATGAACCGCACAGACTCCGAGTAAGCAGTCGTGCGATTTATCATGTGTTGCAAGTCAGGCCAACATTTCTGGCTTGGGACTCCATACTTGCGGCCTTCTCGGGCTCGCTCCGCTATTATCTTGCCTTCCGGTGAACGGCAGAGCTGTTCGAGTAGCTTAATGGCCCTCGTGCCTAGATGCACAACTACCCGACAGGTTAGCTTTGTTAACATGACGGAATACTTGAGCAAGGTTTACAGTGGTGCCTGGATGTCGTTCTGGAGGTGTCAAAGTCGATGAATTTGAGGAGCTCTGACAGCTTAGCTGCAACCCTCGTGTCTTCAGAGCAAATGTTAGAAGATTCATGTAATACAAGGCCATTAAGCACTCACCTTCATCGTCATCCGTGTCTAGGCAAGAGCCTCGACACTTGGTCGCCCTGTCAGACATTTGGCGAAAGTAGTACTCGAGCCTTGGTCGGTTGAACCATAGGACATCAGAAAGAAGCCCCCTCTTTAGGCTAGCCAAATCTTCATCGGGATCACCAACTTTCCCAAGAAGCTCCCTCACGTACTCGGCCGTGGTCTCCAGATCCTCGCGAGTTCTCTGGTTGGAAGTGAACCAGTAGTGGGCAGCTTCGTCCTTCTCTTCATCCTTCAAGACGCAGAATGAAGTGATGGTTGCCCCATAGTTGCCTTTCACGCTGTCACAAATGTGCCCCAGCTTGTATACAAAGGCTTGGAAAAGCTGCCGTGGATCCGTCGTGTCGATTGTTGCGTCAAAGTCTCCAGGCGGAGCTGCCTCCCTCTCGGTAAAGTTGAGGGCGTTGAGAAGAACGGCCGGTTCGTAGAACTTGTGGATTCCCCTGACAGTCATAGGGACGGTCTCTGGAGTAATTGTTAGCGGAGGTAAGCCCTTGATGCTTGGCAGGGTCTCTTGCCTGGTTCAAGAACAGCGGGGGACATGGTGAGGATAGTAGTTGGTAGTACGAAAGACTACGGTGCAATTCGATTGGTGGAGCTGATATTGGGCTTGTAGGTAGGCAATTGGAATTGTTTGTTCACTCCTAGTCCACAGGGCATCTCTTCCTATTTATCTTGCACAACCCTCAACCCCAATGCCTCAACTCGACATACACAACAAAGATTAAAGCGAAATCGCAAACCCGCAACGAACAATTTGGAAGCAATTCGAACGAGGGGCCGGCCATCCACGTCACTCCTATCCCGCAGCTGAACCCATTTCCTCTGGGGGCCTTCCCACCAACTCGTCGACCCAGCCCAATCACGCCCGCAGCCCCTCCCCCAGCAAGGCAACCAGGCTCTTGGGCATCGACCAACAATGGTCACTATATCTTACACTTACAGATTTGCGCTGTTGGAGATCCGCAATTGAGGCTTTTGCGATGTCCGAACCAAGACAATCGCAAAGCCGGGCGAGGGAGGCCGACAAGTTTAAGACTCAAGGCAGACTTGACTTGATGGACGATTGGGGGCCAAGAAATGGGCATAAAAGCCTGAGGCATTCCTTCCCTAGATGTTTTCTTTTATCCTCATCTTCAAGAAGCAATCGATCTATTCAGACACCGAGTTTCGATACAATTGCTCATCGTACTGTTCGTTTGGTGTTGGTCAGCATCGACTTGCCAACGCTGTGAACCACCAGCCAAAACGTCTCGTTCGACAAAGCCTTCTTCATCTGAATGGCACTTTAGTGACTTGATTGGTTTGTTTCATCCGGTCTCTTACATTTTCGTTCATCCTCTCTGTAGAACTAATACCGAATTACCAGGTCGCCAGCATTCGTCTGACCAAAATGACCTCGCTTTTTGGTCAGATTGACATCCAAAACCTCTCCGCAGAGGGTATAGAGCCCCCTTTTTCACTATAGCTTGCGTTCACACTGATGTCCGGACAGAACTCAGGTCCATGGTCCCTGATCCCTCGAACGGGGACCTTACCTATCATTACGCTCACCCTTGGAGCAATCCCTTTACTCCTCATGAGGAGGAGAGCGGCGCTTTTCAGTTTCAAGACTTATATACAAACTCCTCGGGAAGCTCCTCTTTCGGCAGTCCCCACTACTCAACCAATTCCAGCCCAGGCCCGAACGCGAACGCCGTCGCCGGATCATTCGTCGCCACTCCCAGTTCTACGACTTAGTTTACGGACCAAGCAAGTACTATCGGCCTCGATACCCATGTACATGGTTTGGCTGATTCTCACGCGGGGAGTGTTCACGGAATGCAAAGCAACGGTTGGGAAATTGGTCAGTCTGGTAACAACAGTTCAGAAGACGATGGGGCAGGTCTGTATATGATACTGCAAGCGCTCACTACTTTGGACTTGACTGACAGAGAGACTCAGGCTATGAGTGGTGCTGCAATAAATGGCACAAGAGGGGACGTGATCTAAAGAAAGTATCTTCCCAGAACCTAGTCAGTTGAGTTGCTAACACTGAGCAGTCGACACAATCGGTCGATCCACAACCACAGGTTCCCATGTCTGTTCTACGATACGTGTGGGGAAATCTCAGCGGACAAAAAGGCCCTTGACCGGCATTACTGGGTGCATCACAAGACGTACGCACAAGAGACTGGGATACCGAGCTTGGAAGCGCAGTGCGAAGCCTGTGGGAAGACATTCGGTCGGAAAGATAGAGTCACTCGCCATCTTAGAACATCTTCAGTGTGCCGTGAGAAGCTAGGGCTCTGAGAAGACGTCCTGCCTTCCCACGGTGCGAGAAACGTCTTGACTTGGCTTTGATGTTGGTTGGTTTCTTTGTGTGTGTTTGGCAATGACTGTGTTTTGGTACTTAGCGCTGGCAATTTGGCCATGATTGATGGGTCCGGTGATTTCATTTCATCAGACTACACGAGGATGTATCTAGCAATCTGATTTCATTTCATTCTACGTAGACCTCATCGTATCTGTCCGAGTTGACATTTGCTACTCTCTGTGCACTGTACCATCCTTTATCTCGCTCATATCAGCGTACAATCAATCACTCTGGGTCCTCCACCCTCCACCCCCATGTTTACTCTCATGATCACCAGTACACTCATATTGGCGCAGTCAAATCTGGCTCTTGTTGATGTACTCGGCAAGAATAGCCGGGCTGAGCGCGATCCCCTCTAGCTTAGCTTGAAGCTCCTCCTTAGGCACAGTCGCAACGATCTGGCGAATCTTTGTCGAGCTAGGGGGGTCACTTGGGCGCAAGCTGATGTCGCAGGGGAGAAATCGGACAGTGCCCTTGGGCTTGCGCTGTCTACGGCAGACAGAAATGCTGCTGAGCTTGGCAAAAGCAGCCGAGATAGCTTCTTCAATGGCTGTTGGGTCATGTTAGCTTTGTTTCTTTGTTCTCATCTGAAAGATCACTCACCTGCGGCAGGCTTGCCTTGAAGTCTAGCTCGGATCTGGCCTTCGAGCCTGATACGGTCGAAAGCGAGTCTCTCCCACATAGAGCAGCCAGGAATCTGGCGAAGCGTGTTGGGGTATCTAAAGTCGACAGCTCGGGAGATGTCGCTAGTGATGCAATCGGCGCACTTCCAATACTCAGGATTGCACATCCCTCCAGCTCCGATCACATCAGGACCGCCGAGAAGGATAAACTTGAGGTCGATGCCATCCTTTCTGACCTTGGCGGAAAGCTGAGTGCGGAAGGTCTCCCACTCGGACTCGGACTTGTCGTAGATCCAAACCCAGTTGACGGGGATACCAGTGCCGCGCCAGAGGTTGACGCGCTGCTCGCGGGAAAGGATCAAAGGCTTCTCCTCGGTGCAGAGCTTGTCCTTGAGACGATCATCATCGGTCATGATGACGATGGCCGCGACGATGTTGAGATCATCGCCCGCATTGTTGAAGACGTGCTGGAGCAGCTTCAGATGGCCCTGGTGAGGTGGGTTAAAGGAGCCAGGGAAGAGAAGGATTCGGTTGACGCCTCGAGGGCGAAGAATAGGGGCCGCGGCGGCGCTTCCATTGTTGAAAGGTCTGTTGGCCAAGGCCGAGGTGTCTTTGCTTTGGAAGTGAATCGCTTCAGCGTAGTTGGCGAGGGGTCGGAAGGCCATCGTCACTGTCGTTGTTATGAAAGCGATGGTGATGAAGGGAAGAAAGAAGATAGAAGAAAAGATGGCAGACTCAATGTTTTTATTTTGTTGCCTAGAGACTTGCAGTGAATGCGCGACAGTGAATCAGCTGCCAACCCAGGGAAGCAAACGGAAGTGAATGATTGATGCAATGCATGGAGCCGCGCATTCACTTGCGCCTGCCACAACCGGCCATTTCATCCTATTCCAGCAAGAAATCCTATTATTATGAGATGCGTTTGTTTCCAAGATGGAAATGGTGTTTGGGCTGTTTATCAAGGAGATGTCCATAAGGGGGCCACCCAAGAGTATGAGAAGAAGCAGTAGGCCTCCCGATGAGCCTACTTGACCTTTCGTCAAAGGATTGTTGGCCAGGGGGGTTTCCCAGCGCTTGTTTGCCGTGGACTCTGTGGGCGCCCAATGGTCCGAAGGCTTCGAGAATGTGAAGATGATACTCTCATGCTGTCGTAAGACTCTTGCCAGGAACAACCAGACTTACACCAAAGGCGAATCTCGTCATTCTGTGGGCTTCGCCTGAAGAGGCAAATCGTCCTCCATGGTGGGACATTGAGTAGGTAGTATGCGTATATATATCTCTGCGTCGTTGCGGTCGCTGATGGGCTCCAGTGTTGATCCAGCATCCATTCCCACTCTTCTTTGTAGGTTTCAGAACTCTTGAGCGTTGAAGGGCTGTTGGATTGGGAGATGATGTATTCTCGTTGGTCGTTGACAGGCCAATCATGTCCGACTCCCCAAGGGGGTGGATAGTCGTGAATCGATATAATATAGGGTTCTCTGAGGTCCACAGACGACCGGTCTTCGATGTTGAAGAGAGTCTGTTGTTCTCACTATTGCCATCGAAGCATCGCATGTATAATGTCGTCTTCGCAGGCTGATCACACGCTATCAAGCCATGGTTTGGATCAGGTCAGTTCCATGGTCGTAGACGGTGGTGTAATGTCGCCTTCATTCTTTCATCGGGAATCACCTCCCAGGATTGTTAATTCTCGGCTCCACATGCCTTCCCACGTAGCTCCAACGTAGCAGACCCCTGGTATCCGATCCGCTTGCCTGATTTCGCCGTCCGGCTGGTTTAAGAGAACAGAGGTCGTGTGCTAGATCTGCTTGTTGACCCGCCACCCAAGTTATGGTACTTGGGCCCTCCAACGTCTAGGCTCTTGTTCCCCAGCCGCTCACGAGTGGTAACCTGGCTGAACTGTTTCGATTTGTCCTTTTCTCGGCCAATCTTAGTGGATCTCTGTTTGTTCATTGCTGTGTACTCACTCTGTATATATAGTACTCAGAATCAACTGGGATGCCGTTGATTGGCCGATGTCAGCATACTGTCGAACCCCTGCCTCCCCTACCAGACGAGATCCAGCTTGTGCCCTGGTTGAAATTCGACATCTTCGGGGAAGTCCTGTCGGCCCAAGGGCGGAACGGAGGTCGTTCCCGACGACACTCCCCGACCTTGCGCCACAACTTGACAACCGGACTCAAGTTATGCTTTGCTGATTCTGTGTCCTGGAGAGGGGACGGCCACCTAACAGTCCGTCCGCCTCTTCTTGAGCAAGGGAAGTCTGGGTCTGGGGAGGGCTCCCTCGTGGTCTCCCAGTTTACTTGGACTCGAAGGTTTTAAATATTAGTGTCTCCGCTGCAGATAAGCAATGAGATGTTAATAGCCGCCCAAGTACCAATAAATTGTTCAGATAATGAAGGAGAACGTGACATACCTGTGTTTTCATCCGAGGTCCCTGTTGACCACAAGACCCAGACAACCCAGCCATCTGAAACGGGGTCAAGCAAAATGCCATATGAAGCGCTATATAGAGGTGACCAAATGGATCCTTGATTACTGAAGTTAGTTAGTAGTTACTATGGTCATTCTAGCTGAATCATTTAAGACTTTACTTACCTCTGGTCCGACTCGTTACTTATGAGAGATCCCAGCCGGACTATTAACTTCCGATAGCCTGTCCATCATGCGATGTCTTACAAGGCCGATATATATATATATGCACCGTACTTGGTGAAAAGAATGTTCAAAAGACCAGTTCTGCATAGGCGAGTTCAGCGGGTTCTTATACTTCGCGCGGAGAGCTTGGTTTGCTTTAGGGTAGCTAGATGTTGCTTGCACTCGCGCACAACCAGGACAAGAAAGGCAATTGTTTGTATGATCACGGATACGAATACACATTGCCAAGCAACAGATCAGATGAAATCATGCTTTCTGGGATAAATAGACGGCAAAGCGAAACATGGTTCCCGATGTTATTTTCCATGAAACGTCAACTCCACGCGCATAAACATCGTGATTCATCCCTGCTGTAGCATAAATCAGATAATGAAAGACAAATCTTGCAATACCCAACTTCATGCATCAATGAATAGACTTATACGAAAGGATTCACAAACCCCTGCCGGTACTTGGTGAGACCGCCCTACGATCCATGGATGGGTTCGGTTCATCGATTGGCAAAGCAAGGCCCCGTCTTTTGTTAGTCACCACCATCATCCACCATCCAACAGATACAAAGCCACAGGCACCGCTGATCGAGCTGCAGTGATTGGCGCACGCCATGAATCCACTGCATGGCAAAGATGCCTACAATGAAGCGGATAGACGCAGATTGAGGGTTTCTGTTTGGAGATTTGAACCAAGGAGGTTGCAGTTGTCGCAAACAATCAATCAATGTGCATGGATAGCCGAGATGGCTGGGACAAGCCACAGACCTGATACTGATCTAGGCGGTGAAAAAGAAAAACAAGACGAATGGGTTTCTGGGCTCGGCTCATTTCGCTGTTCCCATTTATGGAAACAGGCCAGGGGCGGGATACCGACATGCCAGCACTCAGCCAAAAAGGATATGGGGTAACGTCACTCCAAGTCATGGCAGAGATAACATGACAGGGTTAGCTAGCGAGCGATCAGCGAACGGGACTTTTCCCCGACCGAACGTAGCGTTAGATCCATTGGAATTGAGATGGGATCGTGAATATTGATGGTTATCGTCTGCCTCAGGGCGCATCAGAAGCCGGGAATACCAACGGCCATGACCAGGCCGCACAAAGTCTCGTCTCGGGAATGCGAGGGGAAACAGATTGGAAGTTTGGTTTGGCGGTGGGACACATGACCCTTGCGCTGGAGGGCATTTCGCTTGACTCTTATTCGTCGGCATGACGAGGTCGACGGCAGACAAGGCGTTGAGCTGGGCCCATTTTAGCTCCGAAGCCTTTTGGAGTTTTTCTTTCTGGTCTCATGGGGTCACCGGCACCCACCTCACCATGATGAGGACTTCATCGAGAAAGCAGAGTGAAAAGAGAGTGGTATCCTTCTTGTCTCACCGCGGGATCGGCGACGGGGCTGCTGCGCTTGCATGCTGGCCTTTGAGTGACGCGATGACCCGAGAGATGGAAAGACGAGAGCTCTGGACCTTGTCGCACTCGCGCAGGGCAGGGCAGCTCAAGCTTGAGCTCCAGCGCGTCAGCAGCCAGCGAGCGTGTCCATCGGCTGCAGCCGTCCTCGGCTCGAGCGAGTATCGTCGAGGACTGTGATGCGATGTTGCTTCTCCTGCCGGTGCTATTGCTCCGTCAATAAACTGCCGCTGAATCAAGGCCCCCAGTTCAGGCGGGCAGACCGTGTTTCTCTCTCCAGCCATCCCTCCATCCATCCATCCATCGACAAGACAACCTCCAACCAGCCATGCAACAAACGCATCGGCAGGGTCTTTGCTCATCGTGTGTGTGTCACTCGCCCATCCATGTCTCACTGCCCACTTAGCGCCCACCGCTCCCCTCCCCTGGTCCTGCCCCATGCCCACCGATCCCTGTCTATCCCTGTCCATCCCGGCGACGGGTCCTGGCTCTGCGCGCCCATGCCATCACGAGTTAGACTGGTCTGGCACACACACGCACCGCACACACACACACACACACACACACACGGTATTCGTACAGTACAGGTATCGTCCGTCTGTCTGTACAGTCCCGGCACAGGCGCAACGACGAGACGATCCATTGGGCGGGTGAGCTGCTTGGTTGGGGTCACGCTCCGGCCAACGCACATCTTGTTCTGCTCATCGAGGTGGTGTTTTCCGATCGCGTGTGCGGTTTGTCACAGGCAGTTGAAGACCTGGAGATTCTGCCTCCTGCAAAGAACAGGCAGGCACAAATCGGTTTCTCGAGATTTCCCCCAATCGTCGTCAGTATCACGTTGTTTACTGGACTGCTCTGTTCGACCTGGCACGTGTCGCCGTGGTTCCCCTGCGTTGTTTCGGCGCGCTCTGAATCCAACCTTTGCTCTCTCCAAGTTCAGTTCTCGATCTTGGCCAGCCCAGCTGTTTGCGCTCCCCGCGCTGCTGCACCTGCTACCATCCAACTCCCGCATTTCCTTCTGTCCCGCCCGCTCGAAGGTGGATGTGCTTGATCAAGACTGACAGACGGCTTGGGGAATAGCTTCCCCAGCGGCCACTCAAGTCAGTAGGCGCCAGCCATCTCGTTGGTGCGGCCTACAGCTTCAAACCTCACAGAGTGGGCACCTTTTTTTTTTTTGTGTAATTTTTTTCTTTCCTTCTCTGGGGCGTGGGAGATTTTCCGGGGTGGGCATTGGGTGGATTCCCACTTGCTTGACGGAACCTGAAGGGAATTTTGGAGCTAAAAAATTGGCGCCATGGATCCACGGCATCCGCCCAAGCTTCCCTTTTCGCCGTCGCCATACGCTCGTTCTCCTTTCCCTTCCGCTCCTCCAACAACACCATCATCAGCATCCTCCGTCACCGGCGTCATCGCGACTTCCTCTGCTGCAAGCGCCTCGGCCAGCGCATCAGCCGCAGCTTCTCTCTCCGCACCCGCTTCGACATCGGCTTCCTCGTCCGACCCTTCGTTTGTCCTCGCGCACGCGTCGTCGCATCCTTCTCATGCCCATGCCCAGAGTCTGAGCCCCGGCCAGAGCCCTGCGTATGCCGCCCATAACCATTTTCAGCGACGACCCTCGGACACGCCCTTCCATTCATCATCGGCCCGCCACTTTCAAGATCCTGCTGCCGCCCCTCGCGTCCAGGGCTCATCGTCGCTTCCATCTCTTCGAAACCTAAATCGCGCCATGCCGCCTCCAAACTCGCCTCCTCAACCCGGTGCGAAGCAGCAACAGCAGCAGCAGCCGCCCCCGGCGCACACCATGATGGGTTACGGACCCCCTCCGCCGAGAGCACCTCCCGTCAGCGTCGGGCCTCCTACATCTTTTCCTCATAGTCGAGAGCTTCCTGCCTTGAATCCAATTGCGAGAACTGGCAGCAGCAACAGCTCCATGTCGATATCGGCCATGCTGGGCGGGCCGCCCATGCGCGACTCTCAACCTCCACCACCGCATTATCCTCCACACTCAACAGCCCCCGGCTCCGCTCCAGGTTTTGCGCCTGCTGTGCATGCATCACCCCGGATGCACTCTGCCGCATCCGATTATCCTCCCTTTCGTCGACCTCAAACCCCCGACCACCAGCGGCCGTACGATCATCGAAACTCACCGCCCGGTCATTATTCTACACCCGAACTTCAGCGCTACGGCACCCCGTCCGCCTACAACTCAAGACACCCCACTGGCTCGGCCGACCATGCGAGAGAAGCTAATAGACTACCTCCTGCACCTCCTCCAAGACCGAGCAGCCAGCCCAAGGCTTACCCAGGGATGCCACCCCGGCCCATGGAAATGGGTAGGGCTCCAGGACCAGAGGAGGCTTATGGAAGGCGAGAAGAGATGGCAAGACCCCCACCGGGCATGGAATACAATCCTGAGAGGGCTGGCCTGCGTCCTTTTCCCTTTGACGATCGATACAGAGCAGAGCGCGAACGGCAAGGCGAGGCAGAACAACGCGAAAGGGAAAGAAGGGAGCGCGCGTATTCTGGAAGCGACTCGGGTCGACACCCAATGCACCCTGGCGACTACGCACATAGGGAGCCTCCCAGGAACCCTCTACCATATGGCCGACCACCTGAGCGCGACCCTAGGGATGGACGCGACCCACGAGAGAGAGATCCTCGCGATCCTCAAGCTAGGGATCCGAGAGACATGAGAGAACGTGACCCACGAGAAGCCCACTGGCCTCGACCAGGCCCCGACCCGAGCTATCGCGCTCCTATGGAGCATCAACGCCCGCACCCCGATTATCCCCCTTCCACGGCGCCGTACCCGGGTCACGGCCCCGCCTACCAGGCTGCGCCCCCGGACCGATACCCCCCGGCCTCACACCCGCCTCCTGCTCCGAATGCGCCCACAGCCCCCCCGCAGCCTTATGACTCTCCCGACCGAGCCCGAATGAACCTGTTGCATCAACAGCAACAACAACCACCCCCTCCACACCGACGACCTGGTGAAGAGGGACCGCCACCTCCAACGATCGCTTATAACGGAACTCACGGCCCGGGCCCATTTGAGTCGCCCCGGCACCGGAATAGCGACGACGCGTCTGCTCCGAACGGTCAACGTAATTTGCTGGCTATTCAAGAAATGAATCGCAAAGGCAGGATATCGCCGCTCCCACAAGCTGTGCAGGGCGCACAATTGCAGCAGCCAGGCCCAACAGGCGAACCAGGAATTAAGAGCGAATTTGGTCGAATGTTTGCTGGTATTGGCAACGGAGTCATGGGCGTGTCAAGTCCCATCATATCTGCTGCCATGCCGTTTACAAATGCCAGCCTGGCCAAGCGGGAGGACTCTGAGAACTTGACGCCGGAATCGGGCCCAGATGCTGGAGGTAAGGGCACCAAAGCCCGCAGGAGAAAACTCAAGGAGGAGGATGGTAAAGGCGATGATGACAGCTCTGGGCGACTCACCCCGGCAAACAGGGCCAAGCGACCCAAGACGCACCAGCATCATCACCATCACCAGTAAGTTTCCAGATCACTTGCCCAGGATGTTTGCTAACTTTGTAGTCATCCGCATCACCATCACCACCACGTCGATCCCGCGCAACCTGGTGGCGCTACTCCGTTTAAGAACATGAAAGGGGTCGTTGGCGCAACGGATAAGGGCCTCCCCATTCCGCACCATCATCATGCTCCTCGACCGATGCATACCCACCAGCCAGTGAAGCAGCCCGTGCAGAACATCGCCCCGGTCATTCCCCCGAAGCCGAAGACCATTGTATCGTCAAAAGCGGTATTGGAATTAGTCTCGAGTCGACCGCGAAACCACCTGGGAGACTTTATATACGAACCGGGCTTGAAGGCAGGAAAGCTCATTTCCCATGGCCCCTCCCAGCGGGCCTTTGCTTCGAACCCGAAGCCTCTACCCTGGGATTTGATCAAGGACAAGGAGAACTGTATCTTGACGGTCAAGGTTGCGCGCATCCATTTGTCGTCCATCTCAAGGGAGGAAATAACGTCCCGAGGGTATCTTTGGGGTACGGACGTGTACACTGATGACTCGGATGTGGTTGCAGCGTGCATTCACAGTGGATGGATCAAGGGTGAATGGAACGAGGACGTCGACAACTCATTCTTGGAATTGGATCAGGGAACTGGCGATAAGCGACGTAAGAAGACCGCTAATTCGTCGATTGACCTGGAATCAGAAGGCCTCATCACAGCACCACCACCTAGTGGCCCGATGGCGGTACCTCCACGACGCGACCTTCATGTCAACGTCTTGATACTGCCCCGCCTAGTCAAGTACGCTGCTTCTACACGGTACGGAATTTCGAGCCGAGAATTCGGTGGAGACTACGCTCATCGTCACGCGGTCCACGACGGCATCAGCTACATGATCAAGAGCATCCGATGGGTAGAGAATGGGGCCCAGCCGCAGTCACGGCTTCGAGGAAAGGCCCGTCGGGAACGCATGCGAAAGGCCATGTGGGAGGTCAAGGGGGGCCATAATAATGCCAACGGGATCGAACGAGAGCAAGAGAAGGAGCAAATCGGACGACTACGAGGCGAGATCTCAGCCACTTGGAGGAAGAAGGAAACGGAGCAAAAGGAGCAAAAGGAAAAGGACAAAAATCCCGACGCGGACGATAATGGAAACCAGGCCAACGACAGAGAAGCCAGCAAACCAGAGTCAAGGGAGCAGGACAAGGACGTCGAAATGCAGGATACTGAGCCGGCGGAGGAGGCGCAAACGGAACAATAATCTTGTTGCGATGCTATCACTTGGGCTGTCGCTTGGGCATGATAAGCGTTGGTGTCATTGCATTGCCGGGCGAGGTGACCGTGGTGTTGTAGTATTAGAGAATACCCCATTGGATCATGATATAGGAGTTTAATCATACGGCGTCTCTCCGTCTATGTCTATGGTACACTTTTGTACATTCCGCACCACTGTTGGTTTCGTTTTGAGGTTTAGAAATCCGTTACTCGTCCATTGTAACTCCAATCGCCTTCACCACCCCATCGGAGGGGTTCATTCTTTGGTCCGCCGACCTCTCCCGTCTTCGGATTCGTATCACCCTCGAACTCGGGTGGCGCACCACGGAACAAGCCTTGGTTCACATCCTCAGATTTTTCAGGGGTCGTTGCGTGACGGGCCTGCGATGTAGCAGGTGTTGTTGCGCCGGTTTGTTCCTCCACAGGCTGAAAGGCGGAAGAAACGGCGGCTGCGCGCTGGAGGCGCTCGAACTCGGCCTGCTGCTCAGCGGGGAGCTTGGGAGGACCGGGTCGGGATTGGAAGGTTGAAGAGAGACGAGCGGGATTTGAGAGGCGAAGGAGGGGAGTTATACGGTGGGTGAGTAGTCGAGACATTTTGAATTGTGATTGCGATTTCGTCGTTGACGTGAGGATTGAGGCGATTGCGATGGCGAAAGTTGATGACGGAGAGTTCGGAGTAGAAACGGGCCGAGGTTAGATTGATTTGCTCATCGCTCATGTGGGGGTCGGGGGAAGTGGGGTCGTTCTCCCGTCGGTACGTACCGGCACCGGCGTCTTTCAATGGCTGCAGATGGAAGTGCAGTAGGTGGTTCATCCAGGCACCGATCAACACGATCCAACGGGAATACCCTCAACTGGACGGAATCCTCAAGGTCCCCATGATTCCGCGATTATCGACCCATTTTGTCTTTTTCTGCCTCCAACGGTGGACATTGAACAACGGGTCTGCAGCCGCCTCATCTCGGTCGCCAGATCGGGCGGGCCCAAACGCACGTGGGATGCAAGCCCGTCCCTGAAGGAGCCAAGGAGTTCTTAATGGATTCGAGGAACAGGGGGTCATATCACTAATGCCCATGGCGGCGTGGCGGGATTGTGCAGGAGATGGCTTGCGTCTCGGTGACGACGTCTTGGGGTGATGTGATATCATCGGATTCCGCGACATAACCGTCTTTTGGGACAACGAGTGTTTTGCAAGAGATGTTGGACTTTAGAGGTTGTACGGCGGGTTTTCGCTTCGTGAACTCGGCAAGAAGTCTTGTCGATATGCGAATCTAAGCGCAGATGATGGACCCATTATCATCTCCAACAACCGACAAAGGATTCAATAGCTTACATCCAAGTATTGGAGATTTGATCCAAAAATCAAGCTCTCGGAGCCGCTGTGTCAAGCTGTTGGGTGTGGGTTGTCTTGGCCAAGCGGCTCTCGCTGACAACTTCAACCTCGTGGCCGATCCGGTCCGTGTCATTGGCCACTACATTTGACAAAGCCCCCCGGTTCGGCGCGACATTGGATCGCTTTCTTGGCCGGTCTGAATCGTGCTTCTTCGCATGGTTCCGGACTTTGCTTTTCTTCTTTCTTTGTCAAGGCTGTGCGCCATGACCCCTGATGTCGTCTGTTTCTGCAACAACTAGTAAAGGTTGAGATCCCAATGTCGTGGATATCACGTACGCAGACTTCTTCCTCTCCTCGAATCATATACCCTCAACTGTGCACACACAGTCCGCCTTGACAGCCAAGAGATATCCGTTCGACGCACGTTGCGCGGTCCGGTGCGGTAGCGGATGCTACGGAACCCCCATCTTCACCAACCTTGACACACTTTAACCATCCCCCTGGGTTCATTCTAGACCTTGACCTTCCTCGAGAGTTTTGACAGCACGTCAAGCTTGGGCCAGCGTTTCCTATAAGGCCCTTGGACACCCCTCAGAACCTCATCCTAGTTTCTCACAGGCCACCATCACCATGGATTGAGCTGCAGTTGTCGTGGGGACACGACGACACAGGCTTCTTAACACTCTTATCTTATTGTCTTGTATACCTCTCAGAGTTTCGCCAGGAGATGGCGATACTCCATCAGTATGACTACATCTTTGCCCTGACCGTCATCTTTGCCTGCCTCGATGCATGGAACATTGGTATGTTTGCTGGTATGCTGTTGAATCAAAGCTGACTGTCTAGGTGCCAACGATGTCGCCAATTCCTTTGGCACGTCGGTTTCGTCGAGATCCTTGACCATGAAGCAGGCGATGCTTGTAGCAGCGGTCTGCGAATTTGGCGGCAGTGTCTCTGTCGGATCTCGAGTGGCAGATACGATCCGGACAAAGATTGTTGACCCTCATCACTTTGACTCCTCTCCAGCGGTTCTTCTCCTAGCCATGATGTGCACCATCATGGGATCGTCACTATTTCTCACCTTTGCCACTCGACAGGGTCTACCCGTGTCGACCACGCACTCTCTCATCGGCGGTCTGGTCGGAGCCGCCACAGCTTCTATAGGCATCGACAAGGTCAACTGGGGATGGCATGGTGTCTCTCAGATCTTTGCCGCGTGGGTCATTGCTCCGGCCATTGCTGGTTGCATCGGCGGCTTGCTCTTTTTCTTTACCAAGAAGTTTGTTTTAACACGGCACACTGCTGTCAAGCGGGCATTCTACTCGATACCTGTCTACACATATCTCACTGTAGCAGCACTGACCAGTAGGTTGTCATTGACGCTGAAGTGTGCTATGCTAACAAGATAGTGCTACTCGTCTGGAAAGGAATCCCTACTATCGACCTCTCTGCCCGCGATACCGTCATCTCCGTCTTTGCCACTGCAACTGGGGTAGTTCTTCTCCAAGCCCTTTTCTTATTGCCTTATCTTTGGACACGAATCATGCACGACGACTGGACTCTTAAATGGTACCACGCCTTTCATGGTCCAATGCTACTATGGCGAGCACCACCTCCTCCGACACCTGTTGGCTTCGCCAAGCCCCGTATCAAGGACTACTATCGTGGACACCTAACACGCGAAGAACTCGACTATATCCGTGCATCCGAGACACTCCTCGAGTCTATACAAACCCCAGATGGCCGTATGCCCGACTTTGATCGAGACGACCAATGGATTCTCCCTCCACCAGCGATGACACCACCCAAGACTCCACCGAACCGTTTCGAGCCTCGAGCTTCTTCAGAGTTTATTCCCCCTCGACCCGATGGTTCGTGGAACAGCCCGCGCGTGATGGCCTGGAAGGTCAACCGAGTCTTACTACGTGGTCTGGAAAAGGATGTGGTGGCGATGCAGAAGCGGAACAACATCCTTAACTGGGATCTTGAAGATATGCACGCGAGGTCAGCTCACTACGACAACCGAGCAGAGTATATGTATTCAGCCCTTCAGATCCTTACAGCCGCCACGGCGTCTTTCGTCCATGGAGCCAACGATGTCAGCAACGCCGTCGCTCCTATCACCACGGCATACGAAGTGTGGCTCACCGGCGAGATTCCCGACTTTATCGACATACCCGTTTGGATCCTGGTGGTAGGAGGCTCATGCATTGTCGTTGGTCTTCTAACGTACGGCTACCACGTCATGCGCACGCTGGGGAACCGTCTAACGCTCATCTCGCCCAGTCGCGGGTTCTGCATGGAACTCGCAAGTGCCATCACGGTGCTGATAGCGACGAAGCTGTCGCTCCCCGTCTCGACGACGCAGTGCATTACAGGAGCAACGGTGGGTGTCGGACTGGCCAACGGAGACTGGAGGTGCATCAACCCCAAGCTTGTGGCGTGGATTTACATGGGCTGGGTGATAACGCTGCCAGTGACGGGTGTGATATCGGGGTGTCTGATGGGGCTTATACTTAATGCGCCGAACTGGTGAATATCTGTCTTTACAGCGATGATACCTCTTGTTTATTTGCAACTCTGATATAGCATGGCGTTGGAGGATAGCGTGGACGTGCTTTGAGGCACTGGTTTTGGATACTTGGTAGATAATGGACTTCTATCGACTGCCTTGAATCTGCTTTTCCTCCTTTATAACGGGTTGCTGAATCAACGGAGATATACACAGCAAGTCTTGATTGTAGTGATGACGGGTTGAGTCACCCCCAGGACCCCTATTCCTCATCAAGCCGCTTCCATACGGTGCCCCTCTTCCTCTCAGAGCTTGACCAAGGTTCCACTGCAATGACTTTATCTCCCGGGTTTGAAGGGAGCAGCCTCCTGTCTGGCAATGTGGAAGCTATATGAACCCAGTCAACTAAATATCCTAGTGCCAGATGCCATCACAACGCTCTCGTATCAAACGCAGCCAAAGCCTTCCGATGAATTTCTCCATCACCGTCAAGTCTGGTCCGCACAACTCGAATTATTGGAGGGTTTCGGCGCAAGACGCCGTAAGATCCGTGTGGGAGCGGCTTGGGCCTTGGCTTCAGGCGTCTTAACATCCGATGTGGACGTAGCTGGAGTCTCGGCTTCAGACGTGGCGACATCCGGCGTGGAAGTATCTTGAGTCCCAGCGGGTGTCGTGTTCGTGTTCATGCTCATTGGCCACGAGGGTTTCTTGTTCGCAGCTATAGCGTCGTACTAGGCTAGAAGATTGTCAGGGATGAAATATCATAGAGGCGGACCAAGATGCTATAGTACCTTGGGCTTGTGCGCTCAACAAGTTGCTTAGACCCTTTGGACGGTTGACGATATGGACATGATGCGCTTTGTAATAGTGTTTTATTAGGTGAGTCTTTGAAGAAAATGCCTTTGGCTAAGAAAAAAGCACGATTAGCACAACTCTTGCGGAAAGACTTGACGTATGGCCTACATGATGGCACCTGGCGCCGGTCTCGGGATGCTTCCAGCGACAAAATACCTCGCCTGGAGCGAGTTCAACTGGGCCTTGCTAACAGATATTTAGCAAAAGAGACGGGTTGAGAGATTTGGGAGATGCGAACAGTGATCGGGTCGAGATGGTCGACAGGGCAATCCGAGTTTCCCCGATATTCTTTATAGGAGGCTGATTCTTGGTATCTTGATCGTCGGATTGGCGTGGTGCTTTGGTGTTGGGATGACATGGTGATGATGATGATGATGACAATAATTCCAAGTTGAAAGAAGAAGAATGGGAGTGATAGAAAGAACCAGGAATGTATCTTTGGAGATGAGAGGACAGGACATCGTCGGGGTCAAGACTTGGGAAGGCAGCATCAGGACTCCTTTGGCGGCACTTGCTGATTACCATTGGCAACTTAAGCGACACGAGCGCGCAAAGACACAGAAGCAAGTCGGTCTGATGGGAAGGCTGTTGGCGTCAAAAGCCATGATTCTGCAAGATCTTGGTCCCTTCCCCGTGCCGCAGAATTACTTGCCCCGTGAAAAGGTAAGCAGGCTCGAGCTCTGACATCCCTTGCCTTTCAAGAGGAGATACTGGCGACCTAGGAGCATCTTGATGGAGCGAACAACTAGGAGGCAGGTGCAACACGAACATGACACGAGTGCCCTTTGGCCTTCTTCAACTCTCTTCATGCTTTGACACTGAGTCATCACCAACACCAGTGAAACAGCAACATTCAACATCATCATGGTTGTTTTCCGGACGAGCGCAGAGTACATCGGTTACCTTGGGGAAACAAATTTCAGCCGCCCCCAGGATCAACTGCTCCCCCAACTCGATATCCAGAATAATCAGATCTACGTGGCACCAGGAGAGTTGTACTGCAGATTCCGTAACTCGAACGGTCAGCTCTGCCCGAATGTTTGTACAACGAAATGTTAGATCACCGGCTTTGACTGACATCGATCTTAGCAAATACGGTTTTCCACTATGAAAAAATTGGAACATCACTATCAGGACATGCACAACCTCACGGTAGCACCCAATGCGACGAGAATGAGAACAGAAAGAGGGAGGCTACTGGCGATTGGTAAGATGCTTTATCCTTTTCGACACATCATTGCGATTTACTGACGAGCGTAGGGTGGTACAGGGAGCTTCTGCAAGGACATCTACCATCCTGGCGCGCCAAAGACCAACAGTTCCTTCAACTTGGCCAAACCCAACCTCCTCAAACCCAACCTGCTCAAACCCAGCCTGCCCAAACCCAGCCTGCCCAAACCCAGCCTGCCCAAACCCAACCTGCCCAAGCTGATCAGCCTCAGACCGCCAATCAAGATGTCCCTCAACACTGATAGAAAGACTTGGGTAAAACAGATTGATAGTTTCAAGAAAAAGATCCAATAGTTGTCTATCCCTCTTCAAAGCTATGACGATACCCAGGCCATCCTCTTCAATGTGTTTCCCGTGTCTAGAGCTATGAAGATACCCCTTGGCCAAGATCGCCAACGGAGAAAACGTTGGACACTCTCCCATGCCTGCTCATTCCTTATGCTCTGCCAGACTACCACGAGAGGCAGAGAATACCAGTAACCTCCAAGGTGCTGACCAGAACGCGTTTCCAACATGTAGTTGATCCAGGATGTCCCAGATTGGTCCCTTTCCCGTGAGTGATCAATCTCCATGCTCCAGATACCAGACGTGAATGGGCTGTGCGACTGGAAGCCATTCACACGCCTGTCGCACAAGTCATCCTCGTCTCATGTGTGGGGGAACCCATTTTCGAGGATACTAGATGACGGGCGCAACGTGCATAATGGCATCCTGAGCTTCTTCCAAAACTTCCTTGTTGACACCAGGGACCCATTTGATTGGGATACGCTCCGTGATGGTGTTGACGAGGCCTCCGTCAAGCTCGACACTCCGCAGCGCTTTGAGGACGTCGCTGTGGAACTCGCGAACGATAGCATTCCACGACAAAAAGTCTGTGTGAGTGGTATTGTGTCGACGGTGCTGGGCAAGGCTCTCGTTTGGGTTCTGTTTCTGCCATTGTAAACATATGATCCCCGAACGAGATCAGTTGTAACATACCTGGGCTGGACATCCAATCTCTGTTTGCTGTTGGTTCATGCTTTGGTCGTATGCCTAGATGTTGTTAGAGCACTAGACACTAACGGCCTGATTGTGAGGGGACCAAACACTCACCTTGAGCGGATCATTATTGCTTTTGAAAGATCCAACAATAGTGGTGAGACGAATGCCCAGCTTGGTCGTGGCAGCAACCAGGCCCTTTCGAGCCTTGAAAGGAAGAACTCGGATCTCAGTCGAGCAATGTTGATCTTCCATGGATAGATACTGAGGCTTGTACCGGGAGCTGCTGGCGGATCTCGTCACATGTTGCACTCGTCTGTTGAGGTTTATAGTCATGTCGATGTAGGCCATAGTATCCATAAGATCCTTGGTTCCTTTCTCGAGTTGTGAAGGTACGCTGCAGACGATTAGCCGCTGTAAAGTTGGAGACAACATCATAACACTTACGTGCCACATGCATGCCCCATGCGGATGCATTCAGTGCATCTCCCATCCAGGTACTTGTTACCTTCCAGGTCCCAGGAGCAGTCAACCTTTAGTAGCCCGTCAAGGACCTCATCCAGGAGCTCATCTCGATGCTGGCCTCGAGAGCCCTGGATCAAGGAGTTTGCAATCAGAATGGTCTTTACGACGCATGGCCAGCACGGAAATGGGCCTGGTAAGTCGCTCGTTGTATGAAAGCCCTCACGACTCTGGATCAGTTGGTAGGCCGGGGATATATAACGAGTCTGAGCTCCAGATCTGAGCGCAAGCTGATGAGGTAAGGGGAAAGAAAGAAGAACAATAGAAGGGATTTATATTATAGCCTAGTGTCATTCACAGACAGCTGGCCCCATCTAGTTTGCATTCAGGCAAACGACACTGTCAAACGGCACTGCCAGACAGGTGCACTCGTTTCCAGGCTCATTCACATAAAAACCAGCGAGAAACAAACCCGAGAAAAAATCTGCTTGCCAGCTTCGGTGCCCAAACTATTTGAAGGCCTTCTGCGCATCTTTTCCCTTTCCCTCGTCTTCTCCCTTTCTCATCTTCCTACCTACCTACTCCTCCCCCTCCTGGGTTGCGAGATACCAAAGATGACCTCGAACGAGACCGGACTCGGCACTCCCAAGCCTTGTTTGAGATGTCTCCAGCTCGAAATACGATATTCAGTCAATGCGATCTCACGATCCGAGGCGGCGATAGTTGGACTAGCTGGTCCACTGCCACCAAGAGCCGTGTCCATCAAATGGACCTCCGTTGTATGCAGGCCTACCAGTCTCTCTGCTGGATGCTATATATGTGGCTCAATAGATGCCGCCCGTCCTCCGTAAGAGCAAAAATCTCAATATACCCAGTCCTGCCCTCTTTACTGACTCTTCCAAGCTCCCTTGACCTGATGTCTGGCAATACAGAAGACATGGTCAAGACGATTCGCTACATCGTTGATACTCTGGAGATGCGACATCCATCCAAGTTTGCTGTGGCTGAAGAGGACGACGAGTTCGCTCACCTCTTCTCCCACACGACCCGGAGATTCGTTCTCAGGGCCCTTTGCACGCTGGCTTCGGCCTTTGATGCCCTTACCATCGCCCACCAGCGGGATCACAACCTTCTAGAGCAAGAGGATGTTGAAGTACGTTGTTCCTTGTGTTTGGCAGTGCTTCATTGTTCAGTCACTAATCTTCCACACAGCAACATATCCGTATATATAAGGAAAAGGTGCTTGCTAGACAGCTGGAGATGACTCAGGTTTGACTCCCCTTGTCCAAGACAAAACCATGGTAGCTAACATTTCATCCGCTTCAAGCCCGAAGATGGAAGTGCGTCTTCGAAGGCCCTGTACCTCCAGCCAGGCGACACTGGTTTCCTCCTGTGGAACAAATGTGTAGAGGATTTCCGCAACGAGGTTGCCCGCGCGATGGAGGGTACGCACATAGCCCAAGCCGCTATCGACATGGTCTTGTCGAAGTTGCCCATCTAATGGGCCGCCATTGTACTACCCGAGTCACAGTTTGCCCAGAAGATGACGAGGGACCATCTTATCAGCCCGTGGACCATGATTTATTTCAGGCCTGGGGCTACCAAGGAGCAAGTTGTGGTCAGGCTTTGATGGTTAGGGATTCAAGCTGAGAGTCCCTTCTGAGGGGGAGAAACGTGCTGTATGAGCTTATATTACTTATGAGGACTGTGATATCTTTGACCATTCTCTTCTTTGAGAATGCCCTCATCGATATATTCTTCATGGAGCAGTGATTGTATTCACGTCAAAATAAGACAATACCTTGGTCGAAGATCCTTTTAATATCGAAGCTCGCCCCTGTCTGAAGTCAATGCTACATGCACAAGTGGAGGTTTTCTCCATTAATGGCCAGCACTCAAGGTCTTTCAGATCTAAAGCGCCAAAGAAGCATCAAATGGCGACTTCAGACTTGAAAGCAACCCGCAACGTCGTAGTTCTTGACGATCCAGATTGTCCCATGTGGTCGGCAACGAGACCCGGGCTCTACTTACCCTAAACAAGAACGTTGAATCTTGCCGCGGTCCACACTTCCACATATGTTACTCAATACAGGCTTTGATCTAGAAGTCCGCCTTGCTCCGGGACAGTACAAGCGCGCAGACAATTGCATCTTGCATCTCTAGGTTCAAGTTGGATCAAGGGTCTTCACGTGATGAGTTCAACGGTCCGAGGTCTGGACCCTTCGGTTGATGAGGCAGGTCAGGCCGAGGACGCGCTAGCCAAAAATAGCGGTGTTCCCCATGCCTGCCTATCGTAGTCTAGCTCCACGTGGCATTTTCTTGTCGAATGTCTCAGGTTCTCCTGTCTTAACTGGGTAATTGGGGGAATATTCAACAGGGGTTTCGCTGCGAAAAGTGTATTGATAATCCTGAAACAAAGCCTTGGGGCCCGCCTTGAGATATACTTGAAAACGAGGCAGTTGCACTATCGCCCGCTTCCTTCTTCCTCATAGATTGCCGCTGTAGCCTCACTGTACACCGTGGCATGATTCGCACCACCTCTGAAATCTGCACTCCCCCGCCAAAAAAGGGTCCCCGTGTTTGGTGCCCCCCACCCAAAAAAGCTTGGACTGACGCACTGTCCACGTGATCGCAAAGTGGTTCGGCCTCAACCGCATTTACGTACATCTCGCCTTACGGCGAGACCGGAGTCGGCTCTACAATATCTATCCTCTAGATTCCTCCTCGTCCCTCTCGTCCCTACGACTACAACCACCTCTGCTCGAGTCGCCGACCTCGAGACTCTCAATCCATCCCTCTATCGCCCCGCCTCCGAAGCGACAACCGCCAATTTCGAGCCATCATGACACAAGCCCCGCCACCCCGCTCCTTGCGCGACAAGTGCATCGAGATCAAGGACAAGGTCGATGCGTTCTTGGCTGAGGTCCCGGATACGCAGATTCTTCGAGATGTACAAGCGCAACTTCGCGTGTCGATAGGGGTTGTGGATGAGGCATTGGAGAAATACCGGTGCGTTCAAGTCTGAAACGTCTTGACACAGTCCCTAGGTCGCTGACCCATTTCGCGCCGACAGACCTGAACAGATCTCCTTATCATACAATGGAGGAAAAGATTGTGCGTTTGCCTTCAGAGACCACTCTGGGAGCTCCAGGGGATCGGGCGCTTTCGGGATTGCTGTCATGAGCCCACTCCCGCCCCCATGAGCCCTGCTTACCCCATTCACTCTAACCAATGCTGACCCATGATGTTGACAGGTCTTGTGCTTCTTATCGTGATTCTTGCATGTATGGGAAAACGCTATTCCCAGACGACAGCTACCAACGGAACCTCCAACTCGGCGACCCCGGAGAAGCTCCAAGCCGTGTATATCGTTGCTTCGTATCCCTTCCCCGAGATTGACGAATTTGTGGAGTCGTCTAGCGCCGAATACAACCTTGAAGTAGCTCGCTATGTGTTGTCGATGAAGAAGGGACTGGAGATATATCTTGAGGAACGACCGAGCATAAAGGCAATCTTTGTGGGGACGCGGAGGACTGATCCTCATGGAGAGAACTTGACACATTTTGATCCGACGGATTCTGGGTGGCCTGCTTTTATGCGAGTGCATCCGGTGATTGATTGGCATTATGGTACGTGGATTTGAAGTTGTTGTTCGGCCTCCTGGGTCTTGGACATGATTACCCCTTTAAGCGACAATTGCTAACTGAACCCTGATAGTGCAAATTTGGGCAGTAGGTTGATATTGATTCTCTGCTTGAGAGTCATCATCTGGCATGGCGTTGGAAAAAGGCTAACATGTGCAGTTTATCCGACATTTGGGAATATCATATTGTCCCCTCTACGACCAGGTGAGTTGGGTTTAAGAAGTGACTAGAACTTATTCGCTAACATGCATCAGGGCTACACCAGTCTTGGCGGAAAAAAGGATACCCATCCCAACCCCCACTTAAAGAAACAAGGTCAGAACGGAGAGGGGTTCCGACCTGCATACGAGTTAATTGCAGATGACGAGGAGCGCTTGGGTCGTGAATCGTGATTTGGAAAAGAGGAGGAAGCTGTACTTGTAAGGACTTGACTGGCTTGCATGGAGAAGCGTTGAATAGAGTATAGACTCACGGCGTTAACTATCTTATGACCGAGGCAGCTTGTCTCTGTTACTTTGTGCTGATTACTAGGGCTACTGTTACCTCACCCACGCTGCATGATCCACCCTTCCCTGAGATGTTATCGGCTGAGACCTTCCCGCCAAACCCCTATACCTCATGTATAGGGACATCATCAACATATTCCTCTAACCTCTTGTATGTGTCCTGTCGAATTTGGTCCGCCTCTTCTTTACATCCCTGCCGCCGAAGCAAATCCTCCAATCGCCACAGCTCCTGGATCGTCTGAGGTCCAATCCGACTCTGTCCATACTCGCGCATAGCAACGATACTGCGCATCCTATCCGTCGCGATCGTCGGATCGAACCCCATTTCCAGGTCCACATCAACGAGAACCTTCATGACGTATGCGATGATCCGGGCATGGAAGCGTGGCAACTGAGGAGGGTGTCGTTGAGGCAAAGACGGCCCCGGGTCTGCTTCGATGTCGCTCAGTGGAGTGAGGGTATTCTTTCTCTCTAGGATTCGGCTTTTTAACATTCCAGAGAGGATTCGGATCTTCATCTTTGTCTCTGCAAATGGCATTGTGCTTCGGTGTTGTATGGCTGAGACACTGGTGTGCTTGAGCATCTCATACTCCTTGGGCGGTTCTCTCCCATACCCATCGCTGGCCAAGAGGTCAGGATGAATGCGAGATATCATATCCTCGGCAAAAGAATAATCCATCGGAACCTTGTTTTCCAGGAGGGCGAACCATCTGTCGGCATCCTCCAACTTATTCTGGGGGAGACGGACCATCTCCGAGTCCCATACCAAGCGGTAGTAGAGGATCAAGAGCCGAGTGTCAAAGTTGTTGAAGATCATGTTTGCGTTTAGTGACCAGGCTTGATGTAGCACTGATGCTTGAGGGGGGAGCGAGTCTTTGTGCCAGCCTTGGAGGAGCATGCGTAAGCCGTGCAACATCTGCATGAGGGGGTGTCCTGGCTCGAAGCGGTCCCTTGCTAGGTTATTGAGGTGGAGTAGTAGAATCCCGAAAAGTTGTGTTTGCCCGTAGAGCGCCATGTAGTATAGAATCTCCAAAATGTTCCAGATGAACAAGGGTCCTTCAACCTGCAGCATGGCCTCAATCTGGAGAAACGCCTTGCGCGTTAGACGACCCGCCAGTTCGCCTTTGCCTTTTCTCAGCAATTCAACAATGATCCTAAAGGAAAAGCTCAGGCTTTCCGGGTCGTATCGCCTCGCAGACACCATCTCGGTAGGGGAGGCTGGGGGACTGGGCGTGCATGGGAAGCCATGGTCTTCTGGCGAGTCAAAGAATGTGGAACCCCAGTTCTGTATGCTTGCCAAGAACTCCAGGTTTGCGAGATCTGAAGCGCCTAGCTTGAGAGATGCGGGTAGAGTGACTTGTATTGTACCTTTGGGTATGGGCTTGATCACTTGGGTATGAAGATCGCGACTCTGTGACTTTTTGGCGCCAGCACGCGGTTTGTTCTTTGAGAAGCCCCATTTCGTGAATCGCTTCTTGTACATTTGAAGCCTAGGTGGCGTCAGTCCTGTTCATGCCAAGGGCGAATCCCTTGAGGCTGGAAGTCACACGTTGCCTTGAAGTTATACTCCTTCTCCATCGTCTCCATCACATGGCGCAGTTTCCTACGCTCATGCACATACAACCTCTCAATATGCACATAAACAGCATCCCACTCCTTGTCGCTGTGATGTATCGGCAGGTCAATCTTGCCGACCGCTGGTTTCTCTACCCCTGGGCGCGGAGCCAACGAGGCGAGCTGGAAAGACATGGTGAGAGGATGCAGAAGGAACTTTTCCCACGACGGTGAATGGATGAGGGGGGGAGTTTATGAAGCCCGACTCTGCCGCATTGAAGGAGCCGACTGATGTTCAAGGGACGTCAGCGCCGCGTGGAGTAGGTACTGTACAAATCCTTGGCTGGGAGTGTTTACCATCTGGAACGATTTGACAATATGCGATTGGTTTGAGCTAGCAGGGGTCCTTTGAAGGATGGACGCTATGCTATCTTGGCCAATGAGTGAGCTTGAAAAAGTTCGGATTGATCGACAGAGGCGCTAAGCTATCTTGTACTCTACTTGATCGAAATCGTGCAGAGTGGCGTTTTGGAGGAGGCATTGGTTATCAAGCATCTTGAGTTACAAGTTCCTAGCAGAAAAGTTCCTCGAAGCGGATTCGGATGGTTTGAAAGGTATTTCCGTCGCATTGAAAGCGACGGCTTAGATAGATGATGCCGTGTCCGTGGCAATTGAATATATATATCACATAGCAGTTGCCAGACTGTTGCTGGTGGTCAAACCAGTCTCAACGCCTTCTACCAACTCATCCTTTACATCAAATCGTATTCTTTCGTCTTTACATCTTTTACTTACCTCACAACCCAATTTAAACCCACAAACAATGTCAGCCAACTTGAAACATAGGGCAGCCTGGGAGGCCGGCTTCCCCGGTCTGTTCTGGAAACAAGTCTTCCACCGCGTCCCCAAGATCCCCTCTCACATCGACCTTCACGGTGAAACCGCCATCGTCACCGGCTCAAGTCAAGGCCTGGGTCTCGAATGTGCGCGACAGCTCCTACAACTCGGCTTAAACGAGCTGATCCTCGCTGTGCGGTCACAGTCCAGAGGCGACGAGGCTGCGAAGCAGTTGCAGGCCAAGTTCCCAGACGCGACTATCAGAGTTTGGATTCTTGACATGGAGTCTTATGATTCTGTGAAGCAGTTTGCTTCTAGGTGCGAGACCTTGAAGAGACTTGATATTGTTATCCTGAACGCTGGGTGCGGCAAGGCATCATACCAGCGCTGTACTGGGGACAAGGGTCGTGAGGTGACACTCCAAGTCAACTTCCTGGCTACGATGCTTCTCACCATTCTGCTGGTCCCCATCTTGAGGGAGAAGAACAGCGTCGTCTCTGGAGGGAAGAAGTTTGCCTCCACGCCTGGCCGCCTGACCATTGTAGGCTCAGACATGGCTCTGTGGGTGAAGATGGAGGAACCATCTGGAAGTTTCCTGGACGTGCTAGACGCCGAAGAAGGCTTTGACGGATTCGATCAATATGGCAAGACAAAACTCTTGCTACCCATGTTTATCTCGAAGCTCGCAGAGATCGTTTCCGCAGACGACGTCATCATCAACGTCGTCAACCCCAGCTCGACCAGAGGTACAGCACTCATGCGAGAGTCCAAAGGCCAGTACGCAGCACAGGCTTTTGTATTCATCACCGGGGTTATCTTTGGAAGGAATATTGTCGATGGAACGAGGCAGTATTTGCATTCTGCGCTGGTGCTGGGCAAGGAGAGTCATGGATCTTTTGGCGACTGGGAGATTCGACCGTGAGTTGAGTCTTTAGAGTCTGAGATGACTGCTAACACTATGATAGGTATCCGCCACTCATGTATACCGGGCCCGGTCAGAGGATGACGGAGAAGCTGTGGAAGGAGACGCTCGAGGAGCTGGAGATTGGTGACATTGAGAGGGCACTCGCAGGAAAGAAGTGAGGCGTAAGCTCTCGATCAAGGTGCATGATCTGATACTCAGATGGAATTCGATCGACAGTACGTGTGGAGTGAACACGAGTTCAAGGTTGGACAGGTCGCTATTAGGACATTCTTTCAGTACCACAACAGAAGGTTGGGCGTTTGCAAGGTGCAGAACAAGGTTTTTTATTATATCCACAATCCATCATCTTAATATCTCTCTTTCATTCCAATAATTGGTCCTCATTAAAAGCAAGCCTTGCAGTTTTCGGCATTGGTCCCTCCGGCCTTCCAGATAAGTCAATCAAACCGAGAGGCCCCATCAACACCTTTCATCTCTTCTCGGATATCATCTAGAAAATACCGAACCTACTAAGACCGCTCTAGCGCCTCGAATCTGAAACGAGGAAGGGGGGAAGATCGACGCTTGCTTGACTCCCGATTCGCGATACAACCCAAGAGTTGCGTTTCACGGTTGCAGAGAGGCTCGTATATGAGTTTCTCATTGCTACCTGCTTAATACGACAGAAGTTGAATAAGCGCGGCAATAGAGGGCGAGTCTTGTTAACCGCTCGCGCAATCAGAGCATGTTCCCCATCTGGGGTGATAAGAGAACCCCTCAAATTCGCATTCAACTCCTCATCATTCGTCAAGCAGTCCGTTAATTCACACAAGTTAGTCGACAAAATCAGGGGTTAACGGTAGCGAACTGCAGGGGCAAACGAACTTGACGTTGCCGACAACCCGGTCCCTTCAAAGAAACCAAGGAATTTGGCCCGACTAACAAAAAAGCTGGGACGATCGTCAAAAGCTTCTCTAGTATTTTTCTTCTCAAATCGTCTCATCTCGCTCGTCTGTCTTTCTTTAAGAGGAATAGCCCCCGAGAGATACCCCTGTCGCGACCTGAGACAGGGCGGAGATGCCAGGACTGTGCGCCTATCGGAGGAATCTAGGACGGTTGACGGATTCGAGTTTTGCCGTCTGGGAGAATAGGGATCTGGTGCCGTACTTGCGTATACCGTGGGACGATCAACAAAGACTATCTCTTGATTGATCGGTCATCCCCTTGCTGTGGTGGGTGTATTTGAAGGACAAAAGCCCAGACTTTCAAGATGGGATGAACTTGCCATTGACTTGTACGTGTGTGTCGTTCTTTGTTTTTACCATTCTTTCTTTTACTTTTCTTGTTTAATTCACTCGCTCATTAAACAATACAATCATGTACAAGACCGCCCTCCTTGGTCTCCTGGCCTCGAGCCCCGTCTCGGCCCAGCTCAACAGCCTGGCGCAGGCCGCCGGACTTCAGTACTTTGGCACCACCGTCGACAACGGATATCTTAGTGATGAGGCATACAAGGCCATTGCCGATGACACCGAAGAGTTTGGTCAGCTCGTCCCCGAGAACGGTCAGAAGTGGGACTCGACGGAGCCGACAAAGGGAACGTTTTCCTACGAAAAGGCCGACGTCGTTCCGGACCTTGCCAAGAAGAACGGACAGATTCTGCGATGCCATGCTCTGACTTGGCACAGCCAACTTCCCAGCTGGGGTAAGATTTATTGCATCTTGGAAGATGAGCGGTGCTGACTTTTGTAGTGTCGGGTGGCAGCTTCTCGAAGGAGGAACTTACATCCATCATTGAGGCTCACATCTCCAACGTTGTTGGTCACTACAAGGGCGACTGCTATGCTTGGGACGTTGTGAATGAGGCCATTGGCGACGATGGTAACTGGCGGGATAGCGTCTTCTACCAGACTCTCGGCACTGACTACCTTGCCATCTCGTTCAACGCCGCCCGCAAGGCGGATCCCGATGCCAAGCTGTAAGTCATTGCCCTGTTGGTGCTGTTCAACCTCTGACTCTTCAGGTACTATAACGACTACAACCTCGAGGGCAACGGTGCCAAGACGGAGCGCGCCCTTGAGCTCGTCAAGATCGTCCAAGATGCCGGTGCCCCCATCGACGGTGTTGGCTTCCAGGGCCACCTCATCGTCGGCCAGACCCCCTCGCGCGCTAACCTCGCCACTGTCCTGAAGCGCTTCACTGCCCTCAACATCGAGGTCGCCTACACCGAGCTCGACATCCGCCACGCCTCTATCCCCGCCTCCGAGTCCGCTCTCAAGACCCAGGGTGACGACTTTGCCAACGTCGTCGGATCCTGCCTTGATGCCGAGGGCTGCGTGGGTGTGACCATCTGGGGAGTTTCTGACAAGTACAGCTGGGTGCCTAACACTTTCAGTGGTGCTGGTGAGGCTCTCATCTACAACGATCAGTATGAGAAGAAGCCCGCCTGGACTAGCATTTCTAGCTTGCTCGCCGCCGCTGCGACTGGCTCCAGCGGCAAGGCCTCCACCGTCGAAGCTACCAGCGTGGCTGCCACTGCTGAAGCCACCAGCGTCGAGGCTAGCAGTGTTGTTGCCAGTGCTGAGGCTACCAGCGTCGCTCCCGTTGTCGAGACTTCTGCTCCAGCCACGACTCTCGAGACCCGAACCAAACCCGCCGTCTCCATCTCCGAGGCTGCCCCTGCCCCTGAGCCCACAAGCCTCATTGTGACTCCCTTCCTTAACAACACTGCCACTCAGACCACCCTCGAGATCCGAACCTCTGCTGCCGCCCCCATCGCCTCTGAAGTTGGCGACGACGAGGACTATGAGGGTGACGAAGACTGTGAGGAAGACGGCGAGCAAGCCGGCGAGGACGAAGAGGACCAAGATGATGAGGACTGCGACGATGAGGAGCAGCCTGAGCCCTTCCCCACCTATGCCGTCCCCGGAAACAGCACCACACCCATCAACGGCACCGTGCCCTACAACAGCCAAGCCCCTATCTCCGAGGCCGCCGCCGCCTCCGTGACCGAATCTCCCGCTGAGCCCACTGTCCGCGTCCCCATCATCCGCCACAGCAGCTCCGCCTACACCTACTCCTGGAACACCCAGCCCGCCGCCTCCGGCCCCGCCGTCCCAGCCCCCACCGGCACGGCTCCCTCCGCCCCCATCGGCACCGGCACCACCGAACTGGTCAAGCACTACTACCAGTGCGGTGGCCGTAACTGGGACGGACCTACGCAGTGCGAGGCTCCTTATGTCTGCGAGGAGCACAACGAGTGGTACCACCAGTGCGTGTAATCGGATTTGGGGTGATGGAGTAAACTTACATTATGACTTGTAAATATTTGGCATGTTTATATTTCTAGACTTTCTTCCCGGCTTGATGCGGGAACATGTAGATACGCGTAATTGAGGACAGGTCCTGAACTATGTTCGATGCACCATGATTGATTTGTGACTACGAGCTTGCGTGTCATGCGTAGCTCTTCAATTCCTCCGCATAGAGGCAGCCCAAGGCTGCCTATTATCACCGTAGGTCATCCTGTCCCTAATACCAGAAGCGAGAACAGTGGTTTGATCGATATCGTCAATTGCGAGTCTTGGATGTGAAAGAGCTTGGGCAGTCTCAGAAAAACTTCCTGTTTGGGATGACCGTTGAGATTAGTCATCACCCGCCCCACGTCCCGCCTCCAAAAAAAGACGCGACACCAAAAAAAGAATATCGCCCAAAACTCGGAGATAAGACACCACAGGACAATCAGACAGAATATCTCCAGTTCTGATGAAGGAAATGCAAATAGCAAATCGACACAGGCCTGGTTCGGGCAGACGCTCTAAAATAAGAAGGTGCAAATAGAAAAACGCGCTAAAATGGAAAGTTGTCCAAAACATAACACCACACCAGATCGGACACAATATCTCCAGTTCTGATGAAGGAAATGCAAAAAACAAATCGACACAGGCCTGATTCGAACAGACGCTCCCGAAGGAAGCAGATTTCGAGTCTGCCGCGTTAACCACTCCGCCACTGTGCCTTGAACTGTTGTTGAAGTGGCAGCTCAAACTTTGCATCATGTGGGCGGTTTCGGTGACCCCCACGCCTCGGCTTGTTGTAGCGGGTCCAGTGAGACCCTCTGATTCGTCAGGCTACTCAAAGAGCTGCTCTGAGTGGCTTTGGGGTGACAGGGGCCCTTCTCCTTCGTTGCTGTCTGGTCCAGCTCACCTGCACGGTTGGACAAAGACTCCAAGCACATCAAGACATTCAGTCATATCATCCTGCCTTTCAGCTTCAACTTCCATTACTACTATCACTGATACGCCCGCTCTTTCCATCTCCTATTGGCTTGCCCGTTCCCGAGAGAGTGTTGCCCTACAGTGGTGTCCTGAGTGGGCGTTCTTTTTTAGACGACTTCATACACTATACTCATCCATCTATACTCCAACTCAACACTCTTAATTATGAGGAACTCATCCTCAAATATCCATTATGCTCCCTAAGGCAAGTGATGATGTCCTGCCGGGGACGCCAGGGACTACCGCACCATAGCTCCGGGTAGCGACCACCGCCGAGTATCCGAATATTGAGACAGCTCAGAGGAGGATATAGCGTGCCAAGCAGGGTAGATAAACGGGCTTGAATAGCGGCTTTGCTGAGTGTGGATGGCGATATTTGCGTTGTCGAGTCGTGCCACAGCTACCAGCACTGTACTCTTTATGGCTTTGCTGCGACCTCAACAGCAGCCCCAGGCGTGGTGGCGAAGTCGTTAACTGAGAGTCCCTCTGTACTGCCTCTAGCTATGTAAGAAGGGTTCAGAGTATCTCATTTGGGATGTGCTAGGTTTTGTTGTGTGAAAGGCTAGTATAACCCAACTACCTTCAGTACCTTGATGGACAAGTTCCCTTGCGCAGAATAGTGCGGTATCTCCAATGTCACTATTTCCACCGAGATCACACAATATCTTTAGCACTTTCACAGCTCAAAAACAGCTTGGGCCTCACGCCGTATGTTTTCATGGATTTTCGTGACTACTCTATTCTTGTTAGATTGTTGACTAAGCACAACGTCGCTGGTGTCACGATGTTAGTCGTTTGAACTTAATGATGGTGTCATAGACACACTTTCGGCATCGTTCTCTGTAAAGTTTTCCGCATAAGATTTAGTGATAGGTTCAATCTTCGAGATGGGAGTCATGAATGCTGACTTTTATGCCGCCTGATATCTCACTTCTGCTGGGCCAAAGAATAACAGACAAGCCTCGCCCAATGTCAACCTAATACTGCTACAAGATTAGATGCTGTTGTCATAAATCCATCATGAAAAGAGGCTATTCTCATCATAAACTATCCACATTTTAGCAAAGTCTTTAGACAGAATCCTCATAAGCACTGTCTAACCGGGTGGACTTGACGCGGGATTTTGTCCATTCGCTCTTAATCGTCCTTGATAGTAAATCGCAGGACCCGCGTCGCCAAGAAGCGAATTGACTCGGGCTTATCATGGAATTAAACTTGGTCATTGCGATTCCAGCTCTTTGGTCGACCTGCAGTAGCACCTACCCTTTTGGACATTGATTTCAGCATCTCCCAAGTCCCACGTGCATCAATGTAAGATCTTCAACTGGACCCATCCAAAAGTGATCGACATCCACCCCTGGCACGTGCTCCCCTTTTGCCTCGCCGTTGGAGCCCTACGCTTTTATTGCCCCGGCCGGGGTGACGATCCGTCGCTCTCGGCGGACACCCGGGTCCCGGGCTACAGGTCTTCACTTCTCCCGTTCTCGTCACCGAGGGTTCGGTTGGGTTTCTTGTACAACGGAGGCGTCATTGGTGTTGACTCCTCACGCGAGCTATGCACCCGATGCGATCTTCCCGATCAAGCTTAAAAACACCCCGAGCGCCGGTGAAACTCTGAAGTTTGTTCAGATCAGCTGCAGAGTTTCTCCAACAGCTGTCCTCCTTCTCTCAAGTCATCATGGTCGCTACCTCTGTGCTCCTCCGTCTGGCCTTGCTGCCCGCTGTGGCTCTTGGTTCAATTATTGAGCTCCGAGCCAAGTCTTTTGATTATGACTCTCTTACTCTGCGAGAGGTCGGAGCGCGCAACACCCTCGTCAGTACTTGTCACCTCTACAAGGCTAGAATATGATGTTGACTATCAGCAGGAATGGCGTGTGTGGTTGGAAAAGGATGGCCAGCCCATCTCCTTCTGGCACGATGTTCCCCTGTACCCTGAGAAGGGCAACAACCGCATCGTGAGCTACGTTGTCGAGATCCCTCGATGGACTGACGGCAAGATCGAGACCAAGCGCAGCGAGCCTCTCAGTGAGTCTCCTCATCTAGCGACCGAAGACCCAATCACTGACTTCGTCTAGACCCCATCTTCCACGATGACAAGAAGGACAAGCCTCGCTTTGTTGAGAGTGTCTGGCCTCACAAGTCTTACCCCTTCCATTATGGATCCATCCCTCAGACTTGGGAGAGCCCTAACTACGACCATGACTTTACTGGCTACCCTGGTGATAATGACCCTATCGACCTGTTCGATATCACTGAAGCGTATGTTCGCATTGAATGCCCTCGAGGCCCACTGCTAATACACATCACAGCCCTGCCCATGTCGGCCAGGTCAAGTCTGTCAAGGTTCTCGGCGGCCTCGCTCTGAACGATGTGAGTCTTCCGAATAATTGACAGAGGTAGTAATCTGACCTTCTTCTAGGGCGGCGAGACTGACTGGAAGGTCATTGCCATTGACACCAAGGACCCCCTTGCGGCCCTGGTTGACAGTAAGTCATGATACCACACCAACAGAATTCAGCTAACCGGTGCAGCTGTCGAGGATCTCGAAAAGTACCGACCTGGTCTGGCTCAGACTTTCTACGAATGGTTCACTGTGAGTTCCTCGCCTAAACCCAATAGGCCGTTTCTGACAACTCCCAGTACTACAAGGTCGCTCGCGGCGACGAAGTCCTCGAGATCGTGGGCGGGGACTACCAAAACGCCAAGTTCATGGCCAAGACCATCAAGGACAGCCACGGCGACTGGCAGGACCTCGTCCGAGGCAAGGTTGACTCCAACGAGATCAACTACAACCAGACTAGCACCAAGAAGTACAAGAAGAGCTTCGTCCGCAGCAAGGATGCTACTAAGAAGTTCAACCTACCCGCCAAGTCTAGCGTCCTTCCTGCTGCCGAGAGACCTGCCAAGTATGATCAGTGGTTTTACCTGGATGGCGATTACAAGTTGATTCAGCTGCCTGGTAACTGACTAGGTCAGCTTCAGCGGTCTCGTCGCCAACGGCCATTCTAGAAACGTGTGTAGAGGTATAGAGATTAATGTTAATGTACCCCCACCGTTGCACTCACTCTCAATGTCTGCCTTGGTATTGTAAAGTCTACCCCTCATCATCGAGGAGCCCGAGGTCATGCTCCAGAGGGTGTTTGACCAAACCTCGGCAAAAATTCAATGACCAATTCAATCATCTGGTTGAGGTTGCCGTGTAAGACTTTTGCCATTTAATAATCTCAAACGCGAGCTCGGCGCTGTTCCTCGTGGTGTCTCAACATGGCGATGATCTAATGATGGGTGCGATTGCTAAGCGACATTTCAAGCCGAGGGACCGTCGATGCTTTGTATTGCATGGCTAGCCAGGAAAACATTCTCCTTTCATGGTAGCAGTTTATTAATCTGTTGCCGAGGGGAGGTCAACTTAAGGGCGCGGCAGATGATGTATGCGAAGCCAAGGACACCACCCAACAAAAACGTAACCAAACCTCGGAGAAGTGACATAATTTCATCCTAGTTGAGCTCTCGCATAGTCATCATTTATTCCCAAGGTTAATGCCCACGCTAGTGATAGTCCTGGGCTTGGGCAACACCGCATCAAAGGGATCAGTAATCATATTAACCGCCATAAACCCCGTCGGAATTATTTCCATTTATGCGCCGGATGACCCCAATGTCGCAATTCCAGAGCATTTCCGTTA